GGCAAGCTTGTTGCGTAAAAGGTTAGTAAATTTATAAACAATCTTTCCCTCTTTAAAAAACTGAAATGTTTTGCACTGGACATTCAAAGCCAGAGAACTTAACCTCCAAATAATCTTAGATTTTGGCAAAGACTTGTTGCTTAAAACTTGACTTCAACTGATCAAAGTCTGCAAAATAAAATGATGCACTCAATTTCAGGCCTTCAACTTCCACGATCTTACTAAGTCTCCTTTGCGAATGTAACAAATATCTCAGGAAATATTTTTAGAGAATGAAGTGTTGCGTCAATTTGACACCGTCCAGCTGATAAGTTTCTTTATTCTCCAAAACTGTAGGGAGAAATTGCACGTTAAACAATTCTTTGGTGTCATAGTCTGGGAGAGAAAGAGTAAAAGCAGATACGCGATGAATGAACCGGAAAATCAGATTTTTAAATCTGAAATTTTTTAAAAAAAAGAACACGAAGATGCCATGTTTTTTATTTAAATTACGGGGAAGTTAGAAAGCGACTTTGTTCTGTTTTAGGTTTTCTAAACGATTCTTAGTTTCACCGATCAAGCTGTTACTTTTTTTTCACTCTTGTCAGATTGTCATTCATCTCTGTTTTGCAAGGAAAGCGTTATTTCAGTCTTTTACTCTCAGCTTCCTCAGTTTTTCGATCAGAATACGAAACAAGATAATACTCTTTGTTCAAGAGTAAGCAGTAAAAATAAAGAAAATATTAGCTTACAGTCCCATCTCTCTCTCCCTCTTTTTATTTAAAAAATATTTTCGGCGCCTGCTCAAATCAGGCGCAACAGAAATTGAATTCAAGGGCAGCGATTTTTGATGTGGAAAGAAAAGCGCTTAAATGTTTTTTCAGCGACGCTATGGGCGAAACAGAGAGTCATATTGATATCTCTCACACCAAGAGATTATCAACTACAGTTTATAGTTTCTTGTCTTAGACCGATCAAACTTAACACTTTGTTCTCACACGAGCTGCTTGCATTTAATTTATCTCTGTTTCTCGCCCCTTTTGGTCTCATCACCCATACAAAGCGTGTTTATTTTTGAAAGGGTTACCAGCAAAAAAACTAAATTTAGTAATAGTTATTATTTTTTTTTAGAGGGCACGGTAACGAATCCTGCAATCTGATTGGTTCTCAACCCGGTCAGTATTTTCCTATCTCTGCCCACGGGCCACGGTAACACTTTCGTAAGTCGCCGAGTACATCCCAAATTTCGTTGCCATTTTTCATAAATATATCTCGTTTTTCCGGCTGGGCAGTATTTTTAAGAAAACACGTCGGTCAATACCTCAAGCCGATAAATAACTTGCGAATCCTCTCTTTTCTCTCTCTCAAATCACTGTGGTTGACAGAAAAATATTGGTTTCAGAAAGAATTTGTTTAAGCAATAGTGTCATTACGTTGGTTGACTAGCGGCCTAAAAACCGTCTGCAATTAATTTTAATCGTTCACAAAAAGTACCTAGAAAGTTAAAACGTGAGGTATTTGGTTACAGTTAAACTGAACGAAGGAACTTCATTCATTTAATATCTGAATTTTCTCAAACAATTTGTTCGTAGTGAAAGAGCGAGCAAAGTTTTAAATTCAGTTTTACAACAAATATACGCTCTCGGTGAGTCTTTTCGAGTCCGTTCAACTTAGACATTTGTACCGTAATTGTACTACAGAAACTGAAGGAATTTGTTGAGAAAAGGCCGCATTAAATCCCCTTGTGTCTCATTGGAGTGTGCCATTCGAATTTAGTTTTTGTGGAGGAAAGACCAAATTTACACACGCCATTGCAGCAAACAAACGAGCAAACTCTCACAACTTCAAAATAAAAAATTTGAATTTACTCATAATTACTTTCCTCGCCGTTCACTTAGTGAACAGAGGTAAATCTTCGTACATGAATGAATCGTCGATGAGAGTGAATAATACTTTCCGTTAGATCATTGAATGTTTTTGAAGAGAACATTGGCTTGTGTGACAGTCCTTACCAAACTAGCTCCGTTGTTTTTCAAATTTTCTGGCGCTTTTTGTTTTCTTAGGCGCTCTCTAATTGACAGGTGTCAGATTGTGACAGATACTTGTAAAAATAATGTTCCAAAGTTTGTTTGGAAGCCTTTTAAATCACCTTTATCTTTACGCAAATGGAATGTTTCGGTGAGGCATCTCTCTTTAATTTCCATCACCTCTATTTTAATTATCATTTACTCGCTCAAAAATTGTTCAGTTTATGGAAGATTTTGCCGTATTTACAGCCCTAAATCATTCGGGTTCTTTCGCAAAGAATTTCGTCAAGTTTAAAAAAAATAAATATGTTATTTACCGGCTAAGGGTCGGTCCGTATGGTGAAAAACTGTGACCTCGGTCTTGAAAATGCTGCCCTCGGCCTACGGCCTCGGGCAGTATTTTCAAGACCTCGGTCACAGTTTTTCACCATACGGACCTCCCAGCCGGCAAATAACATATATTTCTTTTCCCGCTTCGAAAAATATTTCTGGTTCAGTAAATGTAGCAAATTCAGTGATAAGAAAGAGTTGTAATTTCAAACAATCCAATGATATTTGTGGAGAGCTTCCAAACTGGAATAAATTTTTGATTTGGACTGCAAAATATTAAAGGTCTGCATCATTTTTAACTTTTAAATTTATGATACCATCAGCTATTCTTCCTTGTGGCTCCCTCACATTACCTTGCTTGTCAGTAGGGAGACTTGAATGTTGTATGAAGAAAAACCCCTCAGCTGATAAGTATTCTCGTCGCTTGTTCACTAAATATTATGTTGATTGTGGAAAGAGAAGTAACATGTTCCTCCCTTCTGTAACTTGATGGCTTTAAAAATCGAGCGAAGCAAAATTAAAACCAGCAAACTCTTATCAATGATATGTGAGCTCCAGTAGTTATTGAGATCTCTTATGGGCAAGCTGTAATGCAAGTTCCATCCTTATTACGTTTATAATGATTACTTTTAACCGATAATTTTCCTATTCAATCTTACAGTAGCTCTTCGCATTCTTCATTGCTTTGCAGAGAAAGTTTATATCAGTTTTGTGATTTTGGTCTCCTAACTATCCAGAGATCCTTTAGTTTTTTAAGGTGAGCGGTTAAAAATTTATTTCATGAACATTATGCGTTAATATGTTTTGGATGAAAACTTGTTACTCATGAAGATAACACCCTCTGATTGATGAGTCTGTTTACTCTCAGCATTGCTATATGGTATATTGTTATGTACTTAGACTTTCCCTAAACAAAACAAGTACTGTGATTGGTTGATTCTTGATCACGTGCTCCTGATCAAATTCAAATGTATCTCGACCGGAATACAATTTTGCAGTTGTTGCCTGCGCGCCGAATACAACAGCATGATTTTTCCGAATGATTATTGAAGGGAAAGTCTAAATATATAACAAAGCGGTGAATAATGATTGGAAATATATCAAAATCATATATGTGCAGAGGTGAGAGGTTCAAATCCCGTAAGGGCCTGAATTTTTTTCAGGTCTTACTTCAACTACTCTTTCAGTTGTGCTCTTAGCTGCGAGGATCGCTTATGTCCGTATATAACCAAGCATTTAATGTATGGTCCCTCGGGAAACTAGTTAGTTTTGTTTTCTTGTTGGACTCTCGGGAAAACAAAGCTAAATGTTTCCCTCGGGACCATACATTGAGTGTATATTGATATTGTAAGGAGAAACTACAAGTTCATCAGTTCTGTGATGATTTAAACAAAGAAGATCCCATATGTTATTAGATGAATCTTATGAGCAACTTAAGAAACAATCTTTCTTCCATCTTAGGATTTTTTTTATTTTGATGATGACTTCTCACCAACTGTGCGAGTAAAACGTTTGCATTTACATTTGTCAGGGAAAGTCTCATTTCATTTTCTTATTTTTGTTTTCATTAGTCACGCTATCAGGCACTAATATAAAAGGCATGTTCTGTTTCCAAAAGGTGAGCTGTTCGTTTTATTTAATTTCTGCATTTTTATTGCTTCATCAGTTTCATTTTCAATTAGTGAAATTGACTTTATCATTTTACGAAACAAAAAAATTGGAGAAGCTGGTATATGAGTTACTGAAGAAAGGCGTATGAAGAAAGATTTTCCCTCGCCTGAAAAACAAAGCATTTTGTAAGCGGTTGAAACGCTGGGTAGAATTTTTGCTCTTTGCCCAAATTTATGCTGTATTATATCAAAATAATTGATGGGCGGTTAATCATTGACGACAGTTACATGTTCTAATTTCTTCATCTCAAATTAACCAAGCGAGTTTCTAAGACTGACATGTCGGCTTGATCTCTATGGGACAAACGGTTAGAAATACCAACACAAATCTTGCACAAATATCTTCATCAGGGCACAATTGAATAGTTTGATACTTCGTTTAATTATAGAATTTGGATTTTTTTGTTGGATTTATGTCCATCAAATTTTTCCACGACGCAACGAAAATAGATCTACGTCACGTAGATGGATATCTCCAAATCGATTTAAGATATATTGATTTACCTCGATTTTAAACAAATAGCAATTGAAATCAGAGCTGAGTAAGTTTGATGTTTTCACGGAATGGAAGAAGAAATTGACCAGTCACGTATATTTCAGGAGGCAAATTACGCTCCTCATTTGTTCATAGATTCAGTAATCACGCTCGCCTTTCTGTAAAAGTTACGCTTCACATTTACTCGTCACGAGTGAATCCAAACATATCACGATTGGTAAATTTACCGCTGGTCTACTGGTGAAACTTTTTTGATAGCTGTATCCAAATCCCCTCTACGATAGTTGTAATTTGAACCCAGATGATACACTTGTGACTGGTCTGAAAAAAAAGTGAAAAAGGAATGTTGCGCTCAGATATCTGTAAAAAGGGAAGAAGGAAGACAACCACAAATTTCCTAAAACACTTTATAAACTACAAAATTTATCAGTGTTTCTTTTTTTAAGCTTCCCTTTCTTGTTGATTCTTTCCTACGACAATAAACAGGAGAGAGCCGTAATGAGTGACGCTGCAGAGATCCTAAAATCAGTCAAGATGGGTTTAAATGTCGTCATATTTCTTCTGAACACTGATCGAGGCCTACAAGCGACTGAGTTATGCAATGAATGTGTAATTCTACTTCAAAACCTTGACTCTGGTAGTCACCTTGATATCTCCGATGTACTATTCAATGCGTATTACGCCATCTCTGGTTACGCAGATGCAGAAAGACATGCCACCAAACTTCTTGACACATTTAACCATGCTTGGAGACTAAACATAAAACTGGCAGACAAATATGAAGCACAAAGCCGGTTTGTGGAGGCCAAGCAACTCTTTAAATGCGCACTCACCATCGTGAAAACAATTGGTCCCAAAAGAGAAGAAGGACTGGCTCATAGCAGACTTGGAAATGTCTGTGCTACACTCAGTAAATATCAGAAGGCTAAAGAATATCACGAGAAAGCACTTGCCATCGCGATAGAAATTGGCGACAGAAGCACAGAAGGAACAGCATACGGGAACCTCGGAAGTGTGTTTTATTCCCTTGGCGAATATCAGAATGCTAAAGAATATCACGAGAAAGCACTTGCCATCGCGATAGAAATTGGCGACAGAAGCACAGAAGGAACAGCATACGGGAACCTCGGAAGTGTGTTTAATTCCCTTGGCGAATATCAGAATGCTAAAGAATATCACGAGAAAGCACTTGCCATCGCGATAGAAATTGGCGACAGAAGCACAGAAGGAACAACATACGGGAACCTCGGAAGTGTGTTTTATTCCCTTGGCGAATATCAGAATGCTAAAGAATATCACGAGAAAGCACTTGCCATCGAGATAGAAATTGGCGACAGAAGAGGAGAAGGAGCAAAATACGTGAACCTCGGAAATGTGTTTTATTCCCTTGGCGAATATCAGAATGCTAAAGAATATCACGAGAAAGCACTTGCCATCGCGATAGAAATTGGCGACAGAAGCACAGAAGGAACAACATACGGGAACCTCGGAAGTGTGTTTTATTCCCTTGGCGAATATCAGAATGCTAAAGAATATCACGAGAAAGCACTTGCCATCGATATAGAAATTGGCAACAGAAGAGGAGAAGGAGCAAGATACGTGAACCTCGGAAATGTGTTTTATTCCCTTGGCGAATATCAGAATGCTAAAGAATATCACAAGAAAGCACTTGCCATCGCGATAGAAATTGGCGACAGAAGAGGAGAAGGAACAACATACGGGAACCTCGGAAATGTGTTTTATTCCCTTGGCGAATATCAGAATGCTAAAGAATATTACGAGAAAGCACTTGCCATCGCGATAGAAATTGGCGACAGAAGAGGAAAAGGAGCAAGATACGTGAACCTCGGAACTGTGTTTTCTACCCTTGGCGAATATCAGAATGCTAAAGAATATTACGAGAAAGCACTTGCCATCGCGATAGAAATTGGCGACAGAAGCACAGAAGGAACAACATACGGGAACCTCGGAAATGTGTTTGATTCCCTCGGCGAATATCAGAATGCTAAAGAATACCACGAGAAAGCACTTGCCATCGCGATAGAAATTGGCGACAGAAGCACAGTAGGATCAGTATACGGGAACCTCGGAAATGTGTTTTCTTCCCTTGGAGAATATCAGAATGCTAAAGAATATTGCGAGAAAGCACTTGCCATCGCGATAGAAATTGGCGACAGAAGAGGAGAAGGAGCAGGATACAAGATCCTCGGAAATGTGTTTGATTACCTTAGCGAATATCAGAATGCTAAAGAATATCACGAGAAAGCACTTGCCATCGCGATAGAAATTGGCGACAGAAGCACAGTAGGAACAGTATACGGGAACCTCGGAAATGTGTTTTATTCCCTTGGCGAATATCAGAGTGCTAAAGAATATCACGAGAAAGCCCTTGCCATCAAGATAGAAATTGGCGACAGAAGAGGAGAAGGAGCAAGATACGTGAACCTCGGAAATGTGTTTGATTCCCTTGGCGAATATCAGAATGCTAAAGAATATTACGAGAAAGCACTTGCCATCGCGATAGAAATTGGCGACAGAAGCACAGAAGGAACAGCATACGGGAACCTCGGAAGTGTGTTTTATTCCCTTGGCGAATATCAGAATGCTAAAGAATATCACGAGAAAGCACTTGCCATCGCGATAGAAATTGGCGACAGAAGAGGAGAAGGAACAACATACGGGAACCTCGGAAATGTGTTTTATTCCCTTGGCGAATATCAGAATGCTAAAGAATATCACGAGAAAGCACTTGCCATCGCGATAGAAATTGGCGACAGAAGAGGAGAAGGAACAACATACGGGAACCTCGGAAATGTGTTTTATTCCCTTGGCGAATATCAGAATGCTAAAGAATACCACGAGAAAGCACTTGCCATCGCGATAGAAATTGGCGACAGAAGCACAGAAGGAACAACATACGGGAACCTCGGAAATGTGTTTTATTCCCTTGGCGAATATCAGAATGCTAAAGAATACCACGAGAAAGCACTTGCCATCGCGATAGAAATTGGCGACAGAAGAGGAGAAGGAGTAAGATACGGGAACCTCGGAAGTGTGTTTCATTCCCTTGGCGAATATCAGAATGCTAAAGAATACCACGAGAAAGCACTTGCCATCGCGATAGAAATTGGCGACAGAAGAGGAGAAGGAGTAAGATACAGGAAACTCGGAAGTGTGTTTTATTCCCTTGGCGAATATCAGAATGCTAAAGAATACTACGAGAAAGCACTTGCCATCGCGATAGAAATTGGCGACAGAGGAAGTGAAGGTTTGGCATACTTCAACCTTGGAATGGTGTTCTGGAATCTTAAAAAAAATCGGCAAGCTAAAGAACATTTGGACAAAGCAGTCGGCGTCAGTATTGCAATTGGTAACAGAGAGCTTGAAGCCAGAGCTACTGTGAGTTTGGGACATGTCTTTGATTCTGTAAATGACAGTCAGAAGGCAAAAGAACATTGTGAGAAGGCGCTTACAATCAACAGAGAATGTGGCAATAGAGAGTGCGAAGCACAAGTATACCTAAGCGTTGGACGTCTATTCCAATCTTTTGATGAATATGATAAGGCAGCATATTATTTACAGAAAGCTTGTTCCATAAGCAGCGAAATTGGACACAAAATGACTGAGTTTCAAAGCCTTCTCCATATTACAGAGTTAAAGATATCGCAGTTCGAGGTTGTGGAGGCATTGGAATATCTTTTCCAAGGTATTGAAAAATATGAACAAATAAGAACTCTTCAGAAAGGAAACAGTGGATTTGAAATTTCTCTGTTGGAGCATCGCGGTACTTTTCCCTACAAGTTACTCACTCACCTCCTTTGTGATACTGGAAAATTTCAAGATGCTCTCTATGTTGAGGAGCTGGGACGAGCAAGAGTCCTCGCACAACTCATGGCAGACAAGTACTCCTCTGAAAGCCACATCTCAGCTGATCCACGATCATGGTTCGGGATTGAAAACATCGCGAGAAGAGAAAGTAACTGTGTTTTTTTGTACATTTCGTATGAAGATCGGCAAGTTCTTCTCTGGGTATTGAAAGCAAATGGAGACATTTTCTTTCGAAAAACAGACCAAGTGAAAATAGACACTCTTATAGCTGAGCAAGTTTGTGAAGTGGAAGGAGTTTTCAAAAAGAGCGCCAAATGCTTTGGTGTTTTACCCGCAGCGAACTGCGAAGACCGATCGCTGGATGACAAGGTGACGACATCTCTTCATGAAGAGAGCCAAGCAAATTTGCGAGGTGACGAAACCAAAGGTACCGGACGAAGTCATTATTTGTGCTACGAATGGATCGTCGCACCTGTGGCAGATTTACTCACAGAGCCCGAAATCATCATTGTACCGGATCGTTTCTCGTATCGAGTCCCATTTGCTGCCTTGCGTGATGAACAAGCCGGAAAGTATTTATCGGAGAAGTACAGAATACGCATCGTCCCTTCACTGACAACTCTCCGGCTCATTCAAGAATCTCCAGCAGACTATCACAGTCAAACTGGCGGACTGATTGTGGGTGATCCTACGGTTGGCAAAGTGCAATACAATGGACGTCTCATTGACATTCAACCATTGTTCTGTGCAAGTAAGGAAGCAGAGATGGTTGGCCAACTGCTGGGAGTTCAGCCTTTACTGGGAAGTCGCGCAACAAAGCAGGCGGTTCTTCAAGAAATACCTTCAGTGAGTCTGATACATCTTGCCGCACATGGAGATCCCGAAAGAGGAGAGATTGCCCTCTCTCCTCAATGTACTACTAACAGTACTCCACAAGAGGAAGACTACCTCCTGACAATGTCCGACATTGAAGGAGTTCAAGTACGAGCTAAACTGGTAGTACTCAGCTGTTGTCACAGTGGGCGTGGATTGGTTAAAAAAGAAGGAGTTATTGGAATCGCTCGGGCATTCTTAGCATCTGGTGCACGTTCAGTGTTGGTAGCATCGTGGGCTATAGAAGACAAAGCAACGGCGAAGCTCATGAAACATTTCTATAAACACCTTGTGCGTGGAGAAAGTGCCAGTGAATCTCTTCACCAGGCCGTTCAATGGTTGAGAAGCAATGGATTCTCCAAACCTTCCCAATGGGCTCCGTTTGTGTTGATGGGGGATAACGTGACATTTGATTTTATGAAAAAAGGGTAAGTCTGATTAGAATGAGCAATTTTCTATAATAAATAACAATAAATCGACAATCTTAAAGTCACTTTCGTATCAAGCATGGTATTTTCGACAAGTTTGGACAATCATGGCCGATGGCATTGAAGAAGAAAGTAATTTATTTAATTGGAAATCTGTCCTGTTTACTTTAAAGATGAAATAGCGACAAATTTTTATAATGTTTTTTTTAGGAAAGAAGAACTCGAGGAGGACAACAACGAGGCGGAGAAGAAACAGAGTGACTACTGATCCTACACAAAGATTCTTCTTCCTAAACATTGTCGTTCAATGAACACTGGTATTACTTTGCGAAGACATTTTCAATTTTTTTATTTAGTCAAGTAGTAGATGTTGGGTGCTTTTGTAGACAGGACTTAATCGAAAATGCGAAAACTGAACGCAGGAAATTAGCTTAATGTAAAAAAATGTAAGAATGTGGCAAAGTTTCGTCAAAACTCAAAATTAATCCTTGATTTAAATCATTATCAGGTTCTGTTTTCAATTCTCCCGCTGCACGCACACGTGATCATTAAAGAGTGATTAAGACTGTTCACAGGTGCAGGAGATGATAACATAACAAACTAACGGAAGAGGGAACAAAAAGTGCCGAGACACTGAAGACACAATCAAAAAAAAAGAGAAGGTGATTGTGTAAAAATCAGACAGAGAAGAGAAAAATGCTTGAGAATTACCGCAAAAATCAAACAGTGTTGAGAACAGGGCGCTACATGTTAATCTAAAAGTGAAGTGGAGAAGAGAACAAACAGAGTACAATATACTAAAAGAAAAGTATTAACAAATAGAGAAGAAGAGAAACGGTGAGCGAATTATTGAGATAAAATTAGGAGAAAACATTGCGCGAGATACTAACGTCAAACAGAAGAGTGCGAACAGTTCGTAGGATATGAACGTGACAATCAGCCAGAACTAACCCTTTAACTCCCAAGATCTCATAGTATTTCTCCCTACTGTCTGCCATAAAATACTCATGATTTCAATTTGGAGAATTTGGTATTGGATCAGCCCGTAGTTCCCTAATCGAGTTTTCTTCTTTATTCTCCTCACTTGTCTGCTTGATTCTGTGTTGATATTGTGAGGAGAAATTCTGTCTTGGTCACTCATGGGAGTTAAAGGGTTAAGGAAAAGAACAGAGGGCTCGATTCTAATATAGGAAAGAAATTTAAGTTAAAACAAACAGTGAAGTAGATATTAATTAGGAAATCAAATCGGAGGAGAGAACGAGCTATGCACAAGATTCAACTGAACAAAACTACCAAACAGAGCAGTAAAAAAAACCAGTTCTCAATATAATCGAAACAATCAAAGTAAAAAGAAGAAACAGTGGACTGGACAAACAGTAAAATCATAGGCATGCAATGCATGCAATACATGCAAGAGTTGTTTTTAAGGCTGGATGAGTTAAGGTGTGACACTGTGTAACTGATGTTTTCATTTTTGTTAAAGAAAAAGAGCCTTAACCTCAAAAAGAACGAAAATAACGCATTAGTTAAGTTAAAAGACAGGAAAAAAAGTTCCTATTAGTCTGAAATAAACTCACACGTAGTTATTTCGTGGTCCATTGTCTATGTGGTCTGAGTAATTAGTAACAAAAATAAACTTACTTTGCCTTAAGAGACAGGGGGAGGGAAGGAGGGGGGAGAGAGCGGGAGAGAGAGGGGGAGAGAGGGGAGAGGGGGGGAGAGAGGGGAGAGAGAGGGGGAGGGAGAGAGAGGGGGGAGAGGGAGAGAGGGGGGGGAGGAGAGAGAGAGGGGGAGAGAGGGGGAGAGAGGGGGGAGAGGGGGGAGAGGGGGGGGAGGGGAGGGGGGAGAGGGGGGGAGAGAGGGGGGAGATAGAGGGAGAGAGAGGGAGAGAGAGGGAGAGAGGGGGGAGAGGAGAGGGAGAGAGAGAGAAAATTTATTTTTATTAACCGCTTTTTTCGGTCCATACAACTTGATTATGGGGGAAATTTTTAGTTCCTCTATTTTGCCCCAACTTCAAGATCGTGGCTCATTACTGTTCCTAATAATATACATGAAAAAATTACTCAGTTCGGATTGGTTAAGATAAATGCAGTTTTCAGGTAATTCAATGCAGAGGAAGGTTAATTCAGTGCAAAGAAGTAACAAACCAGACATTCTGATTGGTCAGTAATCAAAGAAACTTACAGATAGCCAATCAAATGCGAGCCTTGGATGTCGCAACATTTGGATACGCTGAAAATTTGCAACCGAAACAATGGCCGGCGTTTCAAGTAGGTTTTCTTTCGCCACCGCAACAACACGACAGCAGCTGAAAAACAGCTCTAACAACGAAAACACCGTAAAAAGCACTACTCTTGGAATTGCCGAGGAAATTGAAAATTATGAGAAGACTCAGCTTAACACTTTGCTCGAGTGATTCCACGCCGAAATTAAAAGCAAACATGATTAAACCTGGCAAACGACGATTCCATTTCATCGAAAGTGATTCGGTGTTTAGCCGAACTTTGAACTTTTTGTGCCCTAAAGATGTGAAAATATCATTGTATATTATTTTTTTGATCGTACGCGGTTGTTTTGCCCGAACGCACCGTTTGAATAAATTATTTTGCACTTGATGCGCGCGCTTTGCCTCTGCACAATTATGATAAGCTATCTCGTATTTTTTCATGTATGTTATTGATACGTAATCACATGATTTTTCTTGTACAATTTGAAATAAATAAGCACTTGTAAACTGCACTCACTTGGTCAGTGACCAATTGACATCTACGTATTGACAAACGGCAGTTGAATCCCTCGGAGGGCATCTAAATGTCCACATTCATTCTGTGGTGAGACTGGGAGCACATGCGAAAGTTCGGAGTGTCCGACATATCTCCAGCCTTCTTCTCAGATAACGCTCGGGTCCGAACGTTCCTTTACAATGAAATAATACAAAGTTTATGTTCTTGGGCATAACTATGTATTGCGGCCGACTTAGAGTCATTTCAGCCCTTTCCGTTAGGCGAAGGTTATGACTCTGAGAAGGGCCCAAAAACACAATCATGCTTCAGAACATAAATTATTTTATTATCATTTACACTTTTGGAGGGTATTGAGAAAATAAAAACCGAAGAATTGAGAAAAAAAATTCAGAAGGAAGGAGAGGGGATTCCGGATGGAGTGGGTCAGTAGTATTCTGGCTATCCGCGGCCCCTTCCCAACACCGTACAAACATGGCCGGTCAGAAGGCTTCACTGCAGGCTAACAATGGCAGAGCGTTACAAGACATTGCAAAGCAAGGCTATACGCGGAAAAGCCCACGAGGGAAGAACTGGGATGTTGTAAGCTTCCAAAGTTCACTGCGCGAATGAATCAATTCAGGGGTATTCAGGTGAGGTTCGTTGAACAATTTGGAGGGCCAAATCATCGGAATGGACCGAAGTTAAGACGATAGAATATAGCATCCTTTGTGACATTCTTGCAAAATTTAGCCAGTTTGAGACACCGACAAAGAGGACTGGAGACTACTTACTCCTTGCATGTGATTGGTCGATGTCTTGGAACACCAAAATTTAAAGGTGAAAAAGACTACTGATTCCTTTCGATCAAAGCTTCCATTTCTTTCAAACGTTTTTAAACTTTTATTTCGATAGAGCGATGGAAGCTAGTGAGTTAGAATGCTGCTTGACAGTGGAACACCTCAATTCCAATGGTGTGGTCACGAAACGGCGAACGTACAAGAGTATTACAGTTGTCTTGGGTCGAGATGAATTTCGCGACATCGCTCTCCGAATTGTCAGTAGTCGATCTCCGTTGGGAAAGACTTTTCTCCTGAAGGAATTAACCATTCACAAACGGTTTTTACAGGAAGGGAAGGCTACAATCAAACTTCTAACACAGAAGATACAAATAATGTTTTCGAATTGTCCACCGAATCAGCTCGCAGCGTTTTTAAAATGTCTGTCATTGAAACTTGCTCAAAGTAAACAAAATGGAATTGCGAGTAACAGAAGACGGCTTCTCAGTGATAGAGCGCGGTCGTTTGAAAACATAAGCCCTCTTACAGACAAGGATTTCACAGTAGGCTGTAAGAAAAGACCACTAGGAGATAAGAACGGTGTGACACCGAAGCGAATTAAAACTACAGGTAAAGAAAGCGATTCGAATTTTGGAAACGAAGAACACAACGGAGCGGCAAAAAAACGTCTCAGCTCTTTGAGTTCTTTTCAAATGAATCTTATACCTGAGCAAATGGCAGTGGCGAACGCCATAAGAGCTGGAAAGAGTGTGTTTTTTACTGGTGGTGCCGGAACTGGCAAGTCATATCTCTTGAAACGTTTGATAACACTGTTACCACCTCAGAGTACCTTTATAACTGCTAGTACTGGAGCAGCAGCTTGTCATATTGGTGGGACTACGCTTCATGCATTTGCAGGTGTGTTCCCTTTGCAAGAGTGCTGAGGAGCGTTTTCCTTTTTATTGTAGTACTCATACATTTGCGCTAGACATATAATTGATGGCAGCAGTGAAATTGGTCGATTAATGGCTCTTGGGAGAAAGGAAGGGATGAAACGTTGACGAAGTAAAGAATTCATTAGTCTTCGAGCAGGCCCTCCTTTTCGGTTAGGTCTGTCGCGCGTGTCATAAAAACTCAGTGGAAAAAAATTGATGCTAGTGCGCCGCGCGGAGCTCTTGGAGTGAGGCCCCCAAGTTCAACGAACAACCACTGACATGCAGAAAAGAATGTTGAGGGGGTGTAAAGGGGGTTACTTTGCCAGCAGATTCGCCTTCCTTCCTTCCTTCCTTACCAGAAATAAGTGAACTCACACTCCACCCACTTTTCTCTACTTGAAGGAGACTCTGCTGGCAGGGTAATGGAAATGAAAGACTCGGTTTGCAGAACATTGAGGAGAAGAGTTGTTTTCAGACTAGGGTGAGTGTCTGGGAGACATGATGCCAGGCAGAATTGTGTACGTCTAACCTCTGGCCCTTTCTCCACGGAAGACCTCACCCATCACAGGCCACCATCCTGAAGTCTCTGGGAAGAGCTGTCACATAGACTCTATAGGATATGATTTGTGATATTGTGATATTGTGTTTTTTTTTTGCGAAAAAAAAAATGTCACTCACATTTTGTCTTAAATATAACGGCGAGAAACCTTCTCATAGGTTGGAACAACCTATGAGGTAAGGCTTTCAAGAGGAATGTCATGCAGCCACTTTAATTTCTGTTGATGGGTTTTCAAAATTTGATTAGTTTTCATGGTCTTGTGCATGACAGGTATTGGCAGTGGAAGTGCACCTCTTGCTCAGTGTGTGGATCTGGCATCACGGCCTGGGCGAGCCCAACAGTGGAGACGTTGTAAACATTTGATTATTGATGAAATCTCAATGGTTGAGTCCACCTATTTTGATAAACTTGAAGCAGTTGCCCGTGCTGTGAGAAAAAAAGAAAATATCCCATTTGGTGGAATTCAGCTGATTTTATCAGGAGATTTCTTACAGCTTCCTCCTGTAATAAAACAACAAGGACCCAAAAAGTTTTGCTTTCAGGTAAAAAATTATGATCCATTGACATTTCATCCAAAGACTGGGCAATCAGATTTTATACAAGCCACTGTCATGAGATTTTATGCAACCTTTGACTTTTTGTTACAATTATTTCAGGCAGATAGTTGGAGTGAATGTGTTGAAACAACCATTGAGCTTAAACATGTCTTTAGACAAAAAGATCCACTCTTTATCTCGATTCTTCAGAATGTGCGAGTTGGAAGGTAAAAATCTTAATTGTTGCAAGCAGTTTATGTTAATTCATAATGAACAGTTTATATGAATTATGTCAATATGAGTCAATGTGGTCTTTCAAGATACAGTGCAGCTGTCACAACAAGCCACCATTATCATTTCTGTTGAACAACTAGATTCCATGTTGCTGAGAATCTGTTCAGTAAAAGATCCCAGATGACATCAAAATGTGGTAAGGACAAAAAAGTGTCACACAAGCCACGGCCGAGTATGTCTCTGATGTTCTTACCACATTTTGACATATTCTGTGATCTATCACTGTTACCACCCACTGCAACATAGAATCTATTTGTTTCATACAATAAAGAGGCAAAATGTTGCTAATGGTGAGGTCATCTATGTGACTGTCCTCCAGCAGATCTTAAGAACCAATCAAACTGCATGTATAATTCAGCTTATCAAAAAAATCACAATTTCCTTGATTGTAGATGGTTTTAAAAAACTCTTGTTTTCCACTAATTCACTTGCCAAGTTGTTATTGGACAGTCTGTTATCAGACAGTTTGTTATCAAACAGTTCAATAAGCCAATCACATTCAAAGTTGTGGTTTAAATCAACCAATCACAACCTTGTTACTCCTTTGTCTGTCTTAGAATGCAAATTTTCCCTTTCTTTCATAACTTGGCTGTTCTTCTTTTCTTGGAAATTATAACTTTTAAGATTAATTGGTAATAAGACTTAATGTCACTTAATTCGGTTTGTGATCATACAATTGATAAACAATTCAGACTTCTGCTGGACAGTCTTCTGATTTTGTTATCACTTGTATAATTACAGACCAAATGGGACTCCACTCAGTCCCCTTACCTTTACTTATTGTGTAAATAATATTCTGTTGTATCCAGTTGTTCAGATGCTCTTGTATCCAAGTTAACTGCAACTAAGAATCAACTAATAGAACAAGGAGGAATACTTGCTACCAAGCTTTGCACCCACAAGGAAAATGTCAATCAGATAAACGACATACATTTGACAAGATTACCTGGTGAAAAGAAGGTATTTGAAGCAACTGACAGTGACAGTGGAATGAGCGCAATCCTTGACAGTCATGTTCCTGTGTCTTACGTTTTGGAATTAAAAGTAGGAGCACAGGTAACAACTTCTTACATAGTATAGCTTTGCTTTACACATTTACAGAATGTAAAATATAGTTATAATGATATTTCTTAATAAATAAATTATTTATGACCATAACAATGATGGGTCATCAGACTTTGATAACTCATCGTAAAATAGATTGTAGTAATGTATTCATCACTTCAAAAGAGAAATGTAATCTTTGTCTTGCAATGTGGTCACTTCAGTTGTGGATCGCTTTTGGGTATTGATAACTCCTGTTATAAGTAAATGTTAATAATAAATGTTGAGTGATTTATCCAAAATGCTTTTTCTCCTTTATTAGGTGATGCTGGCTAAGAACTTGAATGTCTTGAAAGGACTTGTCAATGGTGCTCGTGGAATAATCAAAGGATTTGATGAGGGATCTGCTGGTCTGTTAATTATACACTAACAGTATTATGAACCAACATGATGACCAACTCTCTGAGTTGGCTTGCTAGCTCATTTAGTAGAGCACTGCATTGGTATCCAGAGGTCATTGGGTCAAATCCTCAGTTTTTCTTTCAGGCCTTATTTTCACTGCTTTTAAAGTAGAGTTCATAACAGTAATACAAAGATTGCTTCCAAATTCACACTAACAGTATTATCAGAAAATTTCATGTATTTGATATGCAGGAAAATAAGTTTGCAGTCACAATTGTGAGATTCCTGAGAAATGTGTTCAAGAAATTCTCCTTTGATCAACACTTGACAGCTATTTTTGTCACTGGTAACTATTCAAAAAGGCTGTCACAATGTTTACTGAATAAAAATGTTACCTCCTCATAGTTTTTTGACCATTCATAATAAGATTGGGACTATAATTCAAGTGATACTAACTTTTGAAAAATTATAGGCTCATTAGAAGGATTTTATATTGCTGAATGACACAATTTCCTTCAGGTTACCCTATTGTCAAGTTTGTTTCTGGGATTGAAGAGATCATTGGTTCTGAAAAGTGGGTTGTATCAACACCTGGTGGAGGAACAGTCACTCGGCAACAGCTGCCACTTAAATTAGCATGGGCAGTGTCCATACACAAAAGCCAGGTAACAGAAGCTAAAAAAAAGATTGCAATGGTAACTTCTTGTAATAATAGTGTGGTGGATGAAAAAAGGGTTTTACATTTGAGGCAAGGCTAACTTTCTAACAAAGCTGATAAGAGATTTCTTCCAACAGTGTGCATTGCTTTAGGACTCGGTGGTTTTAAAGCACTTTTTTTTCCTGTACATGCCACCACAGAACTACTAAATAATTTCATCCAAGTTAGGTTAGAGAGAAATGGTGAGGAAGCTCAAATAAATCATGGGTTTTTCAAAGTATAGGTTTCTTTTACTAGTATTATATTACACAGGAAATTGAAAAAAGCAGCAACTTTCAATTTGCAAGTGTTATTAATTAATGAAAATAATGAGCCATCCAATGATAAAAACGCACCCAAGCAAAACAATAAAAGGAACAAACAAAGGAATCAACGGAAAGTAGCCTCGAAAAATGAGATATTATAGTTAAAAAGTTTAAAGTTTTTGTTTTTAAAATTTGTCACACTTGCTGAAATTTGAGATATATCAGATATAGATACTGAAATGAAAAAGGTCTGATGTTGATTCTGCACTGGGGAACAGGAAAAGAACCTAATCTGTTGAGGTCAAGCCATTTCTGTGACAATTTTGCTTATCAACTAAATTAGGTAACTGCACTTTGCTGTTGTAGTGTTCTCTACCAATTTTAATTTTTCTTCCAGGGTATGACACTGGATTGTGTTGAAATCTCTCTGTCAAAAGTCTTTGAATATGGCCAAGCTTATGTTGCCCTTTCAAGAGCCCGCAGTCTTCAAGGCCTCCGAGTGTTGGACTTTGATAGCAAGTGTGTACGCGCTCACCCTGATGTCTTGCGTTACTATGCAAGGCTGCAGCGGGATACAAAAGTCAAGAAAGCCAACCCTGGTCGCTTAAACTTTCAGAATGAAGAGAAAGAAAATATTTACCCTTGCTAAGTGAAGTATTCATATACCAACAGTCAGTACAAGACCTGTGGTAAGAAGGGAGAAAGGGAAAAGGAAGTTGACAAGAAAAGGACAACAATCTGAGCTGTAATTTCTTGCTCATGCAATGTTTCAAGCATTTATCTGATCCCAAGAGACTAACACACACCACTTCAGATAAGACTCAGAGACTAAGAGACACACCCTATTAGTTATGTAATTAATTACACTGTATATTTCTTTGCTCCAAACACTGCTTGTAGAGGATTGTAAAAAAGATTTTTCATAAATACCTGCATAATGAAAATATTTTTAATTAATTTAAACTATTTTAACTTGTTCTATTTATTACATATTTTTTTATTCTGGCAAAGACTCCTACATATAAGTTATTGCCTAAAGATCAGCAAACAGAAGATAACGAAGATACCCTGTAGTGATAAATAAAGCTAAAGCATAATAAAATTGTTTTTGAAGCTAATTTGTTTTTGTTTTTCACCCGAGTTGATAATGTAAATTAGCCCTTGTAAACAGTTTCTAGCCCTTCTTTGAAGCTTAAGAATCTCTTTAGAATGACTAATTACCATTATCAATTCAGTTGATAACACCAACTTTTTTTTGTCACAACCCCACCAACACAGCACCACAGTTTCTTTAGAAACTTACCCCCTATAATTTTTTCTAACACTGTTTAATAATCTGAATAACACTGAAATCCAAAGGTCTCCCATTCAATTCTCAGTAAAGAATTTCAACTCTATACACTGCATTCTGATAGGTCACCAAATATAGTGATGTAGAATTTTCATTTGATTAAACACCCAACCTTGAAAGAGCACTCACCCTATAGCATAGTAAAAGTTTAAAAGCACCACCTTAAATAGGCACCCTACTGCCTTACAATCTCTAAATTCATGTTTTGTCACAAAATCAACTTACTACTTGCTGAAAATGGCAATGATTTGATTTCATAAGCACCCACAGCGCTTACTTGAATAAAATACAGATGGCTGCAAATTCAGTGACCAAACCTTTTTCATTTAACTATGGCATCCAAAACAGTTCCAGCTTGTAGCATGATACATTTTTTATTTAGAAAAATATTTCACAATTTTGCCTCTATGAACACCTATAGAGGCAAAACACAGTCATGGCCAACTTCTAAGATGCCCTCAACCTGAATTTAATCATTCTCTACACAGCTTGGATAAGCTCACAAAGGTACTTTCTTCAATGATTCACTTGTCACCTACTTAAATCATTACATAATTATTTAACTGATTTTATAGCACATTAAATGTGCTTTACATGTATGTTGAAAAGTAACAACCTCTCATCAGTGACTTTTTACCGTGGATTAATAATACTTTATCTTATGTAATGAACTTCTTGTCAGTGACCGTTATGGAAATTGACAACCCACACACAGGCCACACAGAACACTACAACCATGAGAAAACATGTCAAAGCTGTCGACCACACCCTCCCTGTCTGGGCTCCATCTGTTACCTGTCAATAAACCACACAATGGCAATATTGTCTGATTAATACTGTGATTTATTTGACAGTCAAACAGTGAGACTGTGTGCAAGGCAAAGTTTGTTGAAGTGAGCTACAATTGTAAGCATGCTAGAATTTCTAATTGTCATCATCATCCATGCTGAACTAAAATAGTTTTTAATAGTAACATTCTAAAGAAATATATTAAAATTGATTTTTTATGAAGATGAATGCAACTAAAAAGTGAAGTTTGAAGGTGTCTGGTATAAACCTGCCATTGCAAAAGTTGTAAACATTATCTCTAATCTTGGTAATTTGGTTTTATCAACTGAGTTGATACTGTAAATTGGCCAGAATTTCAAAGCTGACATTTTGAGTATTAGTCCTTTGTAAGGGCACGTAGAGGAATTGTGGGTTGAGCGTGAGTTTATATGCAGAATAATTTTTGGTGAAGGGCTAATGATCTGGGCAGGGTTAAGGGAAAAAAATAAATTATATAATTTATAAAACACATAATATGAAATATCAGTAAGCCCCCAAAGTAGATACAATCTACAAATCATTACATGAAATGAGGCCTAAGCAAATGAGCTGACTCTTGATAATAAATTTGGGATCGTCAAAAATATATATATAATTTCTCTCCCTGACAACCTATGAATTTTATACAGTACAGGTGATGGCTAGAAAAGTCACCTCTTGACTTTGAGACATGACGTTTATGAACAGAACTAAAACACCTGTCAAAAAATACCCCCAAAATATTTTAATGTTTGAAAAACAAAGTGCTGCTATAACAAGAGTTGAGTGTTCTGTAAATGCTACTCAGTCTATAAGGTGTACTAGTCTAATTGATAGGCATCAAACTCTAGCAAGTATAAACAACATACAATACTGTGAAGATGTTGAGCAAATACATCAAAAGAGAACTTCTTGATCACATTCTCTTTGCCAGCTTCACCCATTGTTGAACTAAGTGAGGGATTCTTCAAAAACTCCTTCATTGCTAAAGCAAATGATTCGGCATCAGGATTGCATAAAAATCCAGTCACGCCATTTTGAACAGTTTCCAACGGCCCTCCACTGTTAACTGCGATTACTGGACGCTTCATATACATGGCCTCAATTGGAACAATCCCAAAGTGTTCATGACTTGGAGTATAGATTAAGCAAGAACATTGATTAAGAAGACTTAGCTTTTGAGCATCACTGAATGATCTCACAAATGTGACTTTACTGTTCAGGTTGTATTGTTCAGCAAGTTTGCAAAGTTCCAAATGGTGCTCTTTGTTTTCTGTTACTCTGTCATCATATCCTCCTGTAAGAACAACAAAGAAATATTGTATAAATAGAGACTTCCATGGAAAGTGGGCACAAACCACTTTTATTCACAAGTCGCAATGCATCAAAAGTACAAACAAGTGAGCACAGCAAACAAGTGACTTTTTGAGGCATTACAACTAGTGAATGAAAATTGTTCAAGCACTTTCCATGGTATTATGTTTTTGTTTAATACATGCTGACATTTTTTCACATTTCAATACTAAGATTGGAAGCAAATGACTGAAAATACATCATTTGTCCAATCAGAGACATGGACAATAGTACTTCACAGTGAAAATCTCAGTATGTATGAAATAATTGTTTGAACTGAAATGTTCCCCTTCTTTTTGAACCCAGAGATATAATAAATACCTTACTAACCTTGTTTTTTTGTTCTTTACTGTAAATTACAGAAAATAGTTATTTTTGCATGGATTTATTGCCCATACACTTTGCCCTTGGGCCATAAATCCAAAAATTTTGGAGTGTAACTCAAAGAATGGACCTTGAACTTGGTAAGTAAGAGATACATGTAATGTAAGCTGTACATGTAATGTAAGCTAAGGACCTCAAACTTGATAAATAAAAGGTACCTTATTGTTTACCTGCCATAACTAGATGAACATCCTTCCATTCCTTGTCACTGATAATATTCCTGAGCCAATCTAATGCCTCCAAGGCAAGGTTCAAATTTTTCTTTCTTTCATATCGATTTATAGACAAGAAAACACACTTGGCAGTAGGTGGTATGAGGTCTTCAATTTCCTCCTTTACAACTGGTTTATCAAATGAAGAAAAATTCAATGAAGGATATAAGACACGTGGACGGTTACTGCACAGACTTGTAAATGTTGACAAAAATGTTTCAGCAGTAAAATTGCTGTTTACAAGAACACTATCTGCCATGCCTGAAATGGAAAAAGAATGATCATATTTGCTGACACTGCTATTGCATGTATACAACATGATGCACACTAACCATAAGCAGCCTATTTTCCATATTTTAACCATCTTCCTTTCATACATGACCAAGACAGAATTTCTCCTTACAAGTCAATACAATATCAAGCAGACAAGTAATAGAATAAAGAAAAGTATCCAATATCAAATTAACTGAAATAACATCACAAGAACTGTAAGGCAGACTGTAAAGAGAAATACCAGTGAGATCTTAGGTGTGAAAGGTTTATGTGAAACTTGACATAATTCTTACATGTTTCTCAACCATTAGTCACATGAGAATTGTATGATAATCTAATGGATATTATTTAATCAAAAGTCACACCCATTCTTACTTGTCCCCTGAGAAAAAAAAGATCAATGCCCCATCAACCCTTCAATCCCTTTGAGTTACTGCCCTACAGATTTCCTTACATTATCACCCTTGATACTTGAAGCCTGGTGATAATGAAAATGATACAAAAAGTTAAATGTGAACCTTTTATATCCTGATAAATCTCAATCTTAGTCAACTAGACTCTTGCAAAGGTAATAAACCATGACACTTATCAAATGAGTATAAAATTTCTGGTGAACATTAATCTTTGTGTATGTCCCCCTGATTCCATGACATCATTTACAAGATACCCAAACATTAATTTATACATCATTTACAATACCAAACACTGTGATTGGTGCAAGATATCCAAATGCTGTGATATACCATATTTATCTGTGTATAACTCGAACCCATGTAAAAGTCGACCCCCCATTTTCAAGGTCAAAAATCGGATTTTTCATTGTTTCTAGTTAAAGAAAAATTCAGACTGATAGAAAGTTCCCAAATGTTTGATATCTTATTTCTGAGAACATATTGAAAACACAGTGAATTAAAAAAAAACTGCAGAGCAAAATGTAACCTTGTGCTGTAACACTTGTTTATATCACCATGATTCATGATTTAAGCATATACACCGTATGAGCACTTCGAACTACTGGAGAAGTAATTTACCATATTTTTTAAATCGCTTTGAAAATGAAATCTTCGTGCATTTAAATAACTTTTTGAAAGGAGATTTAGTAGACCGAAGGAACACCGAAGAGCTTCGAAGGATCACTTGATGAAAACATCGCCATCTTGGAAACTACAAATTTGAGGAGCACTGGTAACTAAGATAACTTCACGTGCAATGAAAACGAGAGTTAAGTACCGTAAACAGCAGCGAAGTTGTTAGGAAAAATGTCTGCTCTACAGATCAGAAGATACAATAGAAATAAGCTTCAGTAGGTTTCTGTTTAAGCCGCGTAAAATTCATTATTTCAAACTTTTTTGTCTATAAAGAACATGCTGAAAACTGATGAAACTCTAACACAGTGAGAACTGGTTTTGTAAACTCGGTTTTACCAATGGACTTCAGGCAATTGTTATGCTAATTTCTTGGATTGCTTGGGTCAGGTCTTTGTCTATGACCCGTGTATAAGTCGAGGGTGATTTTTGGGCTGATTTTTCGGTCATAAAAAGTCGACTTATACATGGATAAATACGGTACTCTACACACTAACATAGAGTTATTTTTTAAATAAAAAATTCAAGAAGCTCCTGTTTGTCACACTAATTCTTCTTTTCAATACCTAAGGAAATGTATAAAGAAAGTATGGAGAATATGTATACTGATGTTTGGGTGTAAACAGCTAAGTATGGGGGAAGAAGTAATCTGTACTCAGACTGATGGTCATACTTGCTTTGGGATAAAAATCAAACTTTCCAAAATCCCCTGAACAAGGTATATTTACTTGTGCAAGCGCTACAATGAAAATTTACGTTGAAGTATATCCATTCCCCAAAATAGTGTCTTAAAATCAGGCTCCCATTCCCATCCCAAAGAAAAGTTATAAGGATGAATTAAAAGAACCATTACATATAATATAAATTACATATAATATAAATAGCCAAATAGTTAAATAAGTACAAGAATACATGAATGATACAAAAAAAAAACCTCTGGTCACCCCTGTCAGTTTGAATCTGTACTAGCACCCCCTAACCCTCAAAACTAAACACATCTACAAAGCCTTCTTTATTATCCTTCACACGTGAAGATCACATTTCAGCTTACCAGTTGTGAGTTCCTCCAACCAGTCTAATGGAGCACGATAGAGCTTTTTAAGGAAGCTTTTTCGTTGAGTTAGGAGCAAATCTGGAAAATGACAATAAAACACGATCCGTGCTTTGCTGAGCTTTAGAAAGGGGATACAGACAGACACCTGATCACAAAACACAACATCCATCCGCCATGATGAGAAGAGCACCAGATAAATAGAGACATAAATCATTCTTACATACGCCCAGAAAGCGTAAAAATATCCAAAGCAGTGTCTAGGGAGCCAGTCTCCAACTGCAGTGACTTGAAGTGAACCGTTCTTAGTCTCCTCGAAGCAGTGAGACTTATCATGGTGAGACGTGAAAAAATGAACTTCGTGACCACGGGATTTCAGAGCTAAGCCAGCATCCACCACTAGACGTTCAGCGCCACCGATTCCCAGATCTGGATGAACGAAGGCAACTCGAACCATCATAGAATTAACCCACAATGAAGTAAAAATTCAGCAAATGCTTTGAAACGAACCCAACACACCTCCTTGGATGAGAATTACGTCGTGTCGTGTACACAGAGTCTCACAGGTTGTGCACCAAAAAAGGCAACAACAGCGTTTGTTACTTGACTTACGAGTGGTTAATGATACTTCAGGCTAGGTAAGATAACTATTGCAATGATTATTAGAAAGTCTTCTTTCTGGATACACGGATGGGAATGACAAACCAATCGAAATTCAGTGAACAATTCTGACCACCGTGTGTGCCATTTTGAATTTCCAAAGTTGGAGAGGTACTGGGATGGGGGTACCCGTCAGGCCTAGGTAAAAGCCAAAATGGCGGACAGTGGGGGATTGGAGTTCCAAGCTGTTAGGGAAAGATTAAAGGTATGCTTCTCTCGTTCCATTGATGAAACAAGTCCAGTACAAAAATCTGAGAAAAAATTTGGTTCTCCTTTGCAGTCTTGTGTAAACAAAGCTAAGGATGATAATGACGAGACGGAATTAGTTGCTGCTTTCCAAAGTACAGCTGGAAGGTATCAGAGTATGTTACTTATATGTTAAGCCTTTAAAAACTCACCTTCGTGTGGCATGTAGTCGCTAGTTCAGAACTATTGCACAGTTTTGTCTTTTGTTTATGGTCTACCAGTATAATACAATATAATGACTGCGTAAAGAAGTTGTGAATGACGATGGTGATACTAGACATAATTAGCATTGCTGCTCGACACGATTTACAGCACCACTTAAAAGGAAGTGTACAGTTTCAAGTCAAAACTTGATCCTTGATCCCCGAAACTATTGAGAATCGAGGCTCGATTATAATAATCGAGAATAATCGAAAATCGAAGATTGTGTTTCAAGAGAATGTCAATATACTTTTGAGCTGTGTTGTAAGTTCGCCACGCAATGTGTGCTGAGTTTGTGATTATCGTAATAATGATAAATCTTCATAGAAGCCTAACTGAGCTTGCAGGGATCTTTTGTCACTAGATAATGTATTACATTTGATATCCTAGAAAGTGGTAAATTGATAGTGTGACATATTTTTGTCTGTGACTTTTCCATTGTTTTAGTGAGCAGGAGAGAAAACTGGTAGTTGATCAAGTTTTCAGAGATCTTGTTAAAGATTCAGTGGTGAGTATTTGCATAGTTGGAGCAGCTCTGTGTACATGTGCTTGTTATATTATGATGATAAGCTAATCTATATTCACTGAATGTATTTACATGATAAGCAGAGATTATTCCATGGAAAGTGCACATAAACAAATTTTATTTACTAGTTGCAATGCATCAAAAAAACAAACCAGTGAGTGCAGAGAACAATTGAGTTTTTTAATGCATCACATAGAGAGAATAAATATTGTACGTGTGCACTTTCCATGGTAGTATATTTTTATTTTGTGCATACTGAGTTTTTTTCACTGACCCACACATTTCAAAGATTGGAAGTCATTTGTTGTCCTCCATTGTGAACTACTATGGTTCAAGTCTCTGATTGGACAAACAATTTATTTTCACAGTTGTACATTCAGTATGGCTGAAATATATCAGTATTAATAATAGCAAATACTGGTATTTTGTAATGTCCAGTTGATTCTGAACATGATGCAAGCATATGCGTGAAGTGGGTAGAAACCATGTTGGTAAAGGGGAACTCATGATATCTGGGTGATGCACTTGGAATCATTTGATATTGCAGCATACCTTCCTAATGAAAATGATCAAAACAACTCCTGATTTCTCGAGTATCTGTGCCACCAAGACAAGGTGAAGAGATGAAAAATTGTTTGCCATGTCGTCTTTCCATGTCCAGGGTTCCTCATCTTGAAAACATGAAGTATGGCACCTCTCTGTGAACAAGTTGCATTAAGAACATCATTATTCATTAGATCTCTCTTATAGCCAGCTCAATTCTAATCTTTACCACCTGACTTCTTCTTCAGCTACATCCCTGGATGTACATGTAAGACCCAAATAAATACGACAGAGAAATATGACAAGAACTGTAATTTATGTATTTCAGCTCAAAGGGGGAGATATGGACAGATGCAAAGTCTTGATCAAGTTGGTTATCAAATCAGCTCTTCAAGGTGAGCTCATTCCTTAACACCCTAACGTCAGTATGTATATTCTCCAAACTGTTCCCTATACATTTCCTAAGGCGGTGATAAGGAGAATTTGTATAATAATCAAGAGCCTCTTCAGTTAGCGATTATTTCCTTTATTCTTGTGACCTTAATGTGTGATTGGGGTTGTAAGGAGAAATTAGGTGCTAATCACTCTAAGGGGTCAAAGAGTTAACCCTTTAACTTCCAAGATCTGATTGTTAATTCTCCCTTCTAGCTGCTACACATTTCCTTGTAAATTAGTTATGAGAACTTGGTACTAGATCAAGGTAGCAGCTTCTACCTGATAAGTTTGAATATTCTCATTACCTGTTTGCTGTATAATGTATGGATATTATAGGTAGAAGTTTCCCACAAAGCGGGAGTCTGATTTGTTAATCATGAGTATAATTACAGACAGAATTGGATGACATGAATTCCTGTAACCAATTAATCAAAACTATGACAAAATTTGAGAAAGAATTAGACATCTGCTATATGTTTTCATAAAAAAAGACAACAGTTAACTCGGTGAAATAAGAAACATCAGCATGCGCACATGACAAGTTCTGTCCCCTTACACAAACATGATGTGTTGACTACCCCTTTAACTGTCCTATTACACTATCCGATTATAAGCATGATGTGTACACTGTCCTATGGGAGCTCAAATCGGGTCGGTGATAATCAATCATTTTTGGGAATTTTGTTATATTTTTTATTAGACAAGTAATTAGCTACACTTATGATAGAAGAAACTCTTTGTTCACTTTCTTTTTTTTTTTTTTTTTTTGTTACAGGATACTGTTCCCCCAACTTAGTGTTCATTTTATTAAGTGACATTTTTGACTGCATCACTCTGGAGAATTGTGATCCACTTTTCACATTTGTAGAAGAAAAGGTTTCTACTTGGACTATGGTAAGCCAAGACCTTCAAGTTATTGCTCACAAATAGATGAAGAGGAATTAAATGACTGTGCTTTGAATTATATTCTGATCGTGTAACCCAGAAGGACAATTATTTTTGATTCCTCAATCAGCACTGAAGCCTGACTTTATTTATCAGAATCTTGGGAGTAACTAATTTCTGGTTTTTAATTATTGATGGAATATTACCATCATTGTATTATTATGAAAAGCTAAATTCTTTGTGCATTTTTGTGGGTTATTGCTGGGGGGGGATTTTTTTTTATCTTGAGGACAGATGCCTAGATAAGGTCAATATTTACAACCATATTGTTGTGTCTGTCCAGTAGTACTGTAGGTCATAGAAGAGGCAAAAATGTGGTGAGAACCCAAGTGACACTTGGCTGCATCTCTTGTGCCATCTTTTTGTCCTTTCTGCCTTATGACATCATCTGTGATCTATTTCTGAACAGACACACAACATGTTGGAATTTGTTTGTAAACTGTACATAGATTCTGCAGGAAAATCATGTGTTCATCCCTTAACTCTACCTGCCCTTCACTTAGCCTCATTTAAGAACTTTATGTAGCTTTAATCTTATTTCGATTTGATTTCAGCCATTATTCTTTTCTGCTGGAAAGAACCTTCTCCTTAGAATGTGTAACGGTGAGGTTTTCAGTCTTAATAGAAGTATCCTAATAGCTAAGGGTATTTATTTGATTATTAATAAGTACCCAACCACGAAAAAATGCCTACCTTGAATTAGTGCCCACCCTGTTGATAGAAAAAGTTGATAAATGTCCAGCTGTCCATTTGAAATTCTCCCCACTATCTGCTATATAATTCATGTGATACAGCTTTGAAGAATTTAATATTGGATCAACTTATAAACACCTAATTGATATATTTCTTTATTATTATCATTTGCCTGCTTGATATTGTATGAATATTGTTAAAGAAATTCTTTCTTGATTGCTTCTGGGAGTTACAGGGTGAGTATACAATATAAAGACTCTCTATGAATGATTAAACTTTCACTGGTAAACTTTTTTAGACTTGCTACGCCGCTTATCAACTTCCCAGAACACAGTATTTTGTGGAAGGATTCAGCTGTTCCTGGCAAGGCTGTTTCCCCTTTCTGAAAAATCAGGTGAGCAAGTAGTCATTGCGGCATGCAATGTTTTGGCCTCTGCTGTGATCTTTGATAGAAACACAGTACATGTAAATTGGCTCTCTTCATTTTTCAGTTTGAACAAAAGGTATAATAAAATTAAAAGGACATGTCAATGTATCTCAGTCAGTGGATTTAACTGTTCAGAATATTATTACATTAAGCTGTTGGTACAATGTAGCGTGGGTTTTACACATAGAGAGTTCCTTGTTACTGTAAAACTAGGGTTGATATAGATCCTGGAAAGTCATAAAATTTTAGAATTTCATTTTCCAGGCCTGGAAAGTCATGGAATTTAGGTTTGGCTCTTGGAAAATCATGGAAAGTCAGCAGGCTTTCTATCAGTACAATAAAATTTTTTGACCAAATTGAAAAATTGATCAACAAGTTAAAAATTAAATTTCAGTAGAAATAAGCATTAGTGTGTATTGCAAGATCTACATTTATGTACACTTTTGTTTGCACTGCTTTCTTGTGTGACATTTATGCAAATTTGTGTGCCATTTGAAATGAACCAATCAGTACACCTGCTTAACTATGGTCTTGGAATTTTTTGAAAATCACGGAAAAAGTTCTTAAAAGTCAAGGAATTTTCACAACTCAAAAATCTGCAAACCCTAAAATTTGTTTTAGAATTTGCATTTTTGCAAACATTTTCAAAACTGCAGGTCATGTACCTGAGTAAGATCAAGGATAAGTGTAAGTTGGTATATTTGATGTCGAGACTATTACAGCTGAAATTATAGGCAAGGATTCAAAGCTTTCTCCATTTTCAATTTACATGTAAATGAGTTTACAGGGTGTATATTCATTGAAGCAACCAATGTTCAACTTCTTTCTGAAGACTCTGCATATGATTTCTTTCAACTTCTTTTCAAAAACGTTTTGGATCAATGTTAATATCTGAGCAACTTTGCACCTACCCTACCCTCCCCTCACCCAACATTAACCCTAGCTTGTTATTAGTTGACTGTTGTTGGGTTAGGGGAGGGGTAGGTTTTCAGTTGTTGTCCCACTTTTTTTCCAAAATTTTTGTTGTCAAACCTGACATGTTGCTTATCTGCAGGTGCAGCCTATCTGCGAGCGTTCATGGTAACTTCTTATAGAGTGATATTCAAGTCTTTTAATTTTTCTCTTCTCTATACTTCAGGTCTGAATTTAATGAGTCAGTTTAATTATGAGAACACCACAACATATACAAAACAAACAACTGCTGAACTGAAGGTAATTGTGATGTAATTGATAAAATTAACCCTTTGACTCCCATGAGTGACCAAGACAGAATTTCTCCTTACAATTTCTGTTCAATATCAACCAGATACAGGGGGTGTTAGTGATGAGAATAAAGGAAAATATCAATTTGGGAATAATTAGTTGATCCAATACTAAATTCTCTGAACTAACATTAGAAGGATTGTATGGTTGACAGTAAGGAGAATTAGAAATTTGATCTGGGAGTTAAAGGGTTAGGCAATAATTAGGTCATGAGTGTTACATTGTTTTGTTGTTCAGACACGGTACTGCACAGCTCAGCTGCAGCACATAATTAAAGTAAATTCTGTACCCAGGCTGAGTTGCCCCATTTCTGGCCTTCTGTTGATTTTCTCAGCATTACTGACTAGGAGCCCACACAGAGACAGTTGTAGAGATTCAAATTCATCACACAGGGTTGTCATTAGAATATAAAGATATTACAATGTAATTAGAATGTTGTACTTTCTTAGATAGCTTTTTTCTTCTTAATTACATGTAGCATTTGATTTATTTTGGTATTATTAATTGTAGGACAAAGCTATCGGAGGTGAAATGGAAGTAGATGGCCAGGAAGCTGGGGAATTAACAACAAGGTAGAATGTGGAGCAAATTTGACAATTTCCTGAAAATATCCACACTTTGCATTTACACTGTCAGTTCTGTGGATAGTGTTGGAGGTCTGAGGACTCATCTTTGAATCTGATGTGTTACTTGACTTGGCTTTGAAAAAGTTTCTTTGGTTTTTTTCAAGACAACAGTCAATGTAAAGAATTTGAAGCTGCACACTATGAATGGAAAATAATACTGACAATAAACTGATGTCAGCTCTGGAAAAAATGAAATGAAAATTAAAGGTCCACCCCCATAGACACTTCTTCACTTCTACACCTCTATGCTTGGTTACATGTACATGTAGTTTTATTAAAGCAGTGTTAGTAATAGTGTAGTCTAGCATTTTTTAAGGTTATTTACAAATTGAATTTATTCCACAGTACTGTCCCAATTGACTTCAACCTGTACAAGAAATTTTGGGCATTACAAGATTATTTCCGTAATCCCACTCAGTGTTACACCACTTTGGCCTGGAAAACATTCACACAGGTGAGTAAACCCTTCAACTCCTAGATCAAACTCGTAATTCTCCTTACTGTCAACCATACAATTCTTACATATAATGTTAGTTCTGATAATTTGGTATTGGATCGTGTAATTATCCCCAAATTGATACTTTTCTTTATTCTCATCACTTATCTGGTTGATATTGTATTGATATTGTAAGGAGAAATTCTGTCTTGGTCACTCGTGGGAGTTAAAGTGTTAAGTCTTGTTTCAGAGTAAACAAATTTTTTTTCTATAATGAACATGTCTTCAAAAAATATGGTTTTTAACACATACACTAAAATTAAATGACTCTTTGGTTGAAGTTGTTGCAGGGTACTTGGTTACATTGCCCTGGTGCTTGTGTTGAAGATTTTCATCAACCCAAAAAGAACCTCAAACTGCTTTAATTCCTGCCTATGAAATAAAGGATTTCTGATGAATAAAGAATTTGTTGTTTCTCTTAGGATATAGAATGTAGATTCAAGCTATCAGTGTATGTCAAGACTTGTTTACTGTAACACTTTCTTTGCTTCTAGTATACAAAAGAAGTTCTAAATGTGTTTAGAAGTGTCAAGTTGGAACATGTTACATGGAAAAAGAAAGCAAAGGAGTTTAAAGATCTCCAGGGAAGGTACTGTTGGAGAGCTGACTACAATATTAAACCTATCCATCTTAGATTTGTGAACACAACAGAAGCATGTACAAGCACAGACATACAACTCAGCCAAACAATTGTATTCATAGTGACATTTAAGGCAATAAAATAAAAGCTTATTTAAATTCATGATTGAAGGATAAGAGAGACTGAGAGAGAAATCTGCCTACAGCATATCCCAGTTTCTTATGTGAAAACCATAGAGGACTGTTGCTGCTCCCCCTGGATGGAATGCTAGTATATCTCATGTTTTCCTTCTTCTTGATCCCCAGTATTTTTCACATTTCTGTTAGAATTTCCTGGGGCATTAGTAAGGCTCCAGATGTCAATGAACTTAAGTTAGCTGCTGAAAACATTGGGTCAATTTCAGCAAAAATGGATGTTTAGAGCCACATCACATGTTGATTTTAAAATTGTAAATTAAAGAAAAGGCTCTGAAAAGGTGGTTAGTTTCCAAAGAATTTACTGGTAGCTTGTGTGCTAAGGGGCTGATGCTTGCAACATCTGCTATTGAGAATTGGTTGTGACAGTTAATCTACCTTGATATTTTACCAATGCTTTGTTGAAAGAGGTGCTAAAATTTAAACATTTTGTTAAATTTGGTACATCTTGCCGTTGTTTTAATATCTCTCATACTGTATGCTGATTCATGAACGTGACTGTAAGAAAACTTTTTTTTTTTTTTCATCAGTGACAGCAAAGATCTGGCTCGCTATTTTGCCAAGTTTCTTACTAACGAGAAGGTAATTTCAACAATTGAATTACTTGTGAGTGTCTGCATATGAATTTTGTAACATTGTCAGCAAGAATCTGACACTTTTTTTTCTCTATCTTTTTGCTGTGTGAATAAAGCTCCTTGATCTTCAACTAAGTGACAGTAACTTCAGGAGAACTGTAAGTGAATCATTGTTAATACAATTTATCCAAAATTAAAAATGTCTAAGGGGCTTCATAAAGAGCTTCCAGAGGTTCATACGGTGGAGTTTTATGTTGACATTTTCCAGTACTGGAAAGTCGTGGGAAAAGATTACAGGTCCCAGAAAGTCCCTAGAAATCTGTTTAACTCAAGCAGTAGAGTTTTCTGAATTTACGTTATGAGAAATGTAAGTGGACCGTATGGAGAATTGATTGTAAAATCTTGGAAATAAAAGAGTTTAGGGTAAAAACTGGAGTTCTGGAAAAATCAATCAGAGTCTTAGAAAACTCCTCGCAATTTTTTTTCTGAAAAGGGTACGAACCCTCCCTTATTTTACGTCCAATTTTTTGGAGATTGTTATGCATCATTTAACTGTATACATCATTAAAAAGTAAATATGTCAAAATCCGATTTAGTCATGCACAATAATCCTTCCTTTTTTTTCAGATCCTTGTACAAATGTTAATAATATATCAGTACCTTGCTGGTAATGTCAAGTTTAAAAGGTGAGTTATTTATCTTAATTTCTTACTCATTTATTTGTCCTCTTTAATTTCTCTGTTTTCTTAGCAAAGGCTTTCATATCGTTTTTCTGAGTTACCCCTGGATGGGTATAACCAGGAGACTTCCATTTTTTCCATGCTTGCAATGTACATATTAAATTGAGGTATAACACAGCGGTGTGTTTCCATACTGAGATGAAACTCAGATCCATTCAGACCACAGCAAATAAGGACACTAAATCCCTTTGATAATGGTCCAACTGCACATAAAATTTGAAATAAGGAAGAAATTGTTGAACGTTAGGAAAGGTACGGCGTATAATCAAAACTATAACAGAATTCTCGAACGTGATTGGTTATAACCAGTCCGATTTGAGCACCAATATGACAGTGTACGCATCATGCTTGTCGTCCAATTCTGTCTGTAATCATACACGTGATAAACAAATCGGACTCCCGTTTCGCGGTCGTCCGATTGCGATTACAGACCAAGTTGGACTCACTCGGTCCTATTACCATTATAAATCACTGCGCTGAATGACATTTCATTTTAAATTCTAATTTGACCTGAAAATAGAGGACAAGAAATGCCATTCTCGTTATTATTCCCATTACAGTAGTTGCTTACTCGAAAGACTTTTGACTTTATTTCTAGTTAATTTTTGTGTTTCATTATTCAGCACAAACCAAGTACTGAGTGAGTCTCAATCCACGTGGATCAAAGATGCAACATCTCAAGTATATGAAGTAAGGCTTTCTTTCTTAGCATCTCTTATGTAGGAACGTTGCCAACTTAAGTTTAAATACGAATAAGTTAAAATTGCTCTGAACTGCATGAAGAGACCTTTCTGAAAATGTTTCCATTAAGATGTATTTGTTTTGCTTTTTGCAGTTGTTGAGAGAAACACCACCTGATGGCGATAAATTTGCGAAAACTGTTGAGGTTTGTGTTACATTCTACTTGGATGTAGTTGTGCAACCAAAACCTTTTCTGATGAGTGGCTATTGTTGTTTGATTTACGAGGTTAAGAACTTGTGAGAGGGATCGAAGATTTGCCGTTAAATAATGGGGGAAGTTAAGGTTAGGTTTACGTGATTTTGCCGTTTGGCGAGTACAAAAATTGAGAAGGTTTAGTGGCCGGAATTACAAATGAAAAACTTGGAAACTTAAGTTTAAAATTTGGCCTGAGTGTGAGTGTGATTCTTCATTTCTGCAAACTCGAGCACTTCATGAAGTAACAAAATGAGGTCGCCAATCAGAGCGAAGGAAAATATCACAACCAATCAGAACTCGAAGCAAAAACAAGCAAATTGCTCAAAGCGCGGGAAAAAGTGGGTGGACTAGTCGCGACTGGTTTTAGTTTTGAATTTGATTGGTTTAGAGAGTGGCGCGAGCTCTCAGCCAATCAGAGAGCAAAGTGAAGGTTTACTTTCACCTTTATCACCTTTGTCTCAGTGATATGGCAAATACATTTACAAATTTAAGATTCCGTTGCCCGATACAAAACCGCTGGTTTTTGGGTTTTAGAGATATCGTTTCAGAAGCATTCAGGGAAGCACGTATAAATTCTGAACAATTTTTTTTTAAAACACAGCATATCCTAGAAAGAGAAGAAAACTGGATATCATGGAAGAATGAAGGATGTCCAAGTTTCATTAAAGACAGGTAGCTTTTAAAGATAGTTATATCATGCCAAAAGTGGCTGCCCTGTGTTAGTCAAAACTAACTTTATTTTCGTCGTAGACAAACTGTTTCGGACGACTTCTCTCTCTGGACGCATCCAAATTAAGCAATCACAGCTTACAAACACTTTTTCATTCTTCAGTCAGGATGAAAACGCCGGGGGAGACGTCGATCAAGAAATCAGTTTATTATTTCGCTAATTATTGTGCTAATTCTGCGAATGGCTGGATGTGTCAAGCGTCTCTTACGGCGTTACATCTCAACTTTAGCATAGCTTATGTGAGGAGCGTTGAGTTCCAAATGGAAACTTATTAAATAATTTGCCGTCGGGGTGCGCAAAATCAGGTGATTTCACGTTGTAGGGGATTGCTAAGAAATTCTGAGCAAAGTCGTCTCAAAAACGCACGTATTGAGCTATTGTTCCGCCCATTAGTTCGTCAAGGCAATACATCAGGTTGGCATCAAGGCAATAAATCAGTTTGCACGAATCAGACTTGCAACACTCGACTGACGAATAAGTCCTTAATTGACACAACAACTAGGGTCCAGTGGACAGCGTTAACCGGGACCTAGAGGTCAACTTAGTAACCGAACCCCTGCTCACCTCCATGCACTCAATATAACACTCAGAGAAACCATAGTATGCGGAATGAATACTGTGCTGCATTGTGGGAGAGAGGGAAGGATAGAAGTATGAAAGCTAGGGATGCAATCGAACAAGAGTGTATGGCAATACCAGGGGTTTCAATCATTTTTTCCATAAGCGGCTACCGATGATATCGTAGGCGGCTGTGCCGTAAAGCGAAACTCAAAACAGCAGAGAGCCAGCTCGCAGGCTAAAGAGTCGGCGGAAGACGGCTGGAAACGTTTTTTTTTTAAACCCCTGGGAAATACCCTTGCAAACTTGGAGCCCCCACTTATGACCTTGCTGGGAATACTGCTTTGACTTGACTTTCCTCTGCCTAAATAACCACGTGCCCCTTTTAAGAATCCTGCGCAATTTTCACTCAGAAAGAGTGATCTTAGGTTGTTTGTTGTAGCGAATGCAAAAAGATTTTTTATATGAACGTGTACATTTATTTGGGAATATTTTCCTTGTGATGTATCTGACATTGTTCAGTAATTCATTTTCAGAAGCCAAGATGAAGTGGCACCCAAACCCACAAGGTGAAAGTAAACTTATACTCGGTCGAGTTTTCCTGGCTTGAGCGGTAGACTTAGAAGTAAAAACACAAGAATTTGTCGTGATTTACGCAATAATTCAAGCCTAATTCAGGCATTCAGCTAGCAAAACGGAGTGAAATAGTAAACGACGAATAGTTAACGGTAGCAACAGAGCGAAAACCAGGGATGCTAAGGTTCATTCCGCGACCCGACCCAGACCGTTCTCATTTTTCTCACCCCTTTGTTACTATCGCTGTTCGTTTTACCTACTGAATGTCTTATACAAACTACAATACAGTCGAATCCTGATAACCCGAATCTTCAAAAGAAATTGAAAAAAAAAATCACAACGTAACGGAAATGGTTTGGACTGCAGTACACTGTTTGTTTTGATTTGCCTCGTATCGACAGACGTTGCTCGACGTTGTTTGAGATGTAGAGGTTAAAAGTTGCAGAGAGTGTAAGAAAGCGACAATTCGAGTGAGCGGGATGTTCGAGTTACCGAGGGTAAAACTGCAATAGATGAATGATGGAAATGGTGGGGAAATCGATTTTGATTCGAGTTAGCGCGAGGTTCGAGTTAGCGAGTGATTAAGTTACCAGAATTCGACTCTAGTTCCAAAAATCCCCCCTGAGTCTGACTACTTTTTCTTCTCTCAGATTTTCTTTTTCGCCTAGAACGTCCTTGGTATTCTTAGATAAATTTCTATTATGCAAAATGGAATTATGAGAAAGGGGTCCAACTTAATAATTTATAAATAGTGTGACAAATTTTACTTGACAATGTTCCCATGATTTCTGAACAGAAAGCGTAAAGTCAGTCTTGGGGAAGAGATGGCTTCCGGTTGGAAATCCAAAAAAGTGCTCATGGGAAGGTAAAGTGTACTTGTAAAACTGGTTATGATGGGATTATCTGTTTAATCCTTGTATCCTTATTAAAGAGTGACTGGCATCTGATATCTCCTTACAATATCACCATTGAAGAAAGAAGAATTTGCTTTGGATCTTGGTGCGACTCCATGCAAAAGAGAAGCAATCACAGGTCATTCAGACAAGAATGAAGGAAATAAGCACCAACTAAAGAAATTCTTGATTTTTTAACAAGCTCTCCTTGTCAGCAGCTTGGGAAATGTGTAGTACAGAGAATATTCTTATTAATGTTAGAGTGTAAAGTGTTGAAGTATACCATAGAAACCGTTTAATTTTCATAACTCCTGTTTAAAGTATGTAGGAAAAATTACTTGCTTTCGCGTATTGAGATTCTAATTGGAAAGTAGTCGTTCGACTGTCGACAGATGTATCGATCGAGAGCTACGTCGGTAAGTCACCGATACTTCACCGAGTATTGATCGACTGTCTAAAGAAGGAAACTGCGCAAACTCGCTTCTCATCATATTTTTTTCCCCTTGTTGCAGCAATGAGTTGACTCGTCTTTGGAATTTATGCCCGGACAATTTGGAGGCTTGCAAAGCCGATAACAGGTAACAGAGTATGAAACACATGTGCCGAGAAGCTGTTGTCGTGCCAGGGATATCTTAGCATATTTTCAAGCTGAAAGAGACTTCTGTTTTATTTCAAATATTTGACCTGTTTTCTCATAAACTTTCAGAGTTTTTCTCCCAACTCTTGAGGAATATTTTTCGGAGGCCATAGAGCAAGCTGATCCAGCCGCTATGGTGGAAGAGGAGTACAAGTATGGATGTCTTTTGAAATGTTCACGCAGATATGTTTTCAATGCATTTAATTCAGCTGGTAATTTCATTACCGAGCACAAAATTTCCCATCCTTCTAAACCCTGTGACCCCTAAGAGTGACTAGCATCTAATTTCTCCTTACAATATCTCCTATTAATCCCGCATTAATGTTTCGAGAATAAAAGAAATGATCACCAACTAAAGGAGATCTTGATTGTTAAACAAATTCTCCTTGTCAGCGCCCTTGGAAATGTATAGAGAACAGTATGGAGAATATGTATTTGGATGTAAGGATGTAAAGGGTGAATCAAGGGATCATAAGAAATTTTGGGGAGCGTTACGGAAATTATAGTTGTGTCTTGTACTGTTGGTGGGTAATGAAGTAGGACTGTTTCTTTACTCTCAATCAAGAGTACTTTCTTTCTCTTGCAGGGTTACAAAAAACAGTAACTTTGGTTGGCGAGGTAGGTTTCCTTCTGCGAACAGAGCAATTTTCAATTGAGTGTCGAAAGTAATCTGGGATTGCATTGGTTTTGCTTTACTTCGCTTTATGATTGGTCCAGAAAACTCGCGTCATCCTATCTATCATCCCAGTCAGACGCCATCATGACTTGGTCGCCCGCGTTTTCCCGCGTTTTGGGCGGTTGGGTTCTTTGTGTTCTCATTGGCTCTTAGATGTATTTTCCTTCTGATTGGTTGTTGTGATTATTTTGGTTTTGGTTTTATGAAACTCAATCGAAAAGCGCTCTATTTCGACAAATTTGATGTTATGACCACCAATTTTTTAAATATTTTGCGGGGCATGATTAAGTCACTCCTCCATTAGTCCTTCCACTCTAAGGATCTTATAAGTAATTCTCCTTACTTTCTGCCATACAATATTAAGAATTATCGTTAATTACGTTCCACTTGCAGCACTGCGTCTCCTCGCTCGTAGAAGCCATCACTTTTTCCAGCCAAGCACCAACCCGTTCAAAACGCTTCCAGACTACCTTGAAAGTGTTGTACAACAACTTGCGCAAGAATTACCGGTAAGACGTCTAACTTCTGTTTGGTTTGTACTACTTCTAGACTCGGTTTTTTTTTCCTCTTAGCTTGTTGCATGAAAGACGTAAGTCGTATTTAGCTTTTTAACAAAATTGACCGACACACTTTTTTTTCATCAATCACTCACACGAAATAAAATCCAAACTTAGCTTCTTTTATTCATTAGCTTATTTGAATCATTTACAGAACTTAAAGACTGAGGAAGGCATCGTGGTTAATGGTAAGTGTCACATTAAACTAAACGCGAAGATGATTTTGTTTTTCTTCATATTCTTCTGTTGCAAAATATTCATTTTAAAAGATGATCTTCATTGCTTTTTTATTTCGCGAATGCATCTATATTTAAAGGGGTAGTGTAAGAGAGAGAGAGTGGACAAAATTGACGAATGGGGCACTTGTCGATTTTTCTTCCATCGTTACGCTGTTTTTACGTCCGCGATAAGAAATGCCGTTTTGAGCACCAAATCATAGCGGTAAAAGCCGTCCTTTGCACGACAGAGAATATATCTTACATCAGCGGATGTTGTAGGAATTAGAGGCTTACTGGGTTGTTCCAATGCTCAAAAGGTACCTCCAATCACTTGAATGTTCCCTTGTCTTATAATTGGCACGGATAACCTGAAGTAAAAAGAAAAGCGGGGTACTCTCCTTCAAAAAGTCATTTTTGGAAACCCACAGAACTGCAAGATGTGTCTGTACTTGCTCGTTAACGGATTGAATTCATTGCAGGAACCTCGGACTCAGCCGTGCCTATCACGTGATGGTACCAAAAGCAAGTCACTGGCTTGTGTCAAGTGAAGACAGCATCACATCCGCAAGATGTTATATCCATTTAATTCTCTCTTAATTGTAATTAAAGCTGTTTGCAAGACCAGACAACAGTTTCAGTAACTTGACTTCACTAATTTCGTCGACTGAAATATCCGCACTGATGTCGACGTAAGGGTAACGCAGTCTAACCCTGGGTGCCCTGTTTTACTGGATGGAAGCGAGTTAGTGAGCTTGCGGGCTCTACCTTCAAGTCTTCCTTCCCAGGCCCCGACTGCTTTGTAATCGTTCGCATTTCCGCTTGTCTCCAAGGATCGAGTTCCTTGCACGATTTTGCGTCGTCAGAATTCCTGTCTTTTTTCGACGCCTTCTCGTATAATCATGTGTCTAAGGTTTCAAAAGCGGAAAGCGGAACTTTTGTATTAAAATATGCTGTTGGGTTTTCAAAGGGAAAACGAGTGATATCTTTACGTGGGTGTTTCTTCTGTATGACAGATAAAGTTGACTGGTTCCTCCAATCAGGCAAATACTTACACCTAATTTATATCCCATGTCGCCACTTAAGATCATATTTCATCAAGAGTCATTTAGTATGCTTGCTTGAGGATAAGCCATCATTTATCGCCTTTGGGGGTGGGGGAGGGCGGATGATTTTGGGGGGGGGGGATAAAACGGTTTTCAGGGGGTATGGAGGGCGACCAGTCGTGGCCAGTAGTGTATAAAGGGGGAACTAAAAAAACTGGACTGCTGTGTGGGGGGGGGGGGGGTTATAAGAATGAAGCAGAGCCTTATGGGGGAATCAGGTAGATTTCATCATGACACTGACATCTAAAATCCTCCAATACGTACAGCGGTAAATAATGAGGGAATTTTTCGAAAACAACTTCACTCCAAACATGAAAACATAGGCTATCCTCAGCAGTTTTTAGAACTTTTTTCCTCACACACTTTATGCAACCTCACTCAAACGCCTTTTTATATCAGGCAGGTTAGTTGCTTTCCCTTGCCACGGAGCGGACAAAACTGCGAAACAAATTGAAAATGAAATAAATCGAGGTTATTGATGGTGGCGGCCACTAATTTAGGATCGCTTTGCCGGCGCAAATGTCCGTGCATAACACTTTGCGGTTATAACCGAACATTTCACTATTTTATTTTGATCTTCGCATATTTGAATCAGGTTCAATTAGTTTTATGACGGTCAAATTTTGTCAATGTGACTTGAAAGTTCCGTCGTTAATTCGATATAATGTCGAAGATTTTCCCCTCAATTTGAATCAGATACGTGACTCTTACGTCAATGGAATTAGATTTACCGTAGTGGACGCTGTCTTTCAAGACTGCGAGGGAATAAAGTGTCTATTGCGGAAATATTAGTTAGTTGTGATTCTAAACTGAGTGCTTTTCGTTTCGAACTCCGCTTTCCAATTAAATAATCTCAAATCCATTGAAATTGGAAGGTAATTTAATGTGCCGCAAAGTTATTTCGAATCATTCTCCTATTCGAGAATCAGTGATTTTTTTTATTTACCCGAGAAATCCTTTTTAAAATACTGCTCTAAACTGTCAATCGCAGCATTCTCCAGTTTTCCCTGGAGGCGGCATTTCTGATGGCTTTAATCTTATCGTGCAATCTAACGAAGAAACGGCAGTAATTTTAATTTTTAATCACTTGAAATGTCTTAGAAAGACCGCCCCGGACATCGCTAACTCGGTATTTCAGTCATTAGTAAGTTGCTTTTCCCGCAGTCGCACGATTTAATTATACTTTACTTTAGAGCCAGCCATACACTCTTGAATTGTTTCCGTTTAAATCGAGTATATGCTTGTTATTTTCGGTCTAGATTAGTCAAGTTACAGAGAAGTGAACCCGCTCCTTCATCTGGGTTGAATTTGCCGACAAAAGGATGGCATGATCACCTTGGAGAAACTTGAGAGCTGAGAAACGATAAACCACGAATTTCATTGTTTGCATCACTTATTTACGGAACGTTTTATCGTATTGTTATCCTTCATCGAAGAATTCTGATGTGTGCAATAACTGCGATGTCTTTGGTGCTAAGTGAGCGTGGCATGAAATTATCCGTGTTCCGTGATCCGTGATAAAAGCGTGATAAGCGTACCCTTTACGTGATGAACTTTGGAGTTTTCGGAATAGCTTTGGCGTCCTTCTTATTTTTGGCACCAGGTCTCATCTTTTTAAATGTTGGATTTCGCTGCTCAAAGCTTTTTACGGCGAAAGCAGAAATCATGTCGAAGTCATACTGTATGAAAGTAGACGAAGAGTTTTCTTACGTTTTGATAGGCGGTGGCTTTATTTTCCTGTTTTTCTCTCTGGCTACAATGGTTTTCACGGTAATTGTATTTTTAAACTCGAGGCACTCAAAAAACGTTGAAGAGGAGACAGGCTCGACCGCGGAAACATATATCGTTTAAAATGCTGACTGAGTCGGATGGGAGCCAGTAACCGCACGTATTGTGGCCAAATTGACAAATTGTTTATATGGCAAAACCCCAATTTTTTTATTTCATCGGCGAAGAGTTTTTAAGTTTGCGTAATCCATTTTACATTGTATCGGTCAAACATGACCGTTTTGTCACTGAACAGCAATGAGGAGAAAACTTACCGACAGTCTCTCTTAAGAAGCGATCTGTGAGCAATTCTGTTGTCACAATATTTTGATTGCTGTTGATTTGTACTATCGATATAATGTGAATTATTTTGCATGTGGCAGTGTTTTTTAGGCCTCTGCTATCCGTGACTACACAGATAACATCAAAATTTCTCAGCGATTTTCTAAGCTAAGCTAACGCAGCCTCGCAACTTGTGTGAAAGTAAAGATAATTTTGTTTTATTGTTATCTAAAACGATGGCTCAATTTGGTTTGTTGAATTTTGAACATCCAATTATTTTTTGAAGTAATTCTCTTATGGCTTGAAAATTTTGATTTTAACGGGTTAGGGTTAGCTTTTTTATACTGCTAAATTCTTCTATAAATTAAAACGTAGTTTGTTAGAGCAATGAAAGAAGCTTCAAGTACGCTCTTTGAATAAAGTAATTTATTAACTTCAATTTTTATCAATTTTCAAGTGGATTCTGAATCATAGGTTTTTTCCGCAACTCATTCATTTAAAGTAAAAAACAATATTTGTTGTAAAATGAACTGATAAAAACAGATGTCATCTAAGATCTAAGAACAATACTCTCTTTTCGATTCTTTCTCCCTCTTTTCATACTCGGAAAGCTTTTTGAAAGCCGTATCCGGGGGAATTTTACTCAGAATAAGTGGAATTTCTGAGGGGTTTCCAATGAATCATGGGAGGGAACGAAAAAGTTCCGACAACCAACGCAGTTTACCGGTGATGACCCCCCCCCCCACCCCCCGCTTTTAGAGATCGTGGGTGAGACACATCTAAAGCTGGATCCAGAGGGAGGGTGGTTGGATCCATATCCCAAACCACCCCCTCTTACCTGCGCGCGCTTTTAGGCCTGCGGGTATTTTTCCTACTTGTAGGAAACTTAAAATCTTTCAAAGAAATGATCGCATATCACACCACTCAAGTTGAAATATATAAATTGTATTCATTCGAATATTGTTTAGCTTCTTGAGGCTTAAGTGTGATTAAAAAAAATTGAAAAAAAAAAAAAGGGTTTCCTGAGTAAAAAATTCCCAGATACTGTTCTGATATCCACATTTTGACGTCACCTGTGATCTATTACTGGAATGATTGAACGGCAACGTGACATTTCCTCTATTTGTTTTATACAATAAAGAGGCAAAAAAAATTGTTAATGGTCATCTACACGTCTGGCCTCCAAAAGATCAAAGGGAAGAATCAATCCAAATTTATGCGTTACCCGGCTATTTATAGATTGGTAATTATCACTAAGAGTCTAGATTTCTGATAGAACGAAACTATTCCGCCTTTTTATCTGGCACCTTGGTGTCTGCTCGTTTTGACACCTAAGATCTGTATAGTTTGAATTTCAAATCTGTCAAAATTTTGATCTTGAATGAATCGCAGCCATCAAAAACCTGCCCGTTAAGCCTCAGGGGTTCTTCGAGAGACAGACAACTGAATTTTTATAATGGTTTTCCGTGAAGACCTTGCGGATGTCAAACTGGTTTTAGCTGTAAACGTCATCATTATTAGCTTTGATCAGCATGTAGCTCCAGCCCAGTGTAAAGCATGTTGTTTTCACTTGGACTACCATTTCTTCTGAATTCCCGCGGATGTTTTATCCTCAGATTTAGTTTTCACTTCCGGCAATTTGAAGACGCAAGCTCTACATATATCCGACCTGATACACGTTTTAAGCGAGCCGTTTTTAACACCGTCGAACCGAATTCAATCATGTTATTAAAAAAAAAAATGGCTCCTTGCCGCTATAAGCTAGCCCCTTTGTGTTAAATAAAAAATATTTAAATGAATTTTTACTGTCATAGAAAAGCGCTTTAAAAAAAGAGACAATTTGCTTTTATGTCACTTTTGAAGTTAACTGATCTTATGCAAATTTTGTATTGTGAGCGTACCTCCTTCGCAAACACTCGTCTTTAATGAATAACTATGAGTCGTCCAATAAGAGCTGATTCGATTTAATAACTTCTCACTAGTCGTGTATTAGAAATTAAATGCAAAAAGTCCAGCTTTTCAATTTGGAGATAAAAAGTCTAACCATATGATAGATTTAGAACGGACGATAAGAATATTTTTCGAAGAAGGAAGTTGAAAAAGCAGGGATTTGTACCTTTCTCCAGGTGTCGTCGTTACCGCTCAATCGCTTCGAAACGCTTGCATAAACACTTTATAATACATCCGTAATTTTCTCTATGCCATTAGCGCCTTACACAAAGAAACAAAGAACCCTGCTAAAAAAGTTGTGTCGTCATCCAGTTTGAGCAGGAAACCAAGATAATTTTCAGAGACTAAGAGACATGTTTCGAAAGAAGGGAGATTTTCCAAACTGAGAATTGAACGTGATTGAAAGTTCTTAAGAGCTGAGATCAACTTTTCGAAAAGGAAGGGACTTCAAGGCGTTAAGATCGAACGGAAGAGGAAGAAGACATCTTAAAACATGCGATTTTGCAAGCCGAAAGTCGACTTGAGTATCTGTGGTTTGTTAATTACAACCACTCTGTTCTTCTTCCCAGGATTGATTTTTCTCGTCCTTGGATTCAGCTGTGTTGAGCAGAGTGGAAAAAACACTTCAGATAAGGAGATGACAAGTCAGTCTGGCTCTTGTGCAATGGTCGACCAAAAAACAATTATTACTTTGTTCTCGTTTGGTTTTGTGTTCTTGATTGTTGGTATTTTAGTTTGCGTCTTTGCGTTTATCGTTCACCGAGCTAATTGCAAACAGAAAAGACAAGAAGCTACTTGTTAAAGTTGTAACACACTAAACCTTTCGGTTTTGTGTTGAAAGGAAACTGCAACCTCTTTTGTTTGGTGTGAGATCCGAACTAATTATTAATTATTCGAGCTGAAACAAAAGCGACAACTGAAGAATTCTTGAATCCGCTTCAACTTCAATCATTAAAAATATCAAGACGTGTGTTTTTATTCAAGTTTAGAGGGACACGTACAATCGAAAGGCAATGGAAGTTTTCGGTTATCGAGGTCGTTTATCAGCGGAACTCGAAGGCAATTAACGAAATTTATTTTTTCATAACTTTTTCGACGTTTTAGTATACATCTGATTAAACCTTTAAGGCACCCTGGAGGGTCTCATTTGTCGAGATACATTTGCTTTGAAATGTTTCCCCATGAACTTGAGTTTTCAAGAAATATAGCATTGGCAGAAGGTTTTGATAACACTGAGAGATGAAACAAAAAGTACTGTCAAAAAAATCTAATAATGACTATAGACGAACACAGCAGTTCTAACTGACCAGTTTGTGTTCATGATTAATGAAAATGAGCAAAGCATCAATAGCATGTTGTCAGACGAATTTATGTAAATCGTACGTTATTATTTCTTGTTTCCCCCTAAGGAAATGTTAGTCTGCATTTTATTAACCTATTGTCACAAGAAAAAAAAATCGAACAATGCCGTCATAAATAAATCGGGCAATTTTTTCACCAACTGTTTAATATTGCAGCCGCAATGGCGATGGCCATTTGCTATATTTGTCGCTTTTTCCAGGCAATGAGTTGATAGAAACAGAGCGGAATGGTAAGGAGAGTCTCACTGAGGTTAACCGATAGCCCGAGAACGGCCAAAAAATTGAGTTGTTAGCCGTAAAATGGCCAAATTTTAACCGCAAGCCGTAAAAGCCATCATCCCATTCAGACCCTCAGTAAACGACGCGATAGAAGCGGCAGAGCGAAAGCGAGGAGGTTTGAGTCGGGTCGCGTGGAGAGCGCCTGTAAAATGTCTAACGCGACCCGACCCAGACCTCTCCCGTTCTTTCACTTCATTGTACGTAACAAAGCGCGATAGTAAACGTATACGTTTACTATCGCGCTTTGTTTTTTTTTAACTGAACGCATGAACAGGCTATATATTTGGGGTGTAAGGAGTAAAGTGAAACGGCCTTTTGCTGAAAAAAAAAAGAGGCCTCATATAACTTTCGATCTTTTATGCTAGCGAGGGTTTCGTGACTTTTCACGCGCAGATCTAATGTGTTATGTGTTAAATTTTCGGTTCTTTTCTTCATGGTCGCTTGAGTTTCCGAGTTGGGTTTTAGACTGCAGAAGTTTCATACGTACTGTGTGACTTACACAGCCGCTAAAATGGACCCCGTCAATGATCGATGAACGTTTGCGGGATAGGGAAAAGTCACAGTTTACACAATTTAAACAAGTCTTTTCCAAGTCGATGATATTAAATCATTGATTAGAATTCATTCTTAGAAATGAAACAATATTTTAGAGTTTGCAAAGCTCGTTTCGACATATCTCATGTCCTATTCAGTTGCAAATGATCGTTGCCCAAATTGAATCAGTTTACACTTTTAAAAAAAACAAAGTAAGATTACGGCATTCAAATTCATGATCCATTTGAATTAACTATATCGGAAGCACCGGAAGGCAATAATGGCATTTTTAAGTAACCTAAAAAAAAAATATTGGAACTCCGATGATTCGACCCTTTCAACTCTAACCCCCGCCAACTCGATCAAGATCCGCGGCTTTCTCTTGGACTTGACCCCAGTTTTCCATTCAGTTATTATCAGTTAACTCGAACCCAGTTAACTCAAACTTATTTCACTTTCCTTTGGCTCACATTTACCCTGGTAACTCGAACTTTGAAAAAAACATCAGTTGATAAACGTCAAAGTGTCAGAATATAGTTGACTGACACGTGCCAAATTTAATCACGATTGATACGAACGCCGATAACATTTGTAAAAACGAAATACATTTAGCTAAACTTTTTAAATTAAACATTCTTATAAAAAAAAACATATAAAGCAAACTAAATGAACGCCAGGATGACTGTTGATTTTGCAAGGGTGATAGTTATTTACAAAATAATTGAAATTCGACATCAATCCCCCGTTAACTCGAACCATTTCTCGTTTCCCTGGGGAGTTCGAGTTTGCGGGGGTTCCCCTGTACTTTTAAACATAATTGGACTGATAACAGTACACATATTGTAAAACAAGAATAATTAGAAAAACTGAAGAGAACGAGATAATTCCGACCGTTTAGGTGAAGTAATTAGAATCAGAATGAATGTCATTTCTTTTAGCACCTGTCAGCAGTTAGTGTGAATATTTTTTAAAAAAAAATTGGTATGGAGAGTTTCTGAACATTTTTCTTAAGACGCTTCAAACTTTTAGCAAATCATGAGGTAGGCAAAACATTTTAGAGGAAAAAAGCTGAAAAATGTAACCAGTATATTGCAAAAACATACCACGGATAATATCGCCTAAGTATTTCTAATCCTGCGGCGACACAATAGTTTGCAGGTGATGTTATTGTTTGGGCATTCTGTAAACTACAAGATACGACATCTATACACTTCGGTATATTTTATTGCTTGTTTGAGTTTTTGCATTTTAAAGTTTAAGAGAAATTTACCCTTACTTTCTTTTCTGATAGCACACAAGTAAAAAAATCCTGGCCTTGGTTCGTTCAGTTTTAGACAAGATAGTGTTTAAAATTTTCGTTAAAGCAGTGGATCTCATTTCGTGACGCAGCTGGGTAAATCTGAAGTCAATATAAATATTCCTGCTTGTCAAGAATCTCTGGTAATACATTTAATTTGATATTGCTTCTTCAATGGAGAAGTCACAAAGGTTTTGGTAAAGTGCTGCGTTAGATCAGAGGAGTGAAAACCCAGCTAATTTGAGGTATTTAAGGTCAAAGATCGGGAAATATTTTTTAAGTCCACGGGCAACAAAGTCCTTAACTAATGAAGTTGATTGCTGCGTTAGTTATATGCCTAAAAATCATCTCTTTGTTTGAAGGTAAGTGAGTTGTCATTGTTTAAAAATTACGCGCTGTTTTATTGTTGATGCGTTTGGAAAATGGTACATAATTAGATAGCTTAATTTTCATTCTTCCTGCTTACTGGCGAATTATCTTGCTTTTGGTATGGAAAGGGAATGTTTCAGTGGTGGATTTTGTTGAAAAGGAGGAGAGATATGTGTTGTTGAGAACACCGCTTGTAATCCATTTTCCATGTTTTCTAAGTTTTAAACATGTTTCAAAAATTTTATATCCTGATCTAGTCTTCGGGGTCAAATTTATGTTATTTTTCATTAATCTGTAATATTCTTGAATTCTTGAAGATGACAACCTGCAGGATCGAAGGCCTTGATGAGAAAAATAAGCCAAGTAGAATAACTGAAACTAGCGTTAGGTAAATAAGACTGTTAGATATTGACCTAACATAAAGAAGGAGGGCAATATCTAATCGTCTAAAACGTGCAGTCATGCACATTATTGTACTCATTTCATGATCAAATGATGAAATCTAAATGATCAGATCCAAACAAACCTGCAAAACTTGAGTTTTTTGATTGATCGGAGAAGTACGCATACTCGATTTGCGATCCCATTTAATTAAGATGACAGGGGAGCTTTGTTCTCATTATCATGACCCTTTTCCTGTTAGACTCTGTCGGTTCGACGATAAGTTCCTGGGAACATCGTATTCGAGCGGACCTCCTGAGGAATTATGACAGAAAAGTCCGCCCAGTGTTTAAGGGAAAAAGAGAAGCTGAGGTGTTGTTTGCGCTTAGAATCAGTCGACTTGTGAAAGTGGTATGCAAAAATGTTTTTGTTTTCCTTATCTATTTGCTTCATAAATTAAGAATTCTGCCTTAAGTTTGTCGAGAGCCGTTTTCAACCGGTTTTCTGATACAAATTTTCCTGCCAATTCTCGATCACTTGACTACTGTCGAAGAATAAGATTTTTGTCGCGAGTTCAAAGCGGGATAGTTACATTGACTGGTCCTTATCAAAATCAAATCCAAGAAGGCAAGAAAAAATCACTTTTAATTTTACTATTAGTTATTTTAGGGGAGATCACACCATTGAAACCCTCAGTCGAAGACATACCATCAAACAATTTGTTTGATTTTAAAATGAAACACCGTACTTTGTATGGTTTAGCAGCCCCGTGACTTTAGCCAGTGGTTGGGAGAATGCGAGAAACGTATCTGAATCACTCACCTTCGGCTCGTGATTCACAAACTTCTTCTCTTTCAATCCAAGCGCACGTAGCATCATGGGTGTTCTATAATGATTCGAGCAGAGGCTATATCCCTGCCCAGTATTTTCGCTTTATTTATGTTCTCATTTGTTTTATAACAGGATAATAAAGAACAAGTAGTGGTTTTAGACACTTGGGTCATACAGGTATGGGGACCTCTTGTCTTTGTTTAACTGTTTCTGTTTTTGTTTTAATGTAAACTCTTATGGCATTGAAACAATCACTTGGGGACTTAAAACATTCCTGATCTCGATAAGTTCCATAAGGCTCAGCAACACTCTCATGATCCCCCTCATTAGCAGTAAATTTTCGATAGTCCCTCCCCTCTCATACCCTGTTGGTTACGACCAACCCCCCCTGCTTTCCCTTCTGACACCGTGTCATACCCTCCTCCAAAGTCCTCCTGGTCAGTTTCCATTACAAGGTAAAAACCCCAAGAAAGTGAATAAAGATATTGTCCATAAGTGTGTCCATTTACGTCGGTTTTATCTCTTGCAGAGTTGGAAAAATGAATTCCTAACGTGGAATTCAAGCAAGTACGGTGACTTACAACGCGTCCATTTCTCTCCTGAAGAAATCTGGGTCCCAGATACGGCACTTTTTAACAAGTAAGTCTAAACAACCCATTTTTCCAACTTCGTAACTTAGTCTATCAGTGGAGAGGTATGTAGGCATGCTTCACCTTTTCCTCCTGTTAGAGCCAATTCTCTTAATTAGCACTCTACATTGCCATGTTCCCCGCGCGAATTCTGGGTAAAGGTAGGCTTTCTAGGAGTGTCTCTCTTGATGACGTCTCGAATCACGATGAGATCCAGGTTTGACAGAGTAAACTATGTCACAGCGATCACCTGGGACGCAGCCAAATACCAAATATTTAATGAGTGGCACTCTTTAGGAATTTGGAATTAGGAATTTGCAATTTGTCGATGAAAAGTCATACGGATATTTTCGCCAGTACTGTAACAGATTTAAACCACGTCCCATGACCTTGTCAATCAGAAGAAGTCAAGAAGTTTCGTTTTGAAAAACCTCTCAAATATGCTCCCTATCGTCCGAAAGCCCTGGATTTTTTACTTCCCCTCGGGTCTTAGGCTCGATTACCAGCCCTTGTTCGAGATATGAGCTCGCGCTCCTCCTTCTGAAGTTCCTCCTCGGGAGGATCGAAGACCCGGTTCCGAGAAAATGGTAGAAATCGAGCCTAGCCGGGTGCTTTCATAACGTTTATGGTATCTGATCTGGTTCAGAGTGATTAGAAAAGCAGCTCTCACAAATATATGTATTCCTCGTCTGCAGTGGTGATGACAAAATCAACCTTGCTGGAGGGCCAACCAAGTTTGTCACAGACGTCAGTGTGAACAATAAAGGGAAATGTGTTTGGAGCGGACCAGCTACTTTTAAGGTCAACTGTGAGATGAAAGTAGATGAATGGCCATTTGACGAACAAACTTGTGAACTAGCATTTGGTTCGTTCTCTTACGGAAAAAAGCTTCTGAGACTTAAATTGTTTAAGGAAGAAAGGAGATTTACAAGTAAGATTCGTTCATTATTTCGGATCAAGGTCAGTCTCTGAACAACTTCGCACCCACCCCTTCCCTAACCCAACAGTAACCCTAACTTGATATCAGTTGATTGTAGTCAGTAGACTGTTGTTGGGATAGGGGAAGGGTAGGTGCTCAGTTGCTTAGTTACTGACATTGATCCATTACTTACTTGTAATGTGAAGAGAACATGAAAAATTACCTAAATGTTTCGAAACAAGGAGAAACAGTTGATCGTGTAATCATTCACTTTGACAAAGATCAGAGCTAACGATCGAAACGTCAGCTCTAGAAACTCTTCACGGTGAACAAGTCATCTTGTATTATCCCCACTAAAGAAATTTTGATAAATATCAGTATCTGGCAACTGCCCACCTACCCCTTCCCTAACCCAACAACAGTCACTTGTTAACAAGTTAGGGTTAATGTCTGGTTAGGGGTGGGGTAGGTGGGCGGTTGCCCAGATACTGACATTTATCAAGAAGTTTACCCCCTTCATTCTCATAATCTGATAGCCTGCAAGGCAATCGAATTCTCTTGCGAGCTAGTGTTGAAGCCGCTATATTGGATCCATTGGTAAGGTGGAGGAAAACGTAGAGCGAACAAACTAGCGAGGAGGTAGGGGGTCGGGAAGAAACAGAGCCAAACTTTCCCCCACGTAATTCCCAGTGGTTCTGTTCTCACCTCTGCATAAAGTGATGTGCCCCCCCTCACCTAAGAGTGGGTCGTTGTTGGTCCTTCCACTGCATTTTCTTTCGTAAAAAGGAATATGGAATGTCTCTCAGAAATGACTGCAGAAGTTTATGACGCCCCTCATTTTCTGCTGCACAAAAAGGTGTGACCCCTTAACCCTTGTAATGAATTACCAGTCCCTAACAAAACAGTATCAATGATAAGGCCATCTAAGCCGGGTTTGTCCTCTGACAGATCGTAGATAAAAAGCATTCAAAATGCAGGTATGATTCAATATGCCAGAACGACTTAATAATAAATCATATTTTCGTTTCAGATCGCTTTGTGAAAAGTGGAGATTGGGAAATAACAAACATCACAGCTAAAATATCCGAGACTGATCACGGGAACTGTTGTCCATATAACTTCAGTGAAGTGGTGTACACTCTGGAAATGAAACGGAAATATCTCTACTACATGTTCTACTTGTTTACTCCGACTGTTCTTCTGACGATTCTTGCACTCAGCAGCTTCCTGATCCATGTTGAAAGCGGCGAACGCATCGGTTTTGTCACAACCATCCTGTTAGCCATGACTGTGTTTCTCCTTCTAATTCCGTCTTTCCTTCCGGTTACCTCAGATGGCATCCCAATCTTGGGTATTAACCTTCAGGTTACCATGATCTTAATTGCAGCGGTCCTTTTCGCCAATATTTTTGTCCTGAGGGTTTATTTCAAGGAGGGAACGCCACCAAACTGGATGGAGAAACTCTGCAGCTTTAAAAAGGGGTCAAGATTGAGGCGAATCCATTTGCCACAGCCAGGTAGCACTTACCCTCTGGCCTTGAAATCCTCTATGACGACTGGTATCGAGGCGTCTGAATGCACAAGAACCCCAGCATTTGCACAACCGCTAGAAGTCCAGGAGTTCACGTGGCGGAGGGTGTCTGCCAGAATGGATCTCGTGTTCTTCGTACTTTTCATTGTTGCTTCGTCTATCGCCTATGCCTTGACATTTAGTGGATAATTATGTCAATGTTATAACATTGCTGTTACATAAAAGTTTTAAGGAGATTGTTCTATAAACCATGTGAAGTTTTAAAAATTAATTATTAATTAGTTATTTAAAATGTATACGTAAAATTACAAATCTGAAACGTTTATGAAAACACCAAGGGTAACCTGTCCTTTCGAGTTATCTTCCGAATGCCAACGTTCGAATGGAATTCAGGGTCATCGTGCGTGTGCGGCCAGGTTACTAAGTTGCTTCAGACGCCACCATTTTGTTAGGAGGCTTTTCGGAATCTTAATAAAAGATAAGTAACATCTGTTTGTTCATGGTTCACCTGAAAATTTTTCATGATTGCTTCTCGAACATGTCGATGAATTAATCTCTCTGCCAATTATGTCGTAGTTTCCATATTTATCCCAACAATTTTTGCTTGTTATCGTTTTTCCGTAGGAAAAAACCTCAAAGAGCAGATTGAAGTCTAAAAAGATAGCTTTCTTATCGTATTGTTATTTTCCCTTAGCACACACAAAAAAAGATTTACGTGTAAAGATAGATGACTTAAGTCTTTAAAACAAACAACAGATTCGCGAACGAGAAATGCAGCAAAAAGTTATATAAATATATAACTATAAAGTAAAATATTTTTCCCTATTTTTTTTTTTATGTGCTAAGAAATGGCCATGTAAAACTTTAGAACAAACTGTGTTTGATAGTGTAAATGTTATTTCTTAATAGTCATTTATAAGATTAAATGGATATTTGCGTTCTAAAGTAACATCATGCAGTTATGGATAAGAGTAAAAGATTATAGAGTTTTTCGAAATCAACACGGCCAGTCAGAGGTGAGCCAAATGACCAAAAGAGCCAATGAGAGCATTCAATGTTAAACAAGCGAACGCCGCGGCAAGTGAGGTTGCTTCTGATTGGTTGAGACGGTGGTACGATTTTTCAAGACCAATCACAAAGCGAATTAAAGGAAGACCGAAACAATGCCGAATTACTTTCGAGAATCAGTTGAAAATGGCTTTAATAGTGCTGTCCGAGAGAGGAGTATTTTGTATGTCTTTATGTTTGAGTTTATTTCTGATTATTTTTATAGTAACAGTTTCAGCATTCACGTATTTATTCGAAAGAAAGAAATCGAGAGTTCATGGCAACCAAAGCCTCTGTATGAACTTCGCCTCGCTACTAGAGCTTTCAAGTGTTTTTCAACTTTCATTTGATCTGCGGATAACAATCAGGTGAAGACCTGATCATTGCTAGCTGATGCGATTTTAGCATTGGCAGAAAAGAAGTCGAAACATTAATTGGTCACCGTTAAGAGTTTCCAGGCTTTCAAACTCTTAACGGTGGCCAATTTACGTTATCATCTTAGTTGTGATACCAAATTACCTTGTTATACTCTCCCACCGACACAGTATCACAGTTTCTTTAGAAACTAACGTCCATTAAGGGCTAATATCCTAATGTTTCAGTACTTTGGAAGAAACTGGTAAATCCGGATATTGGTCCGAAAACCCTTGGTGACGACAGAGCTTAATAACGTCTGCCCATATGCTAGGCTTTGGCGCAGAAAACGGATCTTGAGTCGTTTGCGTGGTTGATTTTCCATTCTGTTGCCTCGAGGCGTTGTTTCACTTGGCGCTTTTCTTTTGCAGAACAACCTCAAAAGTCTTTGTACACCCTCTTAGCATTTTCGAAAATTAGTTATCGTCTTAAAAATGACGACAACAAAATGCCTCGCTTTTAAATGTCAGCCCATTTTATCCGCGAATTTCGCTTAATTTTAAACCTCGCACGCCTCAGCCCGCGTTGTTGACGGCATACCTGTGGTATTTAGTTATTCAGCTCTGCCCTTGGTGACCTTTCGTTGAAAACGTGACTCGGCCCAGTGATGCAAATCCATTAGTGAGAGTTGTATCGACGTCATCATTGTGGATGTTTACCTACTATTTTGCAATAACCTGATGATCACACATCTCAGAATCACAGATCACAGATCACTGACACCGTCTTACCAACATCCCAGAGAGAAAATCCGCGTGATAATTCAGGTCGTAGCAAGGCGGACAAGTTTTTAAAGCTCATCAGACAAATTTCGTGACGATGAATCAAATACTTGCATCACTAACAAGCGTAGTATTATCTTCAATGTTAACAGGTAAGTGTCTGTGTTCATTTCGATCATTCTTAAGAGCAAACACGTCATTAAATGTTTAGATATGAAGGGGTGGGAAATTTTTTTCTAATCGTACTATGATTTGAAAAATCGGCAATACTTCTTCATTTCGCGTGATCAGAGATCAATTTGTCAGTATTTATTCAGTTGTTCACTCATTACAGACTTGCATGCAAATGAGTGAAATGTGATTGCTTGTAATTTGAGGAGTAATGTGTGCTAAAATCGTGTTTGAGTCCTAATTACTGCTCACCTTAATCTGAGGATTTATTTGTGTCCGTTAAATAAAAAGGGATTCCCTACAGTGGCTTCAACTTCTATGAAGTGGGCTACAACGTGATATTTGATATAGCTAAGACTCTGTTATGCTGTCGCTAGGAACCGATTTGTTTTGAATTGTATTTGTTAATTAAGCCCCAACACTTAGGTTAAGGATTTTTAGCTCGTCACGTAGTTTTCTCACAAGGCCTTTTTTGATTGCTCTACCAGCTAGAGAACTCTCATGATCTTTTCTCGCCCCAAGTTCGTTTCTTTCCCAACTTGGGCGTTAAAAATTTAACTAACCTTTAACATGTAATCGTGTAAACTTAAACCGCCAAAGGAACAATCTACATTACAATAGGCAGAAATTTAAGTAATATAATAATTGACTTAATCGCATACTAAGAGATAAGAAATTTTAGTTTTTGGATTTCGATGGTTTTCGGTAACAAACAAAGGGAGAAAGGTCCCTCCGAATTATGGGACCATAAACCTTGTTTAACAGGAGTGTGCGTTTTGTTTCTTCACTCCTAAATAATTTCAATGCGCCAGTAAGATTGAATCAAATCATTTCAGAATGTTACTTTTGATACAAACGATTGTTTTCAAAACAATCCAGTGTTCAGAAATGGGGCGAACAATTATTATAGTGTTTGTTACAGCAGGTCCAGAAGGGTTTTCATTTAATTTCGCTCTAAGCTTTGATCCTTTCCGCAGGATTTATTCGGTGTAGTAAAAAGTTATTAGGACCCTCGGTAAATCTTCCAAATCTTTTCAAAATTGACTAAGCCTTGAGTTCGATTCCTTTAATGAACTTGTTATTTTTCTCTGTTCCACGCTGGTGACAATAAGTGTTTTTTGTGTCTTGCCGCGAGCGTGGGATAAAGCAAAAATTCTGAGTTCCCATGAGAAACCTCCGTTTGGATTCTGCGCTTCCACCACTGAACCACAAAAACTTAGTGGTAACCTCGGTCACTACCAGGTTCTACGTGTTTCACCTGCAGTATCTGTTGGGCTGCCTGTGGCTGCCGCTGTGAGAAATATTATGGTAAAGGTTTTGGTTAGAAGAGAGCCCTGTGTGCGTGAAAAGAACTGAAAGTTATTATAATTGTCTTTCATGCGGTTTAAGTGCGAATAAAACAGCGTTGTTTGCCTGTCTGGATTTAGTATCTTTAGGTACCACGAACAGTTCCTGGGAACATCACATTCGAGAAGATTTGCTCGAGAATTATGACCGCAAGGTCCGTCCAGTTTTGAAAGGAAAAAAAGTGGTGGAGGTCTCCTTTGCCTTGAGAGTTAGCAGATTGGTGAAAGTGGTAAGAATTAAATGGTCCTCTTACTCTATCCCAAAAAATCGCGCATAATCTCTTCCTATATCCTTGAAGCAAATTGTATTTTTGAACTCGGACGATTAATTGCAAATTTACCCGAGAAATGGTAAACGAATTCACTTCAATGTTGTTGTTTATCTCGACATCCTTCACGCTATCACGTGCCACTCCGCAAAAAATATTATCAAGTGACATTATTTTGCATAAATTAGAGTGACGTCACAGAACACTATTAGTGTCAGGTTTGCGTAGACGTTCCCTCGCTTCCGTTACACCTTGGGGCGGAGGGTACGGCTACACTTAGGCTACAATAGTTTTAGTGTGTTGTTATATTAAATGGAAAACTAGTGTAATTTCTAATAATAATTATATACTTATTGACTGAGTGGGAGTCGCTGGGTCATGCTAAGTCATGACGTCAGTGCACCTCTTTTCCTTCAAGTCATAACAAGTTTCTAAAACGTTGGCGTACAACAGTGATTTTGTTTCTTCTCGGTTCATCGAAGTCATCATTAAATATCTTTTGGGAAACTCGCGCAAGTTCGACTCCGTCACTGCAGGATTGAGGAATAAAATTAATCATGTGTTGTTGTTATTTTGCAGGATAATCAAGAACAACTCGTAGTTTTGGACACCTGGGTTATACAGGTAACCACTAAACTGCCCTCCCTCTCACTCAACCTTAAAGTTTGATTCTTTTCGTTGTTGTCATGCGGTAGGGGCTGCAACTGATTTTACATACAGCCTTATCGTCAGGTGTTTTCCACTCGGTCAAACCTGGATCCTACTGTAAGCCGGGACATCGGGAGTGATTCTCTTAGGGCACAACCCTTTGATGACTTTTTCGGCCATTTCACGACTAATAATGAATATTTTCCGTCGTTTTTAACACGAATTTTTTTCGGTTAACTTTATTACGACTATTGGTTACAATTTGTCAATTTTTCCGCCTAACGGGTTTACTTTATGGTCGTTTTATGGCTATCGATTAAGCCAACTGAGACATTCGATCTTTTAAAAGCGTGCTCAGTCTACGATATGCAATGCTCTAAGAAAATTTGATTATGACCTCTGCGTTTTTAAAAGGATCAGTTGATGGACAAGAGGCTTGTCCGTTCACTCTCTTTTTTTTTAAGGGGGGGGGGGGAGTTGAGGGTGGTTGGAGAGTATGGGGAAAGTTTGGAGGTAATTAGTACTTAATTATTCAGCATGCTCTATTTGGTTTTCCTGAAAATATTGAACGCTGGTATTTACCTGAGTGATAGAAATTTGACAGAACCATTTGGCAAATACTTTGCCAACTTTGAAATATTTCTTGTCATTTTCAGAATTGGAATAACGAATTTCTTACGTGGAATGCAAGTCAATATGATGACGTGGATCGGGTGCACTTCGATCCTAGTGAAATCTGGGTCCCGGACTTAGCCTTGTTTAACAAGTAAGTATTATTGTGAACAAATCTCAGCTTTTTTTTTCAACTCTGTAAAGTTCTTGCCCAATTGATGCTTGATCTCCTTTGTGGGATTCGTGTTTTAAGACACCCTTTTTGGACTCAACAGAGTAAAGGAGTTTACTGAACGTTTTGAGTCTCAATCGTGACCTCTTCTGATATAATTTGCTGAATCCACGAAACATTCGGGCAATTGAAATAAGAGCTTCTTGTTTAAAATCTTAAGGATATTTTTCGTATGGGTTAGGTTTTAGGTTTTTGTATTTTGAACACTTAACTGGAAAAATGAACATGACTATTGCGGTCAGCGGTTATTGCTTACCACAATATCGGAAAAAATTCGGGAAAGACAAATTGTGGAAATAAAGAGCTTATTTTTCTTGCAACTGCAATGAAGGAGGGTAGAGGAAGGCGACTCAAGATGCAGTTGGCATTAAATAACCTCGCTGAAAGGAGGAGACGAGTTTTGAATTCGGCTTGCCTTCAATTATTGCTCATTTCCCAAAGGAACATCACCGTTCCTCGGCGCACACAACTTGTTTTGCAACAAAGTGGCGGGAAAAGCGGGAAATATAGGTCCCTCTTGCTTCAAGCGCACGAAATACACATGCCTGAGGTGTGTGAACTACTTCTGTATGCCGCCAGCCAGTATTTCTTTTTTAGCCGGCGGCAAGTACGAACTGGACGAGAAATTTTGGTAAGCAATAACCGCTGACCGCAGAGTCATGTTCACTTTTCCAATTAAGTTTGACTTCACTAGGTTTGACGTTTGAATCAACTGCCGAACTTAATTATTTAGATCGACTCAAATTGGTGTTGGGTTCGGCACATGTAAAGTTCGACGTTTGAACCGGACCTAATTTCTTCCTACAATATCATCCCTGAATCACACATCAAGGTCACGAGATTTAAGAAAATAATTACTAGCTAAATAAGTTCTTGATTATTGAACAAATTCTTCTTGTCAGAGCTTTAGGAAATGTTTACAGAACAGCATGGAGAATACACATACTGATGTTGGGATGTGAAGGGTTAACATCGTCTCTCGTTTATATTTAGTGGCGATGATAGAATTAACTTGGCTGGGGGAACTAGTAAGTTCGTCACCGATGTCGCTGTGGATAGCAAAGGAAGATGTGTTTGGAGCGGACCAGCTACATTTAAAGTGAACTGCGAGATGAGGATTAATGACTGGCCTTTTGACGAACAAACTTGTCAACTGGCATTTGGTTCGTACACATATGGAAAAAACCTGTTGAAGATTAGACTTTTCAAGGACAATAGACAGTTTTCAAGTAAGGAGTTACCTGGTTTAAGTATCACTTTTTTTCTCTGGTGCTGGCCGGTGCTGCTCATGGGCGAGGCAAAAGATTATCTTCATCAAGCCCCCTCTTCAGTAGACGCTCCTTGCTAATAAGGTTCCCTCTCCTCAGTCAAAAGAACCTCTTTCATAAGCGAATCCCTCTCTCTTAACCATTTAACTCCCAAGATCTCATGAGTGATTCTCCTTACTGTCTGCTATGCAGTTCTTGTGATGTTAGCTTGGAGAATTTGGTATTGGATCAACTAATAATCCCCTAATTGATATTTTTCTTATTTTCATCACTTGTCTGCTTGATGTTGTATCGATAATTTATGGAGAAATTCTGTCTTGGTCACTTATGGGAGTTAAAGGGTTAAAGCCCCTCTCAAATAGGCCCTCCCTCGTAGCAAGACCCTCAGATAAGCCCCTTATCTAATGATTCCCCACTCTCTTTAGTAAAACACCTTCTAGAACAAGTCCCCCTCTCTAAGCCCCCTCTTCAATAAGCCCCCTTCCTAACAAGCCCCCATTCTAATAAGCCCCCTCCCTAACCAGCCATTTCTCTATCAAATCCCTTTTCTAAAACGCCCTCTCTCTCAAATAGGCCCCTTTTAGTAGAAGCCACCTCCCTATTTACGTAATTTTAGTCTATCCAGTATCATTTTAACACCAAGCCTCATGCTGATGTCTGATCAACCCTTATTATATCTTACATGAAGGCAGTTTCCATATTCCTGCCGCTGGCATATTAGTGATCATTAGTTCTTCTCTTCTCTAACCACCCTCTTCAGTTACTCAAGATTAACAATATGACCCTGAGAGTGATTAGCATCTAATTTCTCCTCATGATATCACCTCTGACTCAAATATTAGGGTATCGAGAATACAAGAAATGATCATCAACTTGAGAAGCTTTTGGTTGTGAAACATATATATTCTTCTTGTTAGCACCTCAGGAAATGTATACAGAACAGTATGGAGAATATGCATACTGGTGTTAGAGTGTAAAGGGTTAATGTTTTTTTTTTTTATTTTCCAGCTCGCTTTGTAAGAAACGGAGATTGGGACATAACAAACATCACACCTAGCATAAACGAAACTGACCACGGTAACTGTTGTCCGTTCAAATTCAGCGAAGTGGTGTACACTCTGACGATGAAACGCAAATATCTTTACTACATGTTCTACGTATTTATTCCCTCGGTTCTATTGACGATCCTGGCACTCAGCAGCTTCCTGATTCACGTTGAAAGCGGCGAACGCATCGGTTTTGTCACAACTATTCTGTTGGCAATGACTGTGTTTCTGCTCTTCATTCCGTCTTTCCTTCCAGTTACCTCGGAGGGCCTCCCAGTCTTGGGAGTGAACCTTCAGGCCACTATGATCTTAATAGCTGTGATCCTTTTCGCAAACATCTTTGTCCTAAGAGTATACTTCTTGGAAGGAACGCCGCCTACATGGGTCGAAAAATTTTGCAACTTCTTCAGCCTTAAGAAGGGTCCAGAGGTAAGGAGCCTCACCTCTTCACGCCCCAGTAGTGTTTATCCTTCAGCCGCGAAGTCCCTCGCAACAACGGCTGGTATTGAGTTGAATGACTTCAGTAGAGGAAGCTCGCCATTGGTTAAACCGTCCTTAGTCCCAGAATTCACGTGGCGGCGGGTGTCAATGAAATTGGATCAAGTGTTTTTTGTGGTCTTCATTATTATTTCGTCAATTACGTACGCAGTAACATTCGCAACTTAAAGAGTCAATATCCTTACGTTTTATTTAACAAAGAGATTCCTCTTGGCTGCGTGTCTGTTCAGTTTTTGGAACCAAAGGGGAAAAGGAGGTGATACAAACTGATGTAAAAAAGAAAAGCGCTTTTCCTAACATGAATAAAGCTACCTTAACTAACTTTTCTCTTGAGAAACCTCTTTCGAATAATCATCACCTTAAAACAGTTTTCCCCTCCTCTTTTAGTCCGCAGCTCGAAATCCTCGGCCGCGTTTTTGTCTCATCCCGCCTTTCTCCCTTGTTATGATCCTGGAACGTTCTGGATCTTCAACATCTGAACTATTTCTTTTTTATATATTTTTCTTATATATTTATTTTTATACAATCAATGTCCTGTGATAATTCCTTCAAATAAAATTCACCTGTAATTTGAATTAAAGAGTTCAATTTATTACCTATGGCGACCGAAAGACATTTTTTTTTCTTTTCAACAGAAAAACAAGTTCTCATTATTAATTCTGGTTCGTTCCCTTTTTCGAGTGTTCAGCATGCTTTGTATAAGAGGGTGTCCTTTCTTCTCAGGTGTTAGAACGGTAGCACTCATTTTAAATGGCAGTGATATGAATATATAATCAGGACCTGCTAACACTTTTTATTAACATAACTTTCAACTGAAAAAACAAACTAAAATCACATGTACAACAGTCTGATTTCCGACGAAAAAGCAATAATTTTTGTACCATTCTGATTGGACACTTCTCTTGAAATCAGAACTCTCCAGGAAAAGATTCCATTAATTAGAGAAAGCTTTGAATATTTTTTAGTTTAATCGAATACTTCATAGATCCCGGTGAAGGGATCTGATAATCGACTGTTAGGGAAACCATTTTAATGAAGATCTATTCCCACCGGATATTGATTTCGAAGGTCTTACAGATTTTGTCATCAATGATATAATACATTGATAACAAGGCTCTTCATTGATTTTTGTTTCAATTTATGGTGTTTTCTCGCTCTTGCTGTCTTCTGTCCTTTCTTCAAACTAGTTGACAAAAATTCCCATTTATCAGTTTCTTTTCTTACACTGAGTAAATAAGAAATTACATCCTTTCAAATTCAAATTATAATTTCATGAGCTTATGATTTGGTAACCGTATTTATTTTGCGGCCCAACAATAACACAGCGGAACATTTAATTTTCCTATGTAAATAAAAGTCTTGTCTTTCTTTAAAGTACAATCACGAAGGCTACGTGTTGTTGTGTCTTGCTTTGGTTACCAAGTCAATTACCCTCTTGAGCGATCTGGGCGCCATCATGCAAAGCACGTTTCTGGAGCTCAATGACATGTAATTTCGACGTCAATGCTTACATTATCAGATTATCTAATCCTAAAGCTTCCTAACTACACCTAACTTGTCCGAAAATAGCGAACCGCGGAACATTAAATGAACAGAAACATTGCCTTATGTGAGAGAAACTAGCAACTTGGCGCCTGATTTGCGACCATCGTATCCAAATCTATCGTGTATCGCCAGGGCGATTTAATTTGTTCATATTTATTCTGCGAAAAAACAAATGCCCAAATAAGTTATTCAAAATCTTTGACGTAACGTCAAGATCTTTGTTTGGTATTGAAAAAGAAGTTAATTTGCACAACAATTTAGCCACTAACGCGATTATAAAGTCATAAGTCCGTGTGCTAAATTCAGTTCAGCTCTTGAAAAACATGCATCATTGACGCGGTAACACCAGAATCTCCACCGGAAATTTTAAAAGGAAATCCGCGCCCAGATGTTTTGTTACCTCGTACTATGGTTTTTGGAAGGACTTTGTGTTAGAGGTAAGTACTTTGGAGTCATTTCTTTTTCATCATATATTCCTCTCTGTGTATTCAGCAGTATATGGTTGAAACTTTACGTTCCGCATATTTTGTGCATGGATCTCTTTCCGTAAGGTTGATGTCATAATTATTTGAATGTCAACTTGGAAAACTGTAAAATTTGTAATTTTGATTCATTTACCATTTTTAACCGCTGCAACAGAAATCAAATTGCACTATGGTACTTCTTCCGATATTTTTTCTCACGTACAATCAAAGCATTCGTTCAAAATTTCAACCGAACTCGCTCATACCGGTCAATACTAAGAAATCGCTTTTTCGTAAATCGAATGGTGGATAAATTCTGGTTTCTCACTTCGATTCGACAGACTAACGGTCGGTACCGCCGTACGGCTTTCATCATTACGGTATATCAGTTTTTTGTCATCTTCTATTTCAGTAATAATCAACGAAATGCATGTTTTACTAAATCGACAACGTGTTACAAACAATTCCTTAAATCTACTCCTTTAGAGGTAGAACCAGGAATCAATCATTAATGAAGTTAGCTTTGCTTTTGTAGTGCCTCTGCTAGCTATAGTACACAGCTCTAGAAACGAAAGTGACTCTTGTATATTAAACACATCGATTTATTTTGCCAGTCTTTTGTATTAGTTACCAGTCATCATTTTGTCGGCGCTTGATTCTTTTTTCTGCTGCTGGTGTTTTTTACCTCAATTAATATTTAAAGCAATCATTTAAAAAACTGGCCAGTAGTTTTTAATTCGCCTCGTTGTAACGTTCATCGTATGAATTTGTTGATTTGGCTTTTAGTAAGCGTGAAGAAGCAACTAATAAAAAACTTTTTTCATTTATATACAAGTTTTGCTTTTTATATTCTGATATATCAATTTTTAGCCCGCTGATGTTGAGAATTCGGGTTGTCACCTCGCACTTTGATTGTCTCTGAGCGTGCTACATGGAGTAAGCCAAATAACGATTTACAATTCGGGGGGGGAGAGGGGGAAGGGATATTCTGTTGTACCCGTAAATAAAAAATTGCGCCTTTGTGCGGCGGCAAACCGTGTTTTGTTTGACCTCAAGACTTCTTATTTGTAATCGGGTGAGGTAAGAATAGGGGTCTGAGATTTTTCTTTCTTTCTTTAGAATTTTTTAATGAGAGGCGCAATTTTTTGTAGAAATGATGTTGAAAACAAATGAATATTTATAAAGGAAAAGCTGAGGTACTCCAGAAGTACGGGGATTGGAAAAATCCCTTCTTATATCAACTCAGGTTTTGGAAAAATTCGAATTTCGTTGAATTTATAATAATAAAAAAGGGGAGGACATTATACCTTCAACTCCATGGAAATTATTGTACTTTTATCGCCTGAAAAATGACTTGTCATTGAAGATCGTTCGATCATATTGGTGTAAAAAGTCTCAAAGAATATCATTAAAAGCGTCTCTTGAATGTTGAACACCTGGTTTGCTTTACAGTGGATTTACAGCTAATTTACTTGATTTACTTGACAACTTGAATTGTTTCACTAAATTTTTACAAGCAATTAGTCTCTAGGTACTACTTGACGTTATCAATGTTTACATCACCTTATGTATCTAAATATAAATTTAATGGGTTGGAAAAAATTTGACCACTTAAGCAAATGCGAGACGCTTTCAAGGGAAAATCGAGAAATTATTTCTCGTGTTTATATTCCTTTGTCTATACGCTAATAGGGTTGAAAAAAATTCGTAGACCCTCGACAGTACTGTGTTCCGGGTTTGTCCAATTTCGAGAATTCTCCCAACACTTGTCTCAGTAAAGACGGGAAAAGAAATCTATCCCTTCAATTCTATGCAGTATTTCTCAAATATTAGCGCGAACGTAAACATTAAGCGACTGATGAGAACGCCTCAAATATCTCGAATTGTTATATACCTAGACTTTAACTCAAAAAAACGATTGGTTGATTCTCGGTCACGTGCCCCTGATCAAGTTCAAATGTATCCCGATACGACTGCGCAGTTGTTGCCCACGCACCGAATACAACAGCACATGATTGTTTAAGGGAAAGGCTAAATATACAACAAAGCACTTAATGTATGGTCCCGAGGGAAACTAGTTAGTTTTGATTTCCCTCAAGTCCTGATGTTCCCCTTGACTCCGTCTCGGGAAACATCAGGGCTCAGGAAAACAAAACTGTTTCCCTCGGGACCATACATTAAGTGTATGTAGTTCCATTACACAGTTGTAAATTTCGAGAAATTATTATCATCATTATCGCTAGTACTGGTTATTGTTATTATCATTACTATTATTGCTATTATTATCATTATTATTATCATTATCATTATTATTATTATTATTCAGCATTTCTTCTTTTTTCCCTTTTTTCAAGTTCAAGATTTATGCCGGAAAAACAATGTTGATGATTATGTTGTGATACCTTAATAGAACTTAATTTCGCTTTTTTTCGCATTTGTAAAAAAATCCTCGTGAAATTTGAACACGCGAAATCTAATCCCCAATAGAAAATTCAAATCAATATGCAAAAGCAACAACATATATCGGATATGTATCGACAAATACACAAACTATAAACTTACTGGTGTATTCTATGTTTACATATACCGGATGTGTATCGACAAATACACAAACTATGAACTTACTGGTGAGCTCTATTTTGAATCTTCTGTTGTAAAATGACGTTAATTTGCAAATATTTTGTAAATGGATTAGAGAATGTAGTAATCAACTTCATCTGGGTCGCTAGATTTGTACAAATTTCTTAGAACATCTTTGTGTGCAGTGCGCAGTCGTCAAACTTTATAAATCGCGAACTTTTTTATTTGAAATCGCGAAAATAAAATCTCGTAAAATACTTTCTCGCTTAAATTGCGATATTAGGTACCCGCGAAATTAAGTACTAATCATGTTTATGTAATGTCAAAAACACCCTTTTTAGTAAGTGAGGTTTAGATCTTAACACAGTCCCACTTTTGTTATTGCTGTTGTTGTTATTATCATCATTATTATTAATACTATTTTTAGTATTATAATTTTAATTGCATAATTGTTGTTTTTATCTTTATTATTCTGTTGTATGCTGATTTAAGTTCACCTCTCCATTAAGGCGTTTTAGGATCATCAAATGCCTCATTGGAACATCAAATCCGCAGCGCCCTGCTTAATAACTATGACATGAATGTCAGGCCAGTAATAGGGAAAAAAGCCGTAGAAGTGGCGTTTGGTATGAAGATTAGCAGACTCGTAAAAGTGGTGAGCTCACTAGAATGTCTTTTGTTCTCCTGAACCACCAGCTTCATTGTAGACTGGCTACCAATTACATACTACAGAGATTTCAAGATTATTTTACTACGCGCGCCTCAAAGCAGTAAATGGTATGCGTCTGATTATGTGCTTCAAAGCAGTACATTGTATTGCATCTGATTATAATTTTAAGATTATAAGTTTTAAAATTCCTATTTATTTTCCTAATTTATTTCGTTCGTTTTAATTTCTCATTTTGCAGGACACAAAAGAACAAATTGTGATTTTGGACACCTGGGTGATACAGGTCAGTTCAAACTCATCAAGTTTTGCCGATATTCAATTTCAGCGAAAATTGAAAAAGCATATCTTTTAAGGGTTTAACACCGCGATGTCGCAGAAAAATCAAGAAATGTCGAAAGGACAAGCCTTCATTAAAGGCGTCTCATTGCTAATACGCGTCTTCGATTCTGACAGTCTCCTCTTCATCGTGCTCCATATCCAACATGAAAATAAAAATAATGATAATCGCTACAGAACTCTTTGAACTCTTTATAATCAACCACCTTCGTCCTCGTTAAATTTCAAAGTTACGCTGAATTGGGAAACTAATCATCGACTTTTTTCTGGCGCAAGAAGAGCAAACTAGTGCAATCTCGGACTAGTTTCGACGCTGAATTGATAATTCAGTAATTTAGCATTATCAACTGAGTCGATAACGTAAATTGGCCACCGTCAGAGCGACTGCTCTTCGCTTCGCATTAACGAAGGGCTCATGCTCGAAACGTCAGCTTTGAAACTCCTTACAGTAGCCAATTTACGCTATTAACTCAGTTGATAATACTCAATTACCCTGTTATACTCTTTCACCGACGCAGCACCACAGTTTCTTTGGAAACTTACCCCCTTGAGAATTGTGTCAAGAATGTGTGTATCGATCATCTTAATACAGAAGTAAGAAATGAAAAAACCTATGCTGCTTACACTTTTCATATAAATTTAATTTGATTGATCTTTCAGAGGTGGAAAAATGAATTTCTCGTTTGGGACTCGAAAGCCTTTGGAGATGTAGAGCGTGTGCAGTTTCTCCCGAGTGAGATCTGGGTACCAGATATCTCCCTTTACAACAAGTGAGTGATGGCAAGTCTTTGTAACAAAATTAGGGCAACAAAACAATTATGAATCAACATTAATCAACACGTAAGTAATCTTAGAAAGCGGTGCTACTCGCAAAATAGCATATTTGCAACTGTAGCAGTTTTTAACAAAATGTCGGCAAGTGTGTTTAAGAATAAGTCTTGTATACTCCGGAGAAATTTTTAAATCTTACCTATACAGTAACATTTTAACCTAAAATGTTTTCTCTTTTTCAACTTAAGCGGAGACGATAGTACAACTCTGGCTGGAGGAAGAGGGAAATTTGTCACTGAAGTTTCTGTGGACAACAAAGGGAACTGTGTGTGGAGTGGGCCTGCTACATTCAAAGCGAACTGTGACTTACAAATCATCAGTTGGCCGTTTGACAACCAGACATGTGAATTGGGCTTTGGTTCATATACATACGGAGATGACAGATTGAATATTAAATTGTTTGTAGACACATCTGGTGAATTTACCAGTAAGTATCTTGATTGCCGATGCCTAGATGGATTTGTGAACAAATGGCCTGTCACTTTTTATGTACAGGGTCGTCTAAAGAGGATATGGTATTATATTAACTATTAATCCCCTCATTGATATTTTTCTTTATTCTCATCACTTTTCTGCTTGATATTGTATTAATATTGTAAGGAGAAATTCTGTCTTGGTCACTCATAGTTGTTTAAGGGTTAACGCTACACTGAGTGATTCAGTCCATCAACAACTTTAAGATCAAAAGCCGGTTTCTACTGTCTAGAACGAGAAGAAAAAAAATTACTAGAGTACTGTAAAAATTTATATTTGAAATTATGACCATGTACGTTTTTAGATTCTAAAGAAGCACCTAACCTCTTCAGAATTAACCAACTACGCCATGATGTTTACTCCTTAGCAATCTGGCCGTTTTCCTTTCACGTGACATAGCTTTAATCCTTTCCCCCTCACTCGGCGAACTCTTTGAAAAAAATATTACAGACAACATCAAGGGCGGATACATTGGGAGGGTCCAGAGGTCCGCACCCCCCTTCCACGATACCATTATCATTGAGTTCCTACATAAGGAGAGGGTTTCCTTTACTTGCAGGTCGCTTCGTTACAAGTGGTGACTGGAGTATAATGAATATAACAAAAAGAATCACTAAGACAAGTCACGGCGACTGTTGTCCATTTGACTTCAGCGAAGTTGTTTACAGTTTGGAAATGTCTCGGAAGCCTTTGTTTCATGTGTTTTACCTCACTATTCCAAGCACGCTGCTTTTGACTCTGACGCTGACATCATTTTTCATTCCTGTGGAGAGTGGGGAAAGAATTGGCTTTGTCACTACCATGCTTCTCGCCATGACGGTGTTCTTGCTGCTTATTCCATCTTTCCTCCCGGAAACATCAGATGGCGTCCCAATCCTCGGCATTAGTTTGCAGGCCACGTCGATCATCATAGCTTTGGTCCTGTTTGGTAACATCTTCGTCCTTAAGGTTTTCTTCACGAATGGTACTCCACCTCAATGGGTGCGCAACCTCTGCTTGTGTTGGAGGAGGAAAGGAAAAGTTTCCAAACGAGTTGATGTGAACGGCTCAGACGAGTACCCAGTCCCTTCTGTGAAATCTCCCCCATCCCTGAATGCCATAGAATTGTCCACCACATCCACAAGAGCCACCACATCACATGGATGGGAGGAGAAGGAAGAGCAAATAACATGGCAAAAAGTGTCAACTAAACTGGATCATTTCTTTTTTACGTTTTTCGTGATCATTAGCGCGATTACCCTTTGCACAGTCTACTTGGTAAATCAATAATGAATGTAAGAGTGTTGACCGAGAACTACCCAGAGCTAATGCTGATAACTTTCATATTTTTAGAAATCTATCTTCGTTTCCTTCTAGTAATCCTATATTTGTTATAATGTGATACCACTGAATTGCCCCAAAGGAGCCATATCCTCGCCTCGTTTTCACGTTGTGATAGGGATTTGGCCTTAGGGCCCATTTGTATGGTCTCAGGTTTCCAAGGCACCTTCCCCTCGCATTGCTTTGGCTTAGCTAACTTTTAACTCATTTCTTTGAAAAATTTCAACGAACAGTTTGTATAAAAATGGTGAGCTCGTTTTTAGGGGGCGAGACGACTCGGGAGAGCGCGGTAAGGTAGCCTCGTCAGGCGGGACAACTTTTTCGGATCAATGACAGTATCTGAGCAACTTACCCCTCCTCTAAACCAACAACAGTCAACTGATAACAAGTTAGGGTTAATGTTGGGTTAGGGAAAGGGTAGGAGCGCAATTGCTCAGATATTGACATGAATCCACTTTTTCTCATATAAACTCTTCAGTTCGCCTTCTCGAGACGTCACGGTTCAAAAAAAAAAATTCAAAAAGAAAAATTCAATTTTAACAACTGCAAGCGTTTCGATTGCTCACAGTCGCGGGAACGGAGTGATAATCTCTGCCAGCGGCTCTTGAATTTAATTTCTTCCTGGAATAATTTCACGTGCCAAACCTACAACGTCGACAACGTCGTGGTTCCATTTTTTACGAGATTTTTAGGGTTAACCAAAGTAGTGCACCTGGACCTGATCCTGATAAACAACAAAGGTTTGGTGCAAGCGATTGAACGCGCTCTAAACTTTGTACATAGCACGTACTTTTCCTGGAAGTTCATTGACGAACAACATTCACTGACTGATTAAGTTTTGTAGCAACACGTGTGTCTCATGGCAAAACTCTAAGTAATAATCCTTTTAGCCTATGGTGTCATAAACGGTCTCTTTATGTATTATCCGTGGTTGATTATGGTCTTAACTCTCGTTACCAATGTACTTTCAAGTGTATAAAGATTATGGAGAGAATATCAATGCTTATCAATGTTGGAGAGAAAAAGGGCTCAAAAAGTTATTGCAACAGTCATCCCGTTAAAAGTAGACGATGGCGGGAAATTACTAATTTATACAACTTGTATATAGGAATCCTAAACGGGGTACTTTTTTGTAGGTAATTTGGTGTTAACAACTGAGATAAAAACGTAAATTGGCCACTGTAAAGAGTAAAAAAGCTGACGTTTCGAGCGTTAGCCCTCCGTCAGAGCGATTGGAGGAATTGTTGGTTGAGTGTGAGTTTATATGCAGAAAGTGGAGCTACGCTCTTGGTGGGAGTATGGTGACGAGAAAACAGGAATAAATTAGTTGAATGAAAAGCGCTCGTTGATACCGTGGGAAGAGTGCCGATTTGGAAGATAAATTTTTGTTCTAGTGTTTTGCGGCTTTCCAAACTGCCTTGATGTTCCAGGTGTTAAGTTAGTGAAACACTAGCGAAATCGTTAACGGCACTATGGTAGCGGACGAGTGAAAAAACGATAGAGAGGTTTGGAACGCGTCACTGAACATTACGCGGCTCAACCCAAATCTCCCTCGTTTATTCATTCCCCAGTATTATCGCACCAGACCCTCCTCGGCCAAGCGGTTGTACATTTCAATACATTTCAGTTACACGGTAGGACCTGTATACGAGATTAACAATACTCGTATGACTCCTGTGCTATGGGCGAGTGATTGAACCTATTGTATACTGGAAACATGCACACAAACGTACCTCAAGAGAACTAACGGAATTTTATAAAATAATTCAAATAGTACGCGCGCTCTGATTGGCCATAAAACCATTTTACATGAGCGTATGTAAACACGGTTTTCGTTCCTCTTTCATTAGCTATTTTATAAAAGAAATGTAAAATGGTTTCCGTGTTTACATAGCCTGATGTAAACACTTGGGAGGTTGGGAGAACACTCGATAAGCTGGAAACCACTCCGCTTCGCGTCGTGGTTTCCTACGCTTAGCTCGTGTTTTCCCAACCTCCCGCGTGTTTACATCAGGCTATGTAAACACGGAAACCATTTTGCATTTCTTCAACAACTATATGCAACGCATACGAATACCTCTTTCAAAGCAATTTACCAGTCTCTACGAAGTCTTAGAGGCAAATGGTCTACTTGATGCTATAGGAAAACTCATTCTAATTCAACAGCGAGCGTTATTTTACAAACCCACTGAACAGTAGTGGATACCAATATGGCTGTAGCTTTTGCCAATATTTTCATGGCAGAAATAGAACAAAGTATAATCAGTCAGAGCACAACTAAGCCGTTAGTTTGGAAGAGGTATATTGACGACGTTTGTTGTCCGTGGAACATAACCAAAGACAAAATAGAGGAGTTTGTAAGACGGGAAAACTGCTATCGTTGTTTTTTGTTTTGTTTTGTTTTATTTTTTTGTTTTACATCATTCTGTATCATATCTGCTTAATAGAAAACATTCCATAATCATTAATTCGTTGCATTTCTCTTCAACGAGTTATTTTTCACAAGTCAGTCAAATCAGCTTAATAAATATTGATGCATCGTTCATCAGTGAATTGAACATCGACTTGAAAAATGAACACAAAACGTGTTCTTCAAATTAACCTTAATAGCGAATAGTAAATGTGTGCGATTTTGTGGTAGAAGTGAATTAATTTTGAACCTGATCATGACACCATTCCGACTGCGCAACACAGCTCGATTTTCATTAGAATTCGTTCACATTTTGGGCTTAAACGCTACTTTGCTAACACTGCGTTCAGATGAATACCGGCATCCTTGAAGAACCTGGTACAGGCCTAACCAGTCACAGCGTTCATTCGTTAATTCTGACGCTATCATTAGCAAAGTAGCGTACTCAGATGAGAAAATATGGAACACACAATTATAACATCAAGTGGCTAATGTAAATTTACAGCATTCAGTATTAAATTCGGAAACACAGCGACTTAAAACGGGCCATTTTCTCATTCGATTTGAAATGTAGTTAGCCTTATGGCAGGTATTAAAATCATAGAGGATATATTTGCCCTCCTCAGTCGATTAATTAAAATGAATAAGACCTCAAAAAATAATGATAATAAAAAAATAGCAGCAAAAAAAAAAAAAAAAAAAAAAAAAAAAAAATGGCTTTTTCACTCTTCCTTTCGAAACGTCGTTCGAATAGAATCACAATTCATTCACATATTGGAAGAATTCAAACTAGGAAATGTAGTAAACATTATTACAAATCGAGTGGCTGGTATAAATGGCTAGCACTTAGCACTGAAATGCGGCGATCCAGCTTAGGAAGTTGCCTCATTCGAAGTTACAACAAACGTTTTTAATAACATAGAGGATAAATTTGATCTCCTTAGTCGATTAATCTCCAGAAATAAGAAATAGGAAAAGGAAGACAGTTCATTTTTCAGTATCTTCCAACCTAGTTCTTCTACCAGACTAAAACAATCGCTATTACGTTAGAGATTTTCATCGAGATAAACGATTCTTTTGCTAGGTCTGTTAATCAATGTTCAGTTTTTATATCTCCGGTTAACCTTTTTTGAATTTGTGTTGCTTAACTTACCGGCGAAACTCCTCACGTAAAACATCAGGTCATTTTTCTCCTTTTAAATCTTTCATTTTTTCTTGGAACTTCTGTAGATCAACACCACGGGGAATGGTGCCATACACCCGATAAGCAGCCTCTTCGTATTTCTTCTTATAAGACTGCATTTCCTTGTCTTTTTTATCGTAATATTCCAGCATTTCTTTAGTCAGACGAAGACCTGCCGATGTACCAGTTACCTCTTCGGGGTTCACCCGCACCTCTGTTGATTTTTTGTTCTCCCCTGGTACGGTCGACTCATTCAGTGATGTGTCTTGATCATTCTTCGAGGGCGAGCTTTCCATCGCTGTAGATGGAGAAGGTAGCTATACTAGGAAGCTGCAACGGAGATCACCTGAGCTATGCAGGAGTTACTTTCAAGAATAAGTGTGAAGTCTCAGATAGAGTCTACCAAAGCTTTCAAAGCTTTTACTAAGCATTAGTCGCCAGACAGGAAATTAACTTCAGTTCATTTGTCCCTCTGGTATAGCTACTTAAATGAACGCCTTTCAATCACCGGTTTTGTCAGATTAACTCGTTAATTGTTTTTTTTTAACAGATTCTCCACCAAAGTGGCACCGCTAGTGTTACGCAACAATGTGAAGGAGATATTGCACAATCGCAACTGTCAGTTATGTGCTGCGGCAAGTTCTTATCACTGCCTTCCGTTTTCGTTAAAATCCCCGAAAGCGCAAATTCTAAGACCGCTCCAAAACTTTAAAGATACCGGATATCTCACTGTCGCTCCGTACATTTTTCTTCCTATCTTTTCAAACAGTAGTTTTTTACCGCCCCTTTCATCATTCATCTCATTCTCATCTACTATTTTCCATTTAATTCTTATGATGTGAGTTTGGAGAATGTAGTTTGTAAAAATCTCCTTATTCATTGATATATTTCTTTATTCTCATCACTTGTCTGCTTGATTTTCTATTGATATAGTAAGGAAAAACTCTGTCTCGGTCATTCATGGGAGTAATAGGGTTGATAAATGATTTTTTTTAAGGAAACATGTTAAAACGAGTACAAAGAGAGTGTTGGCATTTGATCATCAGTACTGGGAAAGTTAAAATGGTCGTTCAAGACTCTTTTAGCGGCCTCAAGACAAGTAGTCACGATGATTACAAGTTTTCCATAGTACCCCCTCCTCAAGGATGTTTCATAATGGCCCCATAATGGAGTGTTGTTGTAAAATCTTCCCCTTTTTTGCGTTTTTAGGTCAGTCCTCCTCTACGAACCTAAGAAAAAAGAAAATAAAATAAATAGTAAATTGAAAGGGGGAAATGATATCGTTTTATCTTAATCAGACTGTGTATCCATAAAATTATCGGCATGCTTCTGTAATTCCTCTATTGTAATATTCGTTAACGTTTTTCTTTATTTGTAATGAAGTTGCGCAACACATGATGACGTCATGATATTTGCATTCGCTTTGCTCTGACAAGCCGAGGAAGGATTCTAACTCTACTTCATTGGAAAATGTGACTCCGATTTCTAGTACGAAAAGAAACATAAGAGAAAAGAAAAAAGATAAATCAGTAACTTTCTGCATTTTTTGTTGAACGATTGCGGATGTTTCATTTTCCTCTAACGAGGTTGCGCAACCGAAAAAATAAAATTTGCGACAATGCCGTGACGTTGATCAGAAATTAGCGTTCCCGATGCGGCGTTTATCCAAGGTCGGTGGTTATTCGGTGGCAGTATTCACTGAAAAGTAAAATTTCCTAGATCATTGGCAATAATTGCGTTGCACCATTTCTAATTAGTATGTGAAACAGAAATATGCCTATGGAATATCCTCTGATATATGTGAATGAAAGCAGTCTTCTCAGTAATGAACACAGACTTAAGCAGTAGTAAAATAAGGCCTGAAAAAAATTCAGGCCTGTACCGGCGGGATTTAAACCCATGACCTCTGCGATACCGGTGCAGCGCTCTACCAATTGAGCTAACAAGCCAAAAGGGAGCCAGTCATTATGTTGCTTCGTAATAAACCCGTGAAGTGATGACTCAATGACAATAAATATACAAAAAAATATGATTTTCATATATTTACCGTCATTGATTCATGCCATTATGCCAAGTGCTACCACACCGAGAGACCACCTGCATTAGCTGTAAAAGACAAGCAGATTTGAAAAACAAGACGGAAGATCCAAAGGCATATACTAAAATCCAAGATGGCAAAACGAAACGACCGAAACGAAACAACGAAACCACCGAAACAACCAAAACAAAATGACAGTAACGACCAAAACGAACGAGAAGAAAAGAGTAGAGGATTAAATGAAATGTCGCGGAAAATTTAGATTTTACTTCAGATCTTCTGTCGCATTTAAGGCTTTTAAATATTAAGGCCGTCTCACGATACTTTATTTTTTCCCACTACGAGAGCAGTTGAAACTATATATAAGTTAACATTTATTTGTAATTTCGAGGATGAAACGCCAGCCCATTGAAACTATAATGACATTTATCGGTAGTTTCCAGGACAGAACGCCAGCCATATCAAATACCAAAGCAAGTGCGGAAAGGAGAGGAAATAGATAAAGGTATTCATTGACGACGTCTATGTCCTTGTTTTCTTTATGGATTTTTTTTTTTTTAATAAAGGTTTCCACGACGCCTTACGCCAAGCCGATAGCAATCGAGACATAACTGAATTTCCCCGTGAGGTAAATCAAGGATAGACCACAATCGAAACGAGACAAATATACATCTCAGGGCATTTATATATTTTGTATTATTATCACTCTACAGTCAACTCACTATCTCTTTTCTAATTGGCTGATAGCGTACAGTGAATTTTCGAAATCAGCGCCTGGGACGTCACGGAGCTGCAGATTATGCGATTATCATGTCATGGGCACTCAAGGCCACGGGTCAGCACTTGACATGAGCCACAAGAGCACATATCCGTAGTTTCAAGTAGATTACAGGTAAACACTCGAAACACGCGGGTAATTAAAAGTTGGACGGTTTGACGTCACAATCAAGCTAATCAGCTCTTCAAAAGGCAGCGCGCTTTGGCCACTTTGAGGTGGACTTTGCCCTCTGTGAGTGGAATAAGGAATTAACACGCGCTTGGGTTAAGTCCAAGCTAGCTAAAAACCAACTATTATTCGTAGAAAAAGTCAAAATGCGGAAGAATTGAGTGGAAAATTCATATCACTCGCATTTAGCTCCGTTTAAATTTTTTTCAACGGGGTTGGATGATGCTAGAATTAGGATACCTTATAAAATGCAGGTTGTTTACAAGGAAATAACACGTGATGGAGGAAAGTCTAATGTGGCAAAAAGGAATTTGATTGGTGGAATATGATTCCAGCATGTGAAAAATTGTCTAGTGTTTTATGCGGCGCAGTGATTGGGTATGCTCAGATTGGGCTTGGACGTTATTTTCATGGTAGGTGATAGAATGTAAGATGTTTTTAGAGTGCTTTGTGAGTGAAGGAGCGCAAAAAACACGTTTTTCCTTAAAAGTGATACAAAAAGTTAAACGCGAACCTTTCATGTCCAAATAAATCTCGACTTTAATCGACGAGGCTCTCGCGTAGGCCACAAACCATTACACCTTGGTGGAATGTGATGGAGGAAAGTCCATCGAATAGAGATTTTCATCGTGAAGAACGATTTTGTGTGTTTTATGTACTTTTTGTGTAGCTCACCATAACTTTAACGTGTTGTTAACGTGTCGAACCTCCCCGCGAAACGCCTCACGTCAAGAATCAGGCTGTTTTTTTCTCCCTGTGCAAACCTTTCATCTTTTCACGGAACTTCTGCGAATCAACATCATCGGGAGTGGTGCCATACACCCAAAAAGCAGCCTCTTCATATTTCTTCTTATGAGAGTGCATTTCTTTGCCTTTTTGGTTATAATATTCCAGCATTTCCTCAGTCAAACGAATGCCTTCCGATACACCATTCATTTCTTCAGGGTTCATTTGCACCTCTTTCGATTTTTCATCCTTTCCTAACGCGGTCAACTCATTCAGGGATGTGTCTTGATAACTCTTTGCGTTCGAGCGCGAACTCTCCATTGCTACAAGTAGGATGGATGGTTGATATGAAGCTTAAGATTAGAGTGAACGAAGCTACTGATGCAAATTATTGACAAAAATGACGTCAAACGTTAATTCACCATGACATCCAAGATTATCAGCACCAAAACCTGAGACGAAACTGAACCCGTTAAATGTAATTCAAAACGCCAGTGGTTTCAATTGAAATTTCAGGAGTGTTTTTCCAAGAAAAAGAACATGTTTCTTTCTATATGAACTGAAAGTCGTCAAAAAACTGTTTAAAAAGAACTACATAGACAGGCTTTTTTTTTTTTTGAGGAAATTAGAACTGCGCTCCATCAATATAACTATCCTAAAAACATATCAACTGAATTGCTAAATTGACCACTAACGCTGACGTTTCAAGCCTAGGCCCTTAGTCAAAGGAAATAATTCGCCGAAAAACACTCATTGGACGGCCCGAGGTATGACGTCATAAAATTTGCCAGGGGGTTCCCTGTAATTCCCCTTAAGAAGGATTCCAATCAGTTACATTACGTATCGCGGATCTGAAATATTCTTTGCAAAATATAATGTGAAAAATAATTAAAGGTTAAGTTCTAATGTTTCTTTCCCCATTTCTTAAAAGATGTTTTTGATCGATTTTACTCCCTGTGACGAGGTAGCGTAGCCCACGGTGACGTTGCTTCGCTCCGATCATAGATCTTAAAATCGTTCAAAATCAACGGCTCTTTTTTTATTGATTAAAACCTCCTGAGATTCATGTTACATGGCTTATCAGTAATTATTAATGAATAAATATTTACAAGTCAATGGTAAATGAAACATAATTATGATTACGATCGCAATGAAAAACAGCAAAAAAGTAGAGGACAAAAACCAAACAGCCACTCAACAAACGCCAACCAGGAGTGAATTAGCAAATAATCTACCTTAGACCGCTTTTCGATTGAGTGTCATAAAACCCGAACCAAAGTTATCACAACAGCCAATCATCGATCAGAAGTAAGAAAAGTACCCTAAAGAGCCAATGAGAACTCAAGTCGTGATTGGTTCAAGTTTTGCGTCTGTTGAGAGACTAGCGCGAGTTTCTTTGACCAATAACAGAGCGAAGTAAAGAAATAACTAAGAAATCCCGGCTTATTTTCGAAACTCAGTTGAAAAGTGCTTTAAACTATAATGATCTTACTAGTTCCAAAAATAATATCATGCTCAAAAAGACGGACTTGATTTGATTTGAATTGATTTCCAACGCCTCTTTCTAATCAACAGTAACGTTAGCGGTAAGGGTTTAGCGCTGTCCTGAGGAAAATTAGATCTAGCCTATTCACTCCTGCGGTGTATGGGGCCTTTTGCCTTTTTTCCTTACAGCTGTTTGCATTTTTTGAAAGACAGCATTATTTCATTTACGATTGTCTGTTCCAGAATGCTAAGCAGTCGATGTCTCCTTAACAAAAATTCCAATTTTAACAATTTGACCTATTGTCAAAGGAGAACTGCCACACCCATATCACAGCGACTTGTACCCATCGAAGACTTATTGTCCAAAAAGAACTACCACGCCCATATCACGGCGACTTGTACCCATCGAAGACTTATTGTCCAAAGAGAACTGCCACACCCATATCACAGCGACTTGTACCCATCGAAGACTTATTGTCCAAAGAGAACTGCCACACTCTTATCACAGCGACTTGTACCCATCGAAGACTTATTGTCCAAGGAGAACTACCACACCCATATCACGGCGACTTGTACCCATCGAAGACTTATTGTCCAAGGAGAACTACCACACTCATATCACAGCGACTTGTACCCATCGAAGATTTATTGTCCAAGGAGAACTACCACACCCTTATCACAGCGACTTGTACCCATCGAAGATTTATTGTCCAAGGAGAACTACCACACCCTTATCACAGCGACTTGTACCCATCGAAGACTTATTGTCCAAGGAGAACTACCACACTCATATCACAGCGACTTGTACCCATCGAAGACTTATTGTCCAAGGAGAACTACCACACCCTTATCACAGCGACTTGTACCCATCGAAGACTTATTGTCCAAGGAGAACTACCACACTCATATCACGGCGACTTGTACCCATCGAAGACTTATTGTCCAAGGAGAACTGCCACACCCATATCACAGCGACTTGTACCCATCGAAGACTTATTGTCCAAGGAGAACTACCACACCCATATCACAGCGACTTGTAGCCATCGAAGACCTGCTGTCCCAGGAGAACTGCTACACCCATCTCACAGCGACTTGTATCCATCGAAGGCCCTATCGTCTAAAGAGAACTACCACACCCATATCACAGCATCTTGTAGCCGTTGGAGATCTATTGAACAGGGAGAACTCATACACCCATCTCACAGCGACTTGTGGCTATGGATAACCTATTGTCCAAGGATAACTGTCACACCCATATCACAGCAACTTGTAGCCATTGAAGACCTCGTCCAAGGAGAACTGCTATACCCATCTCACAGCGACTTGTGGCCACGGATGACCCATTGTGCAAGGAGAACTGCCACACCCATATCACAACAAGTTGTAGCCATTAAAGATCCATCTATTGCCCAAGGAGAACTGCTACACCCATATCACAGCGACTGGTAGCCATGGACGTCATCAACGTCCACTCCTGGATGGAAGGGTCATAGCTCTCGCACGAGTCCAAAAGAGACACACCATCATAGCCACCTACAGCAAACAGTTTCCCACAGATAACCGCTGTCCCCACATAGCACCGGTTGGACTTCATATTTGCAACGTTCATCCATTGATCATTGCAAGGACTGTAACATTCGACAGATGATAAATGTTGGCTGCCATCATAGCCACCGACAGCATACAGCTGCCCATCAAGGACTACTATCCCAGCACCTAATTAAGAAGGAACCAGTCATTATTTACTATCGTCAGGGAAGGGGGGCCTAGATGATTTTTGAGGTATCCCATGGTTTTCAGGGGGGAACGGAAGGGTGATCGGTCATCGCCAGAGTATAAAGACGGGAACATAGTAATTTACTGCCAATTATTTGCCAGCTCGGGGGAGATCATGAGAAAATCAGACAGCCTGATGAGAGGATCAGGTAAATTTTATAGTGACACAACCAAAATCCTTCTCCCACAATTCCGTTCAGTACCGTACTGAGTAATTTAAAAGTCCCTCGATCCTCGATACTCGATCCTCGATCCTCGTTTCCTCGAGAGTTTGGAGACAGGAAAACAAAAAAATTTTCACGCGATTCATTTTACACACGACCAGAAGCTTCTTACCTTTGCACTAACTGAAAAGATAAACATTACAAATTACAATCCCACTTGTCAGCATGTTAAAGAAATGCACAGTAGAACAGTATGGGGAATATGCACACTGATGTTCAGATGTAAAGGGTAACACATTTCAGCCATACCTGATCTTCTGGTACTCATTGGAGACAAGCCGGTCCATTGTCCTGTTCTGGGATCAAACCTTTCGATGCTGTTTAAAATGCTGTTTCCATCATAACCACCTACACAGTATAGCACACCGTCAAGATTAGCCAGTCCAGCACCCTCCCTGGGCGCTTGCATCTCACTCACCAAAGTCCATCTGTCTATCGTTGGCTCATAGCATTCAACACTAGTATGTCTTGTTGTGCCATCAAATCCCCCAGCCACAAAAATCTTTCCTGAAATTCAAAGCAAAAAGGTTGTCTCCAGCTAACACTACAGTATAAACCTATCTACAACTAATAAATATCTCTTACCAACCGAGTGCAAGGGCCGTATTGTAAGTTACGGACCCGGTTTTTTCCGCTCGGATTTATGACCCGCGCTCCTCCCGCTTGCGGCATAAATCCGAGCGGAAAAAAAAACGAGGTACCGCAACTAAACCGAGAAAACGATGTTGGTAAGTTAGTTACGATATCTCTGGGTCAAAATACAGAGGAGAAAATTTCAATTTCAAATCTGACATACAGATTTCTATACATACTTCAATATTCTTTCGTTTAATAAACGATACAGTGGTTATTCGTTATCCTTTTCTTTGAAGCTTTGCGCGGGAAATTGGTGCGCAGCCGGCCTGAATGACCCCCTCGCGCATGCCCGACGTGTGACCGCTGCGTTACCGTAGTACAGCCTCCTCATTTTATAAATACGATGAACCCAATTAAATCACTCCTAACAGCTCACTGATACACATTTTTACTCCAGGTTGAGAGACGCATTGTGATGGTGAAGTGTCTTCGAAAGAACAGAACAAATTGACACCCGCCAGGACCTAAAACAAAACCCTGGTCTGCCCTAAGTCTTTCCACCCTCATCAGTTTGCAAGTTCATCATACTGTTCTCTATACATTTACAAGGAGAATTTGTCTAATAATCAAGCGCCCCTCGAGTTTGCGATCATTTCCTTTAATGTTTGATTTAGGGGAAATTAGATGCTTGTCACTCTTAAGGTGGAAAGGGTTAACAATATTAGAATGCCATATTTCTTTGTGATACCAAAGCATCCTGTCACAAATCTGCTAACCTCCTAAAGTTGTCGCTCCTGCTAAACCTCGTCTCTGTAACATAGGAGTCATGGCGGACCACTGGGATGTCGATGAATCAAAGCACTCAACAGTATTGAGACGACTTGAGGCATCGTAGCCACCAATAGCGTATAGCCTTCCATTCAGAGCAACAGCACTTAAATACCGTCTTTTTCGTCTCATTGGCTGAAAGACATAAATGCCACGGTCAGCAAGTAACGATGACAAGTATTTTTGTGAGATTAGAAATGTTATATGCTGTTGAGTCAATTCATCAAGTCCCTTCTTTTTGTGCTGCTTGTTCTACTTCATGCAAACATGTACAGAAAAAGGGCTCAGTGTGGAGAATATGAAAACAGTCGAACCTGTATTAACCTTCCAACTCCAAGAAGTGATTAACATAGAACTTCTCCCTATAATACCCATATATTATCCCGCCAACAGGTATTGGAGAAAACTCCAACTTATCAGAGAGAAGTTTTTGTCTTGATCTAACACTAAATTCTCTCTACTGATTTACAAGGAAATGTGTAGCAGCTAGAGGGGAGAATTAACAATCAGATCTTGGGAGTTTAAGGGTTTAGCGGTTACCCACAAGGAATGGCTGAATACAGATTGACTGCTACATACATGCACAAGTTCCACAGAAGAGGGGTATTTTCAAAACCGATAAAAATTGCCATTTTATTCCCTTACTGACACTTAATGTACAAAAACTCACTCATAAATACTGCTAACATTAATTGTGGGAGACAAACATGGTATTTTTTTACTTGAAAGATTATTCTTAGCTGTATTTTAGTGGTTTTCACTTAAAGTGACTGTTCAACAAAGGTGGAGGACAATACGAAAAGGCAGGCAGGACTCAGTAAAGGGTAACCATGAATGCTTAATAGAGGTCAAAATTATTTTAATTAAGGGGTAACAATGTCAGGAATTTGGAAACCAACTGCTAAACCCTTTAACTCACATGAACGACCAAAACAGAATTTCTCCTTGCAATTTCAATACAATATCAACCAGATATGTGAAGAGAATAAAGAAAAATGTAAATTTGGGGATGATTAGTTGATCCAATACTAAATTCTCTGAACTAACTATAAGAATTGCATGGTTGACAGTAAGGAGAATTACAATTTTGATGTGGAAGTTAAAGGGTTAATATGAGGTGACTGCTTAATGCAGTGCAGCTAAATACAGGTTTGACTGTACCAATTTTTAGGATGTAAAAGGTTACTTAAATGTATCCTTGGCACAAGTGTTTGTAAAGCTACCCTCCAGAACAGGATGTGCATGTTTCCCATGTGTTGGCATACAGGCCACATCTCTTATATACAGCTAAAACAAAAACAATTTTTGCATGTTTGAAATTTTTTTTTTTTCAATGTTTTAATGTGATTCACTATGAGTGCCCTGCAGAAGTTTACCTGAACAATGGACCACTGATTTGCTGCAGGATCATACTTCTCAACAACATCAACAGGAGACTGCAAGTTTCCAAAGCCTCCCAGTACATACATCACTTCTGACAGGCCAATACGTGACTTGGTTCTGTCGTTTTGCATTGCTTGACGACACTCAGGTCTCAAGTGGTATTTTTTAGCTTCATCTACCAAATCTCTACAGTCAAGGTTTTGTCTTATCAATTGCTGTAAAGTCAACCATGGACATAATACTGCAGTTAATGACAATATTGAATATTAACTAATATTAATAATAATCATAAAAAGAATAAAGACGGCTATTGGGTTGTCATTAGAAAATAAACTAGATGTTTGATCTGAACTGAGTACTGAGGCTGCTGAATTGAATTATACTTGTATAGGAGGCATAGTGTCCTATAAAGCAACATGCCCTTCTAGGGAAGGGTTAGTGGGCATGTTCCCCTGCCCCTGAAAAATTTGAAATTTGCAACTCTCTGAGACATGAACTTTAGCATTCTGGGATGTATTTGTCATGAGTAACTTTTTTTAAGCCAGCCATTGATGTTAGAATCAGTTCAAAAATACTAATTTTCTGTCTTTCATCACAATTTGCAAGGTAGCTAGCGCAAAATAATCTGACAACTAATGGTTTCTGCTATAGACTGATTTAAATGACAACTTGGAATAAAAAATGATCATGACACATTTAGTAAAAATACTTGCCTCGCCATCAACAACATCTGTCAAGTATCGTGGAGTGAGAAGAGGTAACCTTACAAACTCCAACATTTTAGGCAACATTGCCTTCCTCTTCACTTCGTTTTGCTTGATCCAGGAAATGAGTGCCTCAAAAACTGCCTCCTCAGATGGCACCTGTCAATTTTACATCAATAAACAAGGTTCAAATTGAAGTACATATCTGATACATGTCATACACCTGTACCAAAAAGCGTAAAATGCACAGATTGTGTTAATTTGCCAAGTTGAACATTTTCATAATAATCATGGTGAAAGCAAGAGAATTCTTGGCAAAACTCTTAGTCTGGAAATTGTTTCAAGCTTGGAGGAAGGCTTGATCTTTTAACAATGTACAGTATTAATAAATAAATGGTAAAATTACAGTAGTAAATATATGACCAAAATCTTGAAAAATTGATGATTTTTTCCAGTTGATTCACAGGATTAAGCTGGCAGGGGTTTGAGTCACACAGAGTTCAGTAAGTACTAACAATACAAATAACTTACAGTTAAATTGTCACATTTAATGAGTGACACCAGATCCTCATTGTCAAGTTGCAGGAACTCCTCACTATCCACAAGCTCAACAAAGTGTTTCAGGATGTATTTTTCAGCAGCTTTTCTTAGCTCTTCACATCCATGGGTCTCAGCAAATGCCTTGATACCTAAACAATTAGAGGGATCCAACTGCTCTTCTAGAAAATCACAACAAGCTTTTTGCACACCTGTAAAAGAAAGTGAATTTAATTCTATTAGCACCCATCCAAATTTGGATGACACAAATAGTTACACAAATTCAGAGGGTGGGGGAGGGGAAACAAATAGTTGCACAAATTCAGAGGGGGGGGAGGACAAATAGTTGCACAAATTCAGAGGGTGGGGGGGGGAAATAGTCGCACAAATTCAGAGGGTGGAGGGGGGACAAATAGTTGCATAAATTTAGAGGATGGGGGGGTTAATAGGATGACAAAAATCCTCTAATCTGCACTTAAGTATGTGACCTGATCTATCAATCTAACAGTCACTGACATCTCTATCTCTATGTCTATGACATCTTAACCCTAAGATTGATGGGCATCTAATTTTTTCTAACAGTATCATCCGTGAACCAAACATGGAGGTCATGAGAATAAAGGAAATGATTGCAAACTCAAGAGACTCTTGATTGTTGCACAAATTCTCCTTGTCATGACCCTATGGAATGTGTACAGAACAGTAAGGAGAACTGACAAACTGATATTGTGTTAAATATGGATCACTTGCCTACCTTATACAGTTTTTAGATTGCACCAAAATATTTTGGTCTCTACTTGTGTTGGAAGAATTACACGTAGCATTAACCCTTTAACCCCTATGAGTGACAAACATCTAATTTCTCCTTACAATATCACCCCCAAATCACACATAAAGGTCACAACAAAAAAGGAAATGATCACTAAAGATAGAAACTCTAGATTGTTCAACAAATTCTCCTTTTCAGAACCTTAGGAAATGTATAGAGAACAGTATGGAGAATATGCATACTGATGTTAGGGTGTAAAGAGTTAAGCATGTAGAGACTAAGTGGCTGAGCCATCAGGAAAGTTTCTAATTTTTCATAACTTTTTCTATGAACCAGATAATGTGAATGAGAGTGATCCTCGCAGTAATGTGCACTACTTAGGCAGTGATGAAAAATGAGGCCTGTAAAAAATTCAGGCCTGTATGGGATTTGAACCCATGACCTCTGTGATACCAGTGAGAGGTCATGGGTTCAAATCCCGTACAGGCCTGAATTTTTTTTAGGCCTTATTTTTCATTACTGCCTAAGTAGCGCACATTACTGCGAGGATCACTTTCATTCATGTCTTTATCCGCAGTTCAAATATATGACTTTCATATATTCTTAAATGAACCAGATAATGATACTATAACAGATACATTTAACTTAGCAGAGCTAACAAACAATGAAGAATACCATCAAAAAATCCAACTTATAAAAAGAAAGAATACAGAATCCTTGCCACAATTTTCATTCCAAGGAACATGTTCATGAACAGGGAATTTTTTGTTAAATCTGGGAATTCTTATCACTTTTCTGCTTGATATTGTATTGATCTGGTAAGGAGAAAGTATGTCTTGGTCACTGCTAGGAATGAAAGGGTTAAACAACTGTTAAACAAACCTGTCAACTGTAGAAGACATGCAGCAGGAAGCAGGGCTTGTACATTCTCAACACTAACTTGAATTGTCTCAGTATATACAAAGTCCAGAATAAATTCCATAGTGTCTGAGTCTAGACCATGAAGTTCAACCACAGACTTGTGACTTTCCTCCATATTGCCAGTAAACATGGCACAGAAATAATCACTACAAGCACTCAGGATTACACGGTGGGCGGAAAACTCTTTTTCTCCAACTTTTAAAGTGATATCACACAGCTTCCTTTCCTTTCGTAGTCTGTTGATAGACTTCAACAGGTGATCTGAGTGTCCACATCTTAAATATTTTAATTGGTTTTCATGATCTTCTGCTAAATCAGCCATCACCGTTATGCTGCCTTCAATAGCTGTTGATCACCAAAAACATCAAACATGAAATGACAAAACAGTAAAACAAATGGTGAAGGTAGTAATTCATTAGTGTCTGTAAATGTAACTTCTCAAAAGTGAGCACCTCCTTAGCTCTTCAACTTTAACTCCCAAGATCTGATTGTTACATGGATTAATTCCCCCCCCCCATGGAGCTGCTAAACATTTTCTTGTAAATGAGAGGTATGTTGCTATCACCTACTGGTGTTAGATCAAGATAAAAATGTTTTTCTGATAAGTTTTAATATTCTCATTACCTGCTTACTGTGTGTCGAATGGTTATCATAAAGAAGAAGTTACATGTTAGTCACTTTTGGGAAATACAACTAAAAAGGTTAAAGAGAGAAACCATAGGCTGGAATTCAATTGGGTTTTATCAGTGCCTGCAGACTGATTTTTCTCAATCTAGTTGACCTGAGTAGTTACAGAAAGTTTGAAATATGAAATGTAACATACAGAAGATCACTCAGTACCGCTCATGATTAGAAATACGTCAACCAAAATACTAAAAAAAATGCACATAAATTTGAAAGAAAGTGCGTATAAATGTAACCTTCAGACATGTATTCACATCTAAATGGCGCAAATATGCGCATAAGGATAATTATACGCATCTGCATATCTCATTAGTATGTACGGGCTAACTTAGCTGTTTTCAATAATATGTAAATTTTCAGATGTCAGCTCGTTGCTTTTTTCAGACCCAAAATTCCTTCTTTTATACAACAATGTTACAGTGACACAAATGAACTTATAATATTGAACAACAAAGACACATCAGTTGCGCATGTATACCGAATATACGCGTATATTTTTTCTATTCATCGATGAACTCGATCAGTTCCTGAGCTTAACGTTCGGATCTCTGGAATCTTATCTCCAACAAACCAAACCTTCACAATACCTTTTCAGCTTTCCTCTTCCACAATAATTCACGAGGTTAAATGAGTAAAATAACTGCCTTGTTGTTATACAATAATAAAAGATAAGTGGAAGGTACAGATACGCAACACTGACATCGAATGTTTACCATCCCCACGTCACATTTGCAGTTTCTCAGCGGCTTTACACAATATGTAAATAAGTAGGTGGTGTAGCAGTCATATAGTGAGTTGTAGACTCATGGCATAGAGCCTTCGAAATTATAGAAAATAGCCGGAAATATTTCCCGATTTCCTTTATCAGTGAAATAGAGGCTGAGATGTCTAAGCTGATGGATAAACGAGAATTAAAGGTTGCTCAAGTACGTGCCTCAGGCGACGTCTCTTGCCGAAATTTCCACATTCACAGATAAATAGCACTCTAAAGTCTATGATAAAATGGAAATCGACGACAAAAGAATGAAGTTTGTTATTGAGATTATAAACACCTCAAGCTGGAAAAACAAACTTTAAAGAGCACGATCTCTATAGATCACAACAAATGTATAAGGTGAGAAACTTTCAAGCAAATTAACGACTGCCATTCATTTAGTTATTTGATAACCGTGACCAGCTGTCGACGTCACGCTATTTCTAAGTCTTCTGAGCCAAAGTAAACCGATCGCGTTCAAGAAATGACTTATCAAGAAATCGAGACAACCTATATAATCCAAGCTATTGTGTGTCGATGAGGAACTACTAAGCGATCCTGAGGATCGGATATTTATAAATCTTATGTATAACGCTCAGTTTACGCTCGGCTTCCTTTACATGTTAAAGGAGATCTACGGAAAGAAACAGAAAGGTATACGGGTTCAAACAAAAACAACCCCTACCATAATAGTTGCTACAGTTATAGGTTTTTGAATTTCCGTGACTTTCCCTGATAAACGTGAATTTGTCTGACCGATTAAATAAATAATTTCACGAGCGAATCCTGCAAATGACTTCGACCCTCCCCCTCACAGCCACCAGTTCCACCCATAAATTAAAACTTTCAGGAAGGCACGTACAGTGTACATGAATTAATAATTCCTCGAGGCAACGTGGAAAAAGATTTCATTTTCTTGAAAACCTAACATAAGCATTTTTTTACCAATCCGATATCTTTCATTTCCATGAAATGCACTGAAGAAAAGGAAAATTTAGGATTTCATTCAAAAACCATCTCCAACTTGCATTGCCAAGGGAAAAGATACGGTGGTCAGGAATCTGTCGACTGTTCTCACAAGCAATGTACATAAGCAACATCAAAAATGAAAGTGTCAACATCTTTCATCATGAAAACGGCCATAATCCATTTTCCCTAAATTTTCCTGACCTGTCCAGCCATGCCTAGTTATCGTGATAGAGACGAAACACTATTTCTTTTCTAAATAGCCTCTGGTTAACCACAAAAACAAAGCTGTGTCTAAATGCCTAGTTGCCGGATATGGTCTCAGATAGACTTAATATGCCCGGCAGTCAGAAATTTTTACAGAATTTCCATTGGAAGGTTCCTCCTAGCTTCTTAAGAACGTCAGATGTTTATTTAAAATTGTCGAGCGACTCCAAAAATTTATTTTTTTTCGTGGACAAATTCAATAATATCGCTCGGTTGTCGACACTTAGGCCATTCTTACCACTTCGCAGTTTAATTTGTTATGGCCGAAGTGACTGTGTTTGCCTCCTCGGACCACTTCCAATCTATGACGTATGAAGCTAAAAAGGTCCATTGAAACCAAAGAGACACCGTAGACACCATAGACACGTGATTTTCTACACTGACCGCAGTGCTGACCCCCGGGGGTACGAATCATGAAGAATTGGGCAATAGGAATATTCCGACCTGGATTTGTAGCTTATTGGGCTTTTAAGCCGTGTTCTTTTAGAGCATTGCGGAATTGATCTTACGGAGAACATCTGAGGTAAATTTTTAATTAATTTTCATGTGATAAGTCAATGGATGATGCATAATGCTAGAAAATCTACAGTGTGTGACCGAATTTTCTTGTTCAAATCGTGATTATCCTTGCGAAACGAAGGAAAGAGAAAACGCTATCTGGTTTTCTGTTTATTTTTATTTTTTTGTTTCATTTTGGGTTACTAGAAAAATAAAAACATGGTTTTCATCCCTCCTAGTTTTAATTTGAAAACAAGTATTAATTTGAAACTAAACTCTGTTTAGCAATTTAAATTTCGTCGTAAAGAACTCAATCATCATTTTTTCATGTCCTTGCTCAGTATGAATTTGCAATTTGTGCAATTACCTGATTAGTCTCCAATTAGTAGCATGGTAATGTATGCACCATTAGAGTAACTTTCAGTTTATGAGGAAAACTGAGACGAAATGGTGGCCAATTTACAAACTTAGGGAGTGCAGGTTGAGATGTGATCCGAAATAAAATAACAGCAGATATGTTGACCTCTCTGCTACTTCCTTGTGGCTTTTAAATTTTCACTTAGTTTAACAAATCTCCTATTTATGTGTGAAACAGGCTACATATTTTTTTGTTGTTTTACTGCTGTTAGTGCTGCTGTTGAGAATTCCTCAGTAGAAGTTTTATTGGGAAACATCACTCTTAATTGGGTGATGTGCATGCTTGTAAATTACATACATAGGAACTCAGTACAGAGACAGTCTTGCATAATACTTGCGATCGAGCCAGCATGCTCACTTAGTACAGGCAATTTAATATCAGCAGAGTGTTGTGTATAGTTGTACTTTTAGTTGCTTTTCCTATCACTAGTAAAAGTACAGTGATGCTAAACTCATGCTAGCTGTGCACTTTACCCTTCACACCCCAACATCAGTGTGCATATTCTCTGTACTGTTCTCCATACATTTCCTAAGTTGCTGAGAAGGAGAATTTGTTTAACGATCTAAAGCTCCTTTATTTGGTGAACATTTCCTCGATTCTTGTAATCTTGATATGTGACTCAGGGGTAATTTGCAAGAAGAAATGAGATTCTATTATTACTGGTAGGGGTTAAAGATTTAGAGATCACTTCGCAATCTAAAATCAGTTGCTCAATTGCTTAGCTTGTTAGTGAATGACATACCTCGTTTGCACTCTTAGAAGCCCTTTGTCCCAAAGGCGTCTTGTAGTCAGGTTAATATGTGGTTTAGAATAAGTCTTAAGAACCATCAGCCATTGGCCCTCATACATGAAGCAGTCTTTTCCATTTCCTCTCAGCCAAGAGAAGGAGGCTTGAGCTAAGTAGCAGAAATTGGAGCTTTAGACTTTCCCTTTATTGCTTTTTATCTTTTGCTGTCTGTCTCAGTATGCTTTCATGTGAGTCCCATTTTAGGTCATACTTCTCCTACTTTGTCCTAATCCTTAAACTCCCATGAATGACCAAGACAGAATTTCTCCATACAATATCAACAGAATATCAAGTAGACAAGTGATGAAAATAAATAAAATATCAATGAAAGGATTATTTGTTGATCCAATACCTAATTCTCAAACTAATATCATAAGAATTGCTTGGTAGATGTTAAGGAGAATTACTCATGAGATCTTCGGAGTGGAAGGGTTTAGGAAATGGAAAAGAATACACTATAATTAGTAATGCAAAATTTATATTTTGCTCTACACCTTTTTTAATAGGTCACCTGATCATGACAAGTGTTGTAAACAAAGCTATTTTGGAGCTTACTCCGTCATCAACTGAAGAAGATGCAAAAGAAACTTACAATGCTTGGGCTGCAACCTATGAAAAGGTTAGTAGGGTTATTAATCAGCAGACTGTAGGTCTGAACTGTTGGCTAAGTCAGTGTAAGGGTTATTATACCGGTAATTATATCTCAGTACTTGTGCTATGACTTGTAGCGTATTCACTTTATGGCCTGTTTAATTGAAACATTTGTTTGAATTGAAATTTCCTCCCCTTCTTTGAAATTAGAAAATATTTATCGCAGAACCTCACTATTTTCAGCTTGGATTTATGGCCTGTATGCTTCTTGCTTGGGCCATAAATGCAAGCAGAAAAAACTTAGTCTGTAACATACAGTACAGACCTCAAAATTGTTTTGCAAGGGTTTTTTTTTTGCAGTATTTTTATAATCAGCCATTTGTTTCACTGTTTAATAGGATACAGATGAACATGGGTATAAGGGACATGTCTTATGTATGGAAGCTTTCAACAGAGCCATGCAGTCTGAAGAGATCTTTCCTGGTACAGACAAAAACTTAAAGATCCTTGATGCTGGAGCTGGTACAGGTATCATTGGTGAGATGCTGGTTAAACAAGGCTATACAAATGTTGATGCCTTGGATATTTCACCAAAAATGTTAGATATTGCAGAAAAGAAGAACATTTACAAGCGACTCATCTGTGCACCTTTGAGTGATGTTCGCATAGACCAGATACAGACTGCTGAATATGATGTGACATTGTGCGCAGGCACCATTGTTTATGGTCAAGCCAAGCCTGTGGCACTGGATGAGTGTATACGTCATGTAAGACCAGGTAAATATAGGGCACTTGAATGTATCCCACAGTTAACCCTTAAACTCCCAGAAGTGATTAGCATGTGACTTCTCCTTAAAATATCCATACATTATTCAGCAAACAAGTGATGAGAATCCTCAAAATTATCAGGTAGCTGTTGTTATCTTGATCTAACACCAAATTCTTGTAACTAACTTGCAAAGAAATGTGTCGCAGCCAGAAGGAAGAATTCACAATACGATATTGGGAGTTAAAGGTTTAAGATAGGAGGGTAAAGTTTATGGTTAAGCCAAGTGGTCCATCCAGTCAGAGTTTATCCCAGTTTCTATAGCATGAGGTGACTAGAAGTATACCACCCCCCTGGATGGGATGCCAATCCACCACAAGGGTACCCCCAGTATTTTAACCCTGTAACCCTTAGTGAGTAACATCTAATTTCTCCTTACAGTATCAATTGCACATGAAGGTTGTGAGAAAAGAGAAAATGATCACCAGCCAGAGAAGCTCTTGATTGTTAAACAAATTCTCCTTGTCGACAACCCAGGAAATGAAAAATAGAACAGTATGGAGAATATGCAAACTGATGTTAGGGTGTAAAGGGTGAAGAGACCTCCCTGACAATTTGCCGACACCCATATACACTTATGGGTGGAGAGGGGCTCTGTGAAAGTGTTTGACCCTAGAACACAATGCATTGACCAGGCTAGCCTTGAACCAAGACCTCTGTGACCAGAGTCCAACACACTAACCATTAGCTAGCAAATCTCCCACATCCCACAGACAAGCCAGTTTTTTAATAGCTCTTGGAAATTGATTAACATTGAGCTGTGAAAGGTGCTATGACATTAGATTGTTAACAACATGTTCAAAAAGCTCTACTTTTGGAATTAAAAATCCTGACCCTTGCTTGTGCTTTCATCAATTTTTGTATTATTTGCATTTATAACTCTTGTGCTTTTGCCAGTGAAAACCTGGCTGAAATAATCCAAATGATGTGCTGATAAATATAAATTGGAATTGTGCAACTGAACACCAAGGAAACAAAACTGGGATTGTAATTTTTTTTCCTTAACTTTCAATTAGGCACCTGAGGAACTTTAACCTTTTGGAGTGCTTTTTAAAGATGGGGGAGGAGAGGGGGGCTCTTAAACAGAGAGAAGGAGTTTTTTGCAGTTACTAGGACATACTGGTATTGGGCTTTTAGCTTTTACACTTAATAATATTGATCTGGTTCACATGTATTTCTGCCCAAGTACTTTCACCCCTAAGAAGGACTAGCATCTAATTTCTCCTTACAATATCACCCCTGAATCAGACTTGAAGGTCATGAGAATAAAGGAAATGATCACCAACTAAAGAAGCTCTTGATTGTTAAACAAATTCTCCTTGTCAGCACCTTAGGAAATGGAGAATATTCAAACTGATGTGCCAGGGTGTAAAGGGTCAACAAAACTTTCCTTAACACTAATATGAGTATTTTGTTTCATTTTGATTCTAGGTGGGTTGTTTATTTTCTCTATTCGAGCAGATTCTTTTGACCCAAAGGAACTTGGTTACAGCACAAAGTTTGAGGAGTTGGAGAAATTAGGAAAATGGAGCCTTGTAAACAGGGAGCTTCGTGAGCTGTATTCGAACCCCCATGAGGAACGCTATAGAAATTGTTATTTGATCACTTACAAAGTGCTTAAAAATTGACCAACTAGCTCGTATCACAGTAACTTTTCTCAAAATTAAAGGCTGCACCACAGCTGCTTCATTTTAGCCGACTTTTCTCTTTCTCTATTGAAACATTATTTCTGATCCTCTGCTTTGGTCCAATGAAAATAAAAATTGATTTATAGGACAGTTTTTATGTTTAATGGTAAATGAAACAAATGTGAAGTGATTGGAATTTCAACTATAATTGCGGTACATAATCAGACTTGAATTGCAATCATCGTCTCCAAAAGAACCACAACAATTGATAGAAGCTATTTGTGGTAAGGAGGGGGGGAGGGTAGGTAGGGTTTTTTTTTTTAACAATCAAATATGGCTCCTTTGAAAAGTACTTTCTTAAACCTGCACAGTAAAGCAATTTCCCTAGATGTGGCGTGTAGCCACAATTTAAAAAATTGAATTTCAAATTAGTTAGCGTTAAACTCAAAATAAATGTCCATTATTGAGAAAGCTGTCCAATTCTATAAAAAAGTCCAATCAAATGAATATGAAAGTGATCTTCGCATCAATGAACACTACTTCTAAAAAGAGAAGTGAAGATATAGCCTGAAAAAAAAAAAAGTTCAGGCCTGCACGGGATTTGAACCCATGATTTCTGCAGATTCACAGCAGTGCTCTACCAACTGAGCTAACAAGTTAATTGGTAGCTGTTTACTATTTTTCAAAGTTCAAAAATTGCAAATGCATTTTATAGTTAAGGTTTTTTACGTCTTTTTTGAATAGGATTGTATTTTTCATCATAAACTTTGATTTTATGGTCTCTATCGAGAAGTCTTGGAAGTGGCGTAATTTCTGTGAATCGCGACTCTTTGCAAAGGACTAAATCAGTGCCAGAGAAAATTATTTTTTCTTGATAAGGAAGAACTGTTTGACTTGCAATTTGAAATTAACAGAACCTTCTCAAAGCTTACAGAATATATAATAATTGTTGTATTTTCCTCTTTGCTAATGATCTCAAGGTTTTCTTTTGCAGCTGCAGGGCCTCGAGGCTCTGTAACCTAGCACAAGCGGTCAAACGTCAGGCATGCGCGAGGGTATCATTTCTAGCCGGGTGCGCGTCAATTTCCCGCGCGAAATTTCAAAGGAAAACATAAGAAACGACCGCTGTCTCGCAAAATGAGCGAAAGAAAATTTGAAACGTCCCTAAAAATCTGTAAATAGACACAAAAATAGGGAAATTGAAAATTCGAGACTTTTCGAACACAAAGCTTATTCAACTCTTACCGAAAAAGTTACGCGCTTTTAAAACACCGTGATTTACTGGCTTGTATGTTTGTTTGTAACTCGGGTGACACAACTTGGTTCTGACAGCCTGAAAGCACCCCATTTAGTCATTGCAAAGTTTGAAATCGCTCTGTTCCGTAACCCCGCCGATGAACTTGAGAAGACGTTAATCACGTTCTCTAATTTTTGCACGCGCGACCGACAGAATGCAAATTCTTAAATAATTACTGAGGTAACAATTGAAACCAACCGACACTCTTAAAGTATTCTTGACATAAAGGAATACTTTACTGCTACCTTTTCCCTTGTGAAACGTAGAGGAAAGAAGAAAAACAAATCGAACGGTTAAGCCGAAAAAAATGTCGCTCGATAGTCTTGAAAGCGGTCAGTCGCCAGAAATATCGCTGTTTTTGGGAGAGTATGAAGGAGAACGAAATGAGAGGGAGGAACGGCATGGGTTTGGTCGTGCTCTGCTGCCGAATGGAGACGAGTACGAGGGAGATTATAAGAATGGCAAAAGAAATGGTAATGGAAAATATACATTCCTCAAGAGTAAAGCAAGGTAATTTATTGTTATTCATCTGCTGACGCGAAATTGGTGGTTTTCCTTCTCTTGGCACGATAGTTATTTAGAGAAAAGTCTATGTTCGCGTGCATAAATATGTTTTGGGACCGACTCAGAGTCATTTTAGCCCGATCCGTTAGGCGAGGGAGAATTGACTCTAAGGAGGACTCCAAGACATTATAATGCCCAAGAACATAATTTGTATTACTAAATTTATCACTTTGGAAGACATCGAGACGATAAGAACTGAAAGCATGACCAAAGAACCAGTATGAACAATCACGCGAGCGGGCTAAAACACATTAAGAATAAACCTGTGAGGCCAAAACATCCCCGCATAGTCCTTATACCAAATAAATTCCTCTCAACAGATACGAAGGAGAATACAGTAACGGCCAAAAGTGTGGTCAAGGAAAATTCTGGTATCCTGACGGGTCAATTTACGAGGGAACCTGGGCCGAGGGTCTAAGGAACGGTTATGGCAAGTATACTTATGCAAACGGGGACGTATATGAAGGGATGTGGAAAGATGGCCGCAAACATGGACAGGGAGAGTATATCTACAAGGATAAAGGAATTAGATACCGGGGTAATTATAACGTGAATCGCAACTGCTCTTTTGAAAACAGAAAGTCGTAAATACTTTGATTTAATTCAAGCGGGTCCGTTGTGTGCTGATTAACTTTTAATAAATCGTCATTTATTATACACGAGTAAATCTTCGAACCACAAGCTCAACACTAGACTACAAGCAGTTCTTCCTTGTCGGTGAAATATATTGCGCGAGTCCAAGGGAAAATCGTGTCAGCGCGCCGCGTGAAACTATAGGAGTGATGCTCAGTCCCATACCTCCGCATAGATTGGCTTGATTAGCTTCCCGAGTTTAAAAAAAAAAATGCTATAAATTTTCATGGTGTTCACAGTAAATTACTGGCAACCCAATACATAGTTTGAAATTCTAAGAAGGCTGAAGTATTAAGGCACCGTTCAAGCGCAAAAAAAAAAAAAGCCAAGCACTTTTTAACCAACATGGAAATGGGTCACAAGTGCTGCAACGACATGAAAATGTAAAACAGGAGGGTATCATTAAATTCACATCAGATATCATTCAGAAAGAGAATTAATTCACCAAAGATCATGTTTAACTGCAGTAGGCATGGAACAGTATCTTTCTATTTTCCTTGAAAGGATACATCTGTTTTATAGAACATTGCGCGTTTCACAACCAATCGTTAGCGAGTAAAAACACTAACTTTTGATGAAGTAGTCACAGTAGAAACAAGACATTTACGCTGTTGATTGTTTTCCAGGTAACTGGAGCGATGGCATATCTAAAGACCATGGAAAACTTATAACCTCAAGCTTCACATATCATGGGACATTTTCCGGTGAGGAACCAGTTGGGACTGGAAAGTTTCATTTTGATGCGGGCTGCGAGCAGGAAGGTGAATATGTAACCAAGCGAATGGTTCGATATACCAATGCCTCCAGAGAAGTTTTCCACGTCCCACACTGGAATTGCCTTTCTTTGTACAAGGCAGGGTCGAGACTCGATAAGCCTTTGGACTAATAAGTCCATTCACGATATATCATATAAAAGTCTTGACTGGTATTTTCTGACAATGTCTGTTGATTCAACTCTAAGCAAATGCACTATTTCGAACGCCTTTCTTTTTTTTGAGGAAACCAAATATTGAATATTAAAAATTTTTTATTAATCAGGTTCTCTTGTCTTTCCCCTTCACCCTGGTATATCAAACGTATTTGCCCAAGTCTGCACCGCCTACGGGGAAGGTAGGTGCTCATGCATGAAGAGATTTTAAATTGTTCTTTATTGTTCATTGTAAAAAATATAATTCTCTCTATCTATACACTGGATTATCTACACTTAGAGAGTTAAAAATTCACCTGTCAACTATAAATCTAAACAAAAATTCTGTTTGGCACATAAATACTCGATGCATTGGTATGATATCTCAGCGGCCTGAACTCTTAGTTCTAAAATAAGGGAAATTTGGCATTTCTAAAAGCGAGCTGACAAACGATTTTAAAACTTAAATCGCATTTGTCGGTAATTCGATTTGATTAAAACGGTTAAAAGCAGCTAAAGCAAGAGGATCAGTTTGGAAATTGCACCCTTAATTATTCGTTATTCCATAGTTTCATAATTGGCAAACTAAAATAGGTTCCAAAGTAACGTGTACTTTCACGGAAAATCATTCGGTGAGAAAATTAAAAGGTTTCAATGGGGTTTTAGCTTGTAGGCGTAAAAATTGATAAACTTTAACCGGAGGACGTTAAAAAAGTTAACCGTAAAAAAAAGAAAAAAAATTCGAAAGAAAGTAAAATATCAGCCGTTAGACGTAAATTGGCCAAACTTTTAACCGTTAGCTGTAAAAGCCATTACCCCATTGAAACTATCAGATAAGTGAACAAAAGATTATACAAAGAGCTGCTTGCGTTTGGTGCTCACATTGTTGGGGTCTAAACTCATCAATAGCATTTAAAATTATGAGGAGAGGACGATTCCTAAACGCCAAGACTTCCCACCTTTTCTCATTTGTCTCAAGGAAGACGGGAACCTATTTGTAAAAGCTGCCTCACTTTACAGGATAAAATTATGTAATACAGGCATCGATATATCAATTTTGCGATTAAATATGAAGAAATAACTCCCACCTAAAAAAACTATTAAAAAAATTGGTCTCGTATCACGCATGGATATAATTAAGAGATAGGGTTTATGGGTAGAGTGATACACTCGATAACAGGAGATGCAGCGGTTATGTTAAATGAATAAATTTTTCAAAAATTAAAAAATTAAAGGATTCCTCCGGGCAAAAATTCATTCATTCAAGATAGCAGCCGTATCAAGTATTATGGGCAATATTAAGATTATCATTCGATGAAAACAAAGTTGATCAAAAATGATTTTAAAAAAATTGTTGCCTTAGAGCCGACGTAAGAATAATGAATGAGCGCTGTGAATCATGTTAATTAATGCTGATGTAAAAATATCCATAAAATATTTAAATTTCAAGATGTATCCAGCTTACAACTCCAGAAGACTTCCACATCCCTTTCAAAAAAAAATATCTCATAACCTCAACAAAAATTAAAAGGATTGCCTGTTTTGGCATAAATATTTCTTAAGTTGACGCTCTTTTAAACGCTACGAAAATGAAATAGATTATTAGCTTCTAATATAAAAATTGGCCTCGAAAGCTAAACTTCTTCTTCACCAAAAAGCATTTCAAGGTGATTTTATCTACGTGACCCAAATTTTAAAAACTTTTTTTGTCAATGTATTGCGACTGTTAGAACTGTCTATTTTTTTAATATATAAATTTTCTTATTGAGCGTCAATATCTATGCCACTTTTCTCAAACTTGTCCTTACCCTCCGTTTCGTAATCAATGTCTTTTCATTTTAAATCTCGAGAAATTGACTTCAGTTCTCTCCGATGCTCCTCTCTTATCAAACTACTGATAGCTCTGGCATCCATTAAAATAAATGTACCAATATTCACAGATTAGATACTGTGTTTACGCTTCGTCACAAATCCTGTTTCCATGTCTAAGTTGGCTTCGAGACGAAAGCTCATCTAGGCGATCCATGTTAATCTTTTACTCTCGCTCAAATTCATTTTCGGGATTGTACATTTACCATCCAACCATGGTGGACTTTTCCAATTCTCGCCGGTTGCGACATATTTGGGAGATGTAATAATTGCTGTTTTTGTAGCTATGATTTCCTACATATTTGCATTCTACCTTGCGAAAGGGGTTATTGCAAGTTTTCATTACAAATTGTCGGCTCACACTCCATGATTTCTCACACGGCGTAATGGTCGAACGAGCTGAGGTATTCTAATGCTCTTTGGTAACAGAATAGGTATTGTTCCTGATGGAGGAAGAAGCAAGAAAATATCAGAGATGCGCATTTCTTAACGTTCACTTACTTGTAAGTCAGTGAATCAGTCAGTCGGTCGGTCGGTCGGTCGGTCGGTAGGTCGAACAGTCAGTAATTCCGTCAACTTTAGTCAAACAATCAGTCTGTCAGTCTGACAGCCAGCTAGTCAGTCAGGGAGTCGGTTATTACCCAGACACGTAATGTAAATGAAATCTTCGACGAGAAGCAAAAAAGGCAGTTAAATTTGAAACAGCAAAATTTTCACTCTCAAAGGCAAGTTCACAAAACATAAAATAAGTACAGATCTTCCATACAAACCTTATTTTGAATCATGTTTGGCCTCTGCGTTCTAAGAAGTTTCACCGTCTGGAACAAATCTACCACTCCCTCAGAGCGCATGCGCTCTAGCACGATAGAAAGGGCGCAGAATACTCCAGTTCTACCAACACCATCACTAGGATAAAACAAGCGTTACGTGTGTAAATATCAAGTTAATTCCAACAAATAAATTCCATCAAGATAACTCTGGTATTTATACATATCGGAACTTTGGCCGACTCTGAGAGGTTTGAGAAACGTGAAAAGGCCGGAAGTAATTGATTGACTTTCCGCTCGGGAATGGAAAACCTTTCTCTTCCCACTATGCTTGAGATTCAGTGCAATGCGAAAGACCCTTAACTTCATTTACCTGCAGTGCACTGTGATGGGGCCTTCCTCCTCTTGCTGTTCGTGTGTTTTTTGTATTTGGCCTATTAACTCCAAGATACCCTCACCGCTCTTGGGGACACTTTCGGTCCATCCGTGAAAGTGGAACTGTTTTATGTTTCGTACATTGTCGTTCTATGAAATAAAGAGTGACACAGATAAAATTGCATACAATATTCATTTTCTCTTGGTTAATCGTGTTCATCGTATTTAATAATTCCACCGTAGCTCAATCATGAGACACGGACCTTGCTGCCCTCAGTCTGCACGACATTTCCTCGAGCCAAATATTTTCCCGCCCGGAGCTTTACTCAGTCAATAAGTGCAGAACATTTACTTACCATGATATCTTTAACTTTGAATTCTCTGATAACAAACTGAGGAAATTCTTGTTCCGACACAGGATCCACTATATAATACTGGTGCTTTGCGGAGCGATCAGTCGGCCAGTACTGGTAACAACGCTCCTAACGGGGGAGACGTGAGGAAGTTAAATGCAATAACAATGATAAATTCACAACTTTTAGAAATAATTAAGTCTTACATAACCTAGTACAGGTTGCTACGAGCAGCGTCATTTGGTCAGAAGTTGAAGCAACACCATAAGGAGATAATGTAGTTGACTAAATTAGTATTCATAGATTGTAATAATTATGCAGGTCATGCATAAATTTTTCGAAGCCCACCAATAAGCAAAGCCGTTACTGGGTGACTTTCCAAATTAATTCATATCAGTAATTATGCTCATCCATAAATTATTTTTAGCATACCCTGTCTCCTTCGTAAAGCTGCGTCAACATGACAACGATGTTTGAGTTATGTTCCATTAACATTCTCCAAAAGTCATCCACGGTTTCCTGCAAAGGACCCTGTGTGGCGATGTAAGCACCTCTCTGACGATAGCCCTGGAAAGAAAATTGATAATTCTGAATTAGACGAGGTTACACTCTCGCCTCATAGTTTAACGGTCAAAACTTATCTTGGTCTCTGATACATGAATGGATGTATCAATACAGTTTATCCCTAACCCTACCCCTCCTTCCCTCTCCCAGCATTTTGTCAGACTTCTCTGACAGTTCGCCCGTACCCATTTATACTCCTGACCGGAGTAAGGCACTGTGAGGGTACAGCAGGAGAGAAGAGACCAACGGGTTGGAAACACATCATGTGATCCAGTACTCAATGAGCTCAATCCGAAGAAAACAAGAACTCATGGAGAAACAGGAAACCCAGACAAATTGTTCGTGGTACTCACGTCAATGTAACTTGCGTTAATGTAGTCAGAGCCTTCGATGCCGCGAGTAGATATCAACTGCACTCTTGTTGATTCGTCTGTTGCAAAGAAAAGAAGAAAAGAAGAGAAACATTAAGGCTGCCCTCAACACAGGCAAGTATTTATTGCAACTCGAGTTGTTTTGCGACGAAAATGTTTTCTTTCTTTCTTTTTTCTCCTTAAATCACTGATACAAGGCAAAACGAGAGCGTCTGCAGACAGAGAACTAACGTGGATTGGAAGAAACAATTTTTTTGAAGATCAGTGAATTGTTAAGGGCGTTGTCATTAGCGAAGCTTAAGCTTCGCCTAAAAGTAACCGTTTTTATTTTGGATTTAATTGTCATCCATTGCAGCTTTTCTTCTTCTTCGTGTATCTCATGCTGCTACAATAATTGGTCTTCAAAATTTTCAGCAGAGTGGAGGTGATTTTTAAAAGATATTGAAATAAAAGGAAGTAATGCAGGCTTTTAATAAAAACATTGACCTATCGGTGAAGGATAAAATTACTTTACAAGCCTGTGCTAGTCTCTTACATGGTAAAATGTTGGCCAATCTGTTTTTCGATCTGTTATATGTCAGACTTCCTGTTCCCTGCTTCAGTCGGCGGGCTTGATTTGGGTTACTAAGCTTTCTGAATTCCTCTGCTAAACCGGCCGTTCCGCCTTCCGAAGGTTCTGTGAGTCGCTTGATGTGTTGCATAAGGTTCCTCGCATGAACTTCTGTATTGCCGCAGGATACTGCTTCAAGGAGTGCGTCGTGAATAAAGATGTATTGTTCCTTAAAATATATAATGGTAACATTAAGGAATGAAGGACTTTTTCCGTATTTACATCGCTTTATCATATCACGTGCGGGGTTATAATAATTTTAAATAGTTATGCATACCCGACACGCTGATGAGCCCGAAACATGTTTCGGTTGTAAAATTCTCCAGTTTTAGTATCTCAATGTCAAAGATGTTTGCATTTGAACTTACCTCGTTCTGGACCATGAAGTTACGTTGGGTTCTTAGCACAGTCACGTGTCCATATATGTCGACGGTATTTTCATGTTTCACTCTTTCTAGCATGGAGTCAATGACGATGAAGCAGGCTGTTCGACCAACACCACCACTGTTACAAACAAAAAGAACAATGTTTTTGTTGTATTAGCTTACTTTAAGTCGTTTTCCCAGTGAAAAGGCACTGTGGAAACATAATTCTCTTTTTCAGGAGTTACACAAATGAATTCAGGTTACCAGCCAATTTAAGGTAAAAAAATGCCAAAGGATTTTTTGTAGTTATCACCAGCCCGACTAGCTCAGTCGGTAGAGCATGAGACTCTTAATCTCAGGGTCGTGAGTTCGAGCCCCACGTTGGGCGGCTCCCTCTTTTTCCTTTCTTTTTTTTTTTTAGCATTTTTCGAAGTAAATTAAGAAGGTTTTATAAACTAAGCTTAACTCTCACCAGTTCTATTTTTAACATAACTTATTCGATATTTCATTTAGAGAAAGTTCCGATAAGGATAACCTCCGCTCTTTACTTCATACATTTTTGTACAAAATAAACATCATAATTTTATTTGGTAATTACCTGCAGTGCACCACTATGGGGCCTGCGTCTGTAGGATTATAGAAACGGACTCTTCTGAGGAATGCAAGGAAGGGAGTAGGATGGGGTGGGACACTATGATCAGGCCAGCCAGCGAACTGGAAATGTTTCACTTCTCTGGGCTGCGGGGCTCCCTCCTGAAAATTTTGAAAGATGAAAATGAGTAAGAGAAGACCATTTCCTTTAACAGCCAATTTCTACTAAAAATATTCAACAAAAACTTCATTTAATAAAGCAACTTTCAACAGAATTTTCTACGTTTTTGTGGCAAAAGAACCGTTCACAACGAAAATTGGTTGCTTTATGCATGACAAAAAAAAGACTGCCTAAAGCACTCATTATGGGAAACCTGCTGATAAGAGTTTGCTTTAAACTCTTTCCATCTATTTGCTAATCATCTTAGCGGACAAAACGTTTAAGAAACGCTCCTTGTCTAAATACTGTCACATCAGTTTTCTAAGCAACAAGACTTGGTAAGGAAAAGCATATAGTATCAGTCCGTCTAAACTGCTAAGGAACATTTATGATTCAAAATTTGCTATTAAAGACCTTGCATATCTGTAGCGTTGTAATTGTGTAATTGGCAAACTCAATCCAGTCTGTTACTGTAACTTCAATATCACCATACAATTCAGCCCCGTCGGTGGGCCAATACTGTTCGCATTTTATCTGCAGAACAAAAAGGAAGACAAGGTTATATAAAATGTTCACAAACTGATCATTCTTCACGCACAGGAGGTTTGAGTGTATTGTATTCCTGAACGCATTTAACTCTAAATACCAGGCTTCTCTCTGACTCTGTTCTTTTTCTATAAAGACCACAAAGTCGGTACATTTTCCAAAAATTATCTCGCCAAGCCTTAAAGTAACTTTTGTTTAACCAAGGACTTAATCAAAAATTTATCTTAAACGTTTCTTCCCCTCTTCCACTCCCTTGTTGTGCATAATTCCTCCAGGATACTAAGGAACTCTGAAAATGACGAAAATTCCACCAAGAGAATTACAAAAAGTAATGATTAAAAATAAAATGTGTCTTACCTTTCCTCTTTCTTCCAGTTCTGTAAGCATGACAATTGTAAACGTTTTGTGTTCCCAGATCATTCGCCAAAAGTCCTCGATTGTTTCTTCAAGAGGACCTGTTGAAAAACGAAAAAAAGTAGTGAAGAGAGTTTTTTTTTTTTTTTCAATTTTGCATCTGCATTGTTTTTCTACAGAGCCATTTAAACGAATATTGCATCAATCTAGAGACCATACAAAAATCTTTAATTTACCTTGTGTGGCAATATACGCGTTTTCTTTGCGGTATCCCTGCAAAACAATAACAGGAATTCAGGTTTGAAATGTTTTTCATTCACGGCGCACGTCCAAACCACTAGTTCTTGGTTCCTTTATGATTTAGATTGTGACAACACTTCTTTCCATTTTTGAGCATTTTCACGATGCATGTGACATTAAGAACATTTTTGTTTGCTTGTTTGTTTGTCTGTTTTGTTGTATTTCGCTTAAACAAGCACTACAGAGTCAGTCTAGGTACAGAAAGCCGAGGTTAAGAGGTGAAATGGATTTCTCAGTGGTGAGTTTTGATGACGAAACACTTACGTCACAGAAATTAGCGTTGATGTAATCGGAGCCCACGATACCATCTACTATTGACAAGTGTACACGGGAATGGTCGTCTGAAAGAGAAAAAAAAAAACGTTTATCTGGTTTGCAATGCGAGAAAAATAGTATCAATAAGTGATTGGTCCAGGAAACTCGTGCCACCTTCTCAATCAATCAGATTCAAAACTAAAACCAGGCTTGATTTGGTCACTCTTGTTTTCCCATGTTTCACGCAGTTTACCTGCTTTTACTTAGAGTCTATAGGGTAATAATGATGTCAACCTTCGCTGCGATTGACTTTTGTAATTAGTTTGGTTTTGGATCTTCGCAACTCAAGTTAAAACTTCTCCAAGAATCCAAGTTAGGGTAATGAAGTCGCACAGGCCTCAAGTGTTGCATTTGATTGGCAAAAACACTCTGAATCATCGACAAAGTGAGGCGATAAAAATGAGCGCAATTTCGGATTGCTGTCGGTAGAAAACTGCTCTATCTTTCATTCATTCTACTTACAAGCAACAATGTTGGGATAACGGTTCTTTGATTTATTACACTCCTGTGATGAGGCTTCAGAAGTAAAGGTTTCTCCTGGTTCAATTGACTGCAACAGAAAAGAAGAAGAAATTAAGGCAATCCTCCACTACAAGAAAAATCTTGCTTATGAAGAGTACGCGTTGAAGGCAGGAAAGCACCTGAAAGCCGAAGGCCGAGTTGGCAAATGTGTTTAATTTGTTTAAAACCTTCGTGAGTTAAAGGGACTTAAAAATTAGACAGCATTAAAACCATTGGGATGGCAGCTTATCACAGACAAGGGGTCCTGAAGCTCTATAAGGGAGAGCTTATCAGAGGGGAACTTATGAAAAAAATGGTGGTGCCTAACAGCAAAGGTGGCTTCATAGAGAGAAGGCGTTTGCAGTATATAGGAAACTGAAATTACCTCGTATTCGTGCAAAAATTTAGAATTCCTTTCAGCTTTTAAGCTATTGTTGTGATTGAGAAGCTCGGAGACAGGGATTGGAGGATGGTCCATCATGGCTGTAAATACAAGCATCACACAATTAGTTGAAGCTCTTCCATTTAAACGGCAGTACAATGGCTAATATTACTTATGAAGAGATTACACTTTTGAGTCCCCTTACAGATTGATGTATCTAACTGAACAAATCAACTAAGTCTTTCTAGAATATATATAAAGAAAGCCGTTTTTTTTTTTTTCAGATTTTAATTTGATGTTGCCTTACGTAACAAAATCAACACTACCACGAGAATTATCATTTTGATTTTGGTAGTGTCGATAAAATATCGCTTAAGAGCTTTCACGTAATCACACGTTTGAGTTTCATCCACCGACTTTGACTTAAAACCCAGTTGTGCCTGGTGAAAATCATTTTCATGAGAGTTTACTACGGGGTCTCAAACAATTGTTCCGTTCACAGTATAGAAGGTCTGATTTACACTTTTATTCACCGCAGCGTTTGAATACATTTAAGAGTTTCACTCCGAAAAAGAAACTCAGATTTCGGGCGTTTTTTCTCAGTGATTATTTCGGTACAAAATTTTTGAATAAATCTATCATTAAAAAAAAAGAAAAAGAAAAACTGGATACATTTTTGATGAAAAAATACCTGGTGTTTGGATCGTCATTCTCTTCATTTCTACAGGATCTGATGGTTCTGCTTTATCATCATCCAAAGATTTGGACTTTTTACTTTTTCTTTTTCTCCTAAAATACAAAGAAAGTCACAAGCTCAATCATAATTATTGCCTCATAGAAATCCTTACAACTACGGATCTAAGAGTAACAATTTCCAACGAACGGTTTACAGAGATCATTTAACTCATCTCATAAAGTATATTCTTTTCCGAACGCTCCATACCTATCAAACAACAACAACAACAACAAAAATGATTTTACCTTCTACAAAAAACGACTGCAATAACAATGATCGCGGTAAGCACGATTAAAGCGGCGACTGGGATGATTATAAACATCATGTTTAGTCCTCCTCCGGCGTGTTCCTCCGGGTCCTGCACAGCACCAGTAAAACCCCCCTTTGAACTGTCACCTGATTTAAAAAGAGGACGTTTGACGGAATTAATACCTTCAATACTCATTTTCCTGCACAGGACGTGGAAAAGGAACATTTTCCTTCTGAAAGGAAATTCTTAACGGTCTTGCCATAAAAATGTACTCGCCCCAAGCGCCTGCCTGTATAAGACCTCTTATCCGAAGTACTCTAAGAGTGCGGATTGCACTTACCGAACTTTACAGGTGTTACAAATGGACTCGATGTATACAACACGTCCTGTAGATAAGAAACAGAGAAAGAGAAAACTTCATATTTTTTTGTATGTTGCAAATAAACGTTACTTCCGAAGATGCGGGAAGCTCTCTTCGAAAAGTTTCCTCGGTAAAATAATAACAACGATAATACTTATCATCATCATTGTGATCTTGGAAAATCAAAAAAAAATTTACGGGAAAAGGTCAGTGATACATCATTGAAGGCCACGCATAAGTCAATTGGGTAGAATAAGACATGAAAATGAGATGGATCAATATCAGTATCTGGTCAACTGCCCACCTACCCCTCCCCTAACCCAACAACAGTCTATTGATAACAAGTTAGGGTTAATGTTGGGTTAGGGGAGGGGTAGGTGGGCAGTTGACCAGATACTGATATTGATCCAATGAGATTGTGAATCATAAATATGACAACCAACCCCTCTCCCCAGTCCTTCCTCTCCTCCCACTTTTCTTTTCAATTATATCTTTTTTTTCTTACCCTCCCTCCCTCCCTCCCCTCCCCCACCTGTGCACAGTTATATCACACATACGTACCCCTTTGTCGCTTTTCACATAAGCTCTTGTAAACATCGTATAGTAAGATCCCTTGGTCAGCTTTTTATTGTAGTAACCATAAAGATTCTTGAAGCTCTCATCTCCCACGTTGAATGTTGTCGGTAGTTCTGATGGGCTGAATTTTGCGGCGATGTAAGGCTCTTCGTTGTCACCCACGGCCTCTCTCTTTCGCCTCAGTTCTCCGAAGAAGTCATCCGGGGATTTGTCTTTGGGAAGCTGATTGCTTTTGCCCAGTGGCACAACGATCACTACGTAATGGCTGCACGAAAACAACAAGAAGTTTTAACGGACTGATGGCCATGTTTCACGAAAGTTATGTATTTCATCTCGCTTTCGAGTTTTTATACGTTCTTATCACGCTTTTCTTGCTTATAACGTTCAAAGCTCTGAATATGAAAGCGATCTTTGCAGTAATGAACACTACTTAAGCAGCTTTACGGGTTCATTTGGAACCAACATAATGACCAGCTCCCAGTTGCCTTGTTAGCTCAGTTGGTAGAGTGCTAAACCAGCACCGTAGAGGTCATGGGTTTAAATCCCGTACAGGTCTGAATCTTTTTTCTAACATTATTTTCACTACTGCTTAAGTAGTGCTCGCTTCTGTGAAGATCACTTCCATATTTATTTCTTCCGCAGTTCACATATACGATTTTTAGATTTTTACAGTCGCAAGTTCTTAACTATAATCATCTGTCTGCTAAACAATGCAGTGACTTAGTTACATTGCTAAAGTTTATAAATTAATTGAGATACTCGAAATATACCTATACAGAAAAAGTAAAATTAATTTTTCCTCTACCTGATTGGTCCATTTCTCTCTGACGCAGCCTCCAATTTCATGGGCAAATACTCATTTGAACTTTTTTCCTCGATGATGACGGGTCTTGTCAGAGCTGGAGGTTTACCCGTGTCGGTTTTTAGTGTTAAAGTTGTACTTGGCCCCTCGCCCATGGAATTAACCGCTGACAATTCTATCCTGTAGGTTGTGTGGGGAACAAGTCCTTTTAGGGTGTGCGATTGAAGACCGGGCGAGAGAGCGTCCAACTTCACATCGCGAATGTGAGAGAGCTGTTTCCGTTCGCCTTTCTCCGTGTAGGATTTCGTGCCGGAATATGTTATCTGAAAGAAGACCGATCAAAAGTTTTGAGAAAATATAGATGAGGAGCATGGAGTACCATAGGTAATACATAAATACATAAATTTAAGGGGCACACCTGGAAGAAGAGAAAGTATCCCTTGAACGAGGGCGCCGAATAAGTGATCGTCACAGATAAATATGTTTTACATAGGAGTATTAAACAATATTTCCGTTTTACTTTTATCCTGTCTTTGTTTAAGCTTTCAGAAGTATCTCATGGAAGAAGTTTGGAGTTCAGTTTCCAAGCCGGAGACTAATGTTTCGTAGCGATCTTACTAGGGTGGCCCATTGAGACTACGCATGCGCAATGCGCCACGACTATGTTCTTAGACGAAAAGTGCTGGAACAGTACCTTATATTTGGTTATTCCTGCATCCGTAACTGGAGGTTTCCAGTTCAGTACTACCAAGTCGCTACCTTTAGACTCGAATTGCAGATCTCGGCAAGATTCTGGCACTGAAAATGAACACAAACAATAAGGCTAAAACCCACAGACCGCACGAATGGACTTAAGCTGTTTCGTTCCTTTCTAGCATTCGTCGAAGGGATAGAAACTGTTTCAAGCTCCGGAACACTTAACGAATGATAAATGTACAACTGTAACAGCGTTTAAACAGACACTACTAAGGCTACGCTAAACTCGTTGTGTTTAGCAAAACGGTCAATTAACAGTGTCCAGAGGCAATCTAGCTCCAAAGACCTGTTTGGACCTTAGTTCCCACTGCCTCGATATAAAATGCAGGTCGCGTAAGGGTTCCTGATTCCCTACCCCATGGAAACGAGATTGCCTGAACGCTAGACTCATTCGGGAGCAATGTGGGGGCTTTTTACTTACGGTCGTATTTCAAGGTCTTTATGGAGATTGGTGAAGAATAATTGCCGGTGCCAACCAACGTCTCAGCGGCGACACGAATCCAGTACTTCGTGTCACGTGACAGGGCCTTTAAGGTTGCTCGAAGTCCCTTGACTCCTCTAGAACTCCATTGGGAGAGGGGAAGTTTCACAGCATCCGAATAGATTACTAGATAACTCAACACTTCGCCGTTTGGAGACTGGGGCGGTTGCCATGATATTGTAATAGCGTCAGTGCTTCGGGCTACTTCCAAGAGGCCGCGAGGAGGACTGGGAACTAAAAACAATGCAGGTAAGTAAGACATGCGGATTTTAAAAAGGAGGAGAGGGGGCTGGGGTTGCCCTATGTAAGGTTTTCAATGACTCGATCCATTTCCTCTAATTAAGGTGTTATTTTGATATTCAGCAAAGTATGGAAATTATTTAACGAACAATAAAGAAACTGTCTCGTAATCATCAGAAACAACTTAAAAGGTTTTTTTCAAGAATTTAACAACAGGACCTACCTCCTTCATTTGTTTTCTCGACAACAGGGCGACTCAAGGGCCCAGGACCCTTCAAGCCAAGGGCTCGGACTCGAATCTCATACTCAGTGAACATTCTGAGCCCCGTTAGGAGCGCTTGCGTTTGGTTCGGGTTGGTGATATTTTTAACTCCCACCCGTCTCTTCCGTTTAAGCGGGTTGTATACCACAGTATACCCAATAAGAGGTCCATTACGTTGCCACTTGTCCGGCTCTAGCCAAGTTACACGAATTTCAGTTGATGAAACCGCCTGAGACCTGACCTGAAGAGGGGGTCCTGTTGGGGGACCCGGAGGCATTTGAACCCAAATTGGTGTTTCTGGTGACCAGCCGGCTGTACTTTGTATAGAGACTTTGAACAGATACCACACCCCTAAGTCTGCAGATAGAATAGAGAGAGATCAGTTTACGGAGAATAATAATCAAGAAAGCAACAGTGAAAGCAAAAAGACTTGAAAATGGCTAACAAAGGGCTGACGAACTGACCGACCGATTGCTCGACCAACTAACCAAACAAGCGAAAACCAAAGTTGTTGTAATGGATGACTGCCCAACGTGACAAACTTTAAAATGCAAGTTAATGAATGAGCAGACGGCTTTGGGATAGGTAGACAAAAGGGGAATGTCGAACGCGAAAGCAGGCAGCACTTTTTCGCCCACAACAGCGTCCTACTAGCTAGTGAAACTAGATTATCTTTGTAAATAGAATAAGAAAGAGGGCAAGTTTTGAGCTTGGTAAAGAAGTAGAGAAAGATGTCAGGAAAAAAATTCTAAGTGCCCATGAGGACTCAGAGTTTTTTCTTTGTCCCACGCTCCTGACAAGACGAAAAAACATCTTTCTCTAGATTATCTTTCATTTTATCTTTGACAGAAATAGGAAGGGAAAGAACACAACACAAATACTCTAAAAACTCCCAAGCCGCATCCTTGACAGGAAACTAAATAAAACAATGGAGTTTATGTTCGCGGGCACAGAAATGTTTTGGGTCTGAATCAGAGTCACTTTGGCACAAGCCGTCAGGCGAGGGTTAAAATAAGTGCTGAGATGGGCCAAAACATATAAATGCCCAAGAACATAAACTGTAATACTATTATCATCACTTTGGAAGGCATTTAGAAAATGATCTGAGAAAAAAAAATTAAATCAAAACATTCTAGGCAATCACATGAGCGTGCGAACAGGCAAAAATACATGTAAGCCCGCAAAACCCGCCACAGTGCCCAACAAAGCACTAATATACAGGGTTACTACCCCAACCGACTTGTGCGATGACAGACTCACCAAGCTCTTTAAACGAATGTTGCTTGGTTTTAGGAGGAAACGGCATTTCTTTCAGTTTGACTTTAGAATGATCCCGTCCACGGAGATTGTGCAAAGACTTCCCATACCGCAGCCTATAGGACAAGATATTAGGGGCTGCTGTGAACCATTTAATCGTGACGTTAGTCCCTGAAGAGGAAGAGAGCGCTTTGCCAGTAACGTATGGTGCATCCGGTGGCTTGGGTAAGGTCTTCGCAAGCACTGAAATGCTTCGCTCTCCGTCTCCTTTATTCGAGTAGGCTGAAACTTCTATTTCGTACGTTGAATCAGGATCAAGTTTAGTTAACATTAGGGACTGTTGATAGACAGGAGAAAAAAACAGGTGTAAATATCTCAATAAAGCAATGTGAGATTGTGATCAGTATTTTAGTTGTTTCCTTTAACATGCGAATTTACCCCAAACCCGAAAGGAAATCTTAAAATGTTCAGTTTCCAAACTGTTTGTTGAGTTCCCATAACTGTGTTCGACGCAGGAGAACATATACAACTCATGTCAATTTTCAGTCCCGTGGGTTTTATGATATCCTGAGGGGTAACCAGGCCATTTCAGCTTTTCGACGCCATCTTGGGCAGACTGACACATATGGTCTCGATCTCATGCAGGTATCCAGACTTGCTTCGATGCGGTCTGGATTCCATTGGAAGCTGGGTGGTTAAATTGGAACCATATGATCGAAAGAAATAACTTACTACAGAGTAGAACTGTGAGTCAAGCCACCATACAACTTTGGCAGGTTTAATTAATTACATGATGGAAATTACAACGCAGAGACAAAATATCCATCCCTATGAAATGTCCAACAGCCTTCACCAATCCATAATTAATACTTATAAATAATTCTTCTTTTTACGACGAAATTCTCACCAATTGATGTTCGGAAGCAGTAAATTTAACTTGAGTTTGCTCGGGTGGAATCAGTTCTTTACCAAGATCATCGACTTTTGTATAGAATACAACATAGCCTCGGATACGTCCACCCTGCGACTGCAGTGGGGCTGACCAGCGGACTCTGATAGCAGTCGAATTCAGCACATCGCACTTGAGATGACGAGGCGCTTCCCTGGGAACTGAACAAAAAAAGATAAGGATGGTAAATTGTGAGAAGTGAAATGCTTTTTACCCAGTAAAGATAATCAAGATTCAAGCCCACATATTTCTTCGAAATACACGTCCCTGAGTCAGTTTTTCCCTCTTTGTGTTTGGAAATCCTAAGAAAGACTGCCCCCCCCCTATATTACAGAGTACATGGGTATATCGATAGAGCGCAATTTTGAACAAGATCTCAGTTTGAAGAGCCCTGAACGAGAAAGGAATGGAACATATCCTCTTCATTTGAACCCTTTTTTCGTAAGAGTTAACTTCAACTTTCAAGCAAAACTTTTTTTGAAGATCAAAGATGTAATTACAATCAACAGCACCATACGTATTTATGGTAATAGGTTTCTAAAAGGTCATCAATCGTATAGAAACACATTGTATTGCAGATTTTGTTCCGTCTCTCGATATGAATTGTCTCCAGGAAGAGAGTTCCACTGCGTATTTAGTTTAGTTTCGATGCATCTCCACAGCGCAAGTGACAAGCCCCTGATATTCATTTCAAAAATTCAGTTATTCAAAAGCGTGCCAAATAATAAGACTGAAGAAGAAGTATGCTGCTTATAATCAGTGAGTGAAATGGTACACGTTTCCGACGCGATTTCATTACGCAAACAAATGAAGCCCGTTTAAAATGAGTACATCGACTTTAAGATTTAGCAATGGAAACTTCAAGCAGGTCAATTTCTTGCGGTGTAAAAACCGTCAAAATATTTATTAAAACAACAACAGCCAGCACGAATGTGATGATGCCCAACTTCAAGCACATGCTGAATTCATCGCCAGAGAATTCTTTTAGCAGAAACTGCTCATCGACAAGAGCTTTAGGGAAAGACAAGGAGACAAAAGCCGGTCGAATTTTGTAGACTATATGCTTCAGTGTCTAATCTAACACACATTCTAGAGCTGATAATTAAAAAGGAATCAGAAAGGACGCTGCGTAACGCTTACATGACCTTCCATAATGATTGAATAAATTAACATGGATTATTGAGTAACACTGAACCAACAATTACTCGCAACTGATACACAGGAATCTTTGGCATAATAGGATTAAATATGCTTTAATCGACAGATTAAATCGCCAATAATTACACTAAATACTTTAAGGTTTGATTATAAGATAATACTTCCGTTGAAAACCGAAAAAACGTTAACAAGATTTCTTTCGGTCTGCCCTTTCGATTGTAAAATGATACTCCTCCGCAAGAACAGAGAACAGGACACATATTTTGCATATTGTCAAAATTTTAGTACCTTAAACATGCTTTTAACCTTGAAACAAAAACGTCCCCATATTTGAACTTCTTGAACTTGGCAGCTTTTCAATTAAGAAGTCTTTCATTTAATCCCATTAAGTATAATAATTTAACCGGATTCTATAAACAGTTAAAAGGATTAAGTTGATTCTTCTAAGCAAGGCCGACGACCTTGCAAAGAGTGCATCTTTTTTCAGCCATGAATTAGGGCCAAAAACGGAAGATACGGTATTTAATCCCTAAAAAATATTTACAACCGTAGGCGCGTTTCACTCCTGCAAAGGGACAGGATAAACCGGGATTTGATTTCATCCCAACAAATCTTCTAAGTTGATATGATCCATCACTATTTACGCCTATCTTTAAACAAACTAAGCTGCTTGAATATTAAGACCATGGAAGAGGTTCCTGAACGTGTCCATTTTTATAAAATGTTTAAAGATAGACGTGCACTTTGTGACGTTCTTCTGCGTGATGAACCTCAGAATATAGCAGCATGCCAGTATCTTCACCTCTGCTTAAGTTTTTGTTTGTTCTCCGTTATATTGAAGTGAAATTCCAAACGATGTCTCAAATTTGCATATTGGCAATGCGACGAGGTCAGTGGTCAAATTACTAATCCTCTTAAGGAAAGTTCTAGCAATTATTTTCGCCAACGTCAACTTTTCTTAATTTAAAACAGGCAAAAAAACATGGTCGCCCCATTTCAAATACGGAACGTTAAAACAATCAGAACCCACGACTCTTCAAAAATTGAACAAGCCTAGCAGCAAATGCTTCCGGTCCTTTTTACCGCTTTTGATCGAAGTGAAATTTTACCACAGTAGGCAGTAATGTCGCAATCTGATTGGCTTATTTGCCGTTGGCTGCGCCTCGTGAGCCCATAACATTTTGACCACTGTCATGACGAATATCGTTTTAGATAAAAGTAACGACCGTGCTAAAGCACTGTCAATTTGTTCATCGACAATGGAATGGTATTCTACGTTAAAGCCAATTTGAATCCCAGTAAGGGTAGAAGAAAAATAGAACAGTCGAAGAACCAGAGCTACTGTTAACCCCGGCTCTGACTCCCAAGATCCGCCAAGAAATTCTCCATACTGACATACATTTCCTTGTTAATTAAAAAGGAGAATTTGGTGTTTTATAGACATATCACCCTTAGACGTCTTTTTTTATCATTTATTCGTGGGAAATTGTCGTGATATTACTAGAGAGTTAACCCCTCGACTGCCAAGAGTGACTAGAATCTAATTTCTCCTTACAATATCACCCCTGAATCAAACATTAAGGTTACAAGAATAAAGGAAATGATCACCAATTAAGAAGCTCTTTATTGCTACACAAATTCTATAGAGAACAATATGGAGAAAATGCATACTGATGTTGGGGAGTGAAAGGTTAGTGGAAAAGTAAATAAACTTACTGTCTTCCTCTGTGGTGAAGTTGTGCTTGCTAGACCTCGGCCCAGGCCCAACTGACGTACTCGCTGTCACCCAGACAAAGTACGTGGTATACTTCTTTAGATTGTGTAGACGGACAGATAATTTATTTCCATCAACAGTCAAAAAACTGCAAAGGTAAGAAGAAAGTGTCTTTGGTATGCTTCACTGATAGTATTTCTGTTAGTCGGATACGTCAGTTTGTGGGTCTTTTTTTAATCTGTCTGTCTGTCTTCACTCTGTCTGTCTGTCTATCAGTCTGTCCGTCCATCTGTCTTTCTGCTTCTGTTTCTCTGTCAGTTTTTCCACTGTGGCCTTTCCCTACATTCAGGCAGTTCGGAAAGCCGCAAAACTCTAGAAAAAAAAATTATCTTCCAAATCGGTACTATTAATCCCCACGGTATCACCGAGCACTTTTAAGTCAACTAAGTTATTCTTGTTTTCTCGTCACCATATTCCCACCAATAGCGTAGCTCCATTTTCAGCATATCAACCCACACACAACCCACAACTCCTCCACTCTACACTTCTTTCTTTGCTTGTCAGTTTTATTATTTTTTCTCGTTGTTTTTTTTCTTAGTTTAGCTGCTTGGTGATTTGTATGCTGAATTTCACTTATGTCAACAGTGTTCGACGCGATTATTGGAAGTAGAAAAGAGAACTATTTGATAGAGTTTCAGAACTCACGTTGCTTGTTCTCCTTTTTCTCTGTACTTGATGGTGTAGTTTGTTATTCGTCCATTGCGATGGCCAAGTGGAGGAGGATCCCAGCTGATCTCAAGACTAGTCGGCTCCACGCTTGTGCTGCTAATGTTAGCTGGAGGTGCACTGGGAACTAAAAAAGGAAATAAAACAATTTTAACTTGCTAACCCTTGCACTTTCAAGATTAGAAAACTAATATCAATTGTTCGTTAACTATTCACTCTTAGTGAATAGAAGAGTATTTTTTTACCGTCTTCCAATGTTTTCACAACCTTGGCGAACGACAATGGCCCAACATCACTAGATCTGGCGGCCACTTGGATCCGGTAGTTGGTGTGGGGATGAAGTCCTCGTATCTCGTAAGCAAATACGTCATTTGCAACTGTGTAAGTGTTTACAGTACTGCGTGACTTGTTGCAATAAACCTCATACACGTATATACCATTTCCAATGAAAGTCGGAGCCTTCCATGTGACTTGAATCGATCTTGGTGACAGCACTTTAACACGAACATTTTTAGGCTGCCCAGGCGCTGAAGAAAAAAAAAATTCATTAACTCCAGATCTGGATGCGATTTGCACTGCGATTTGTACTTTGTACAAGGTTTTTTTGATATTCTAGGTTAACATTTATTGCCTATGTACATGTATTGGTTCTAAGTAATTCCTCAGGGCATTGGTAATATGTTACTCTCCTATGAAGTCTCCACAATATACGTCCCTGATTTCTATATTCACATTTTTTGTCTAGCTGAGCATGCGTAAGTTCCAAGTGACTCCTTATGATGCATTTAACATTTTATATGGTCAAGAGAAAAGATTCCTTAAAGAAAACTGCAATGACTCTTACACGACCTTTCAAATGGACTGAATATATTAACATGGATTACTGCGTTCCATTGAATTACTAGCTACTCGCTGATCATTAACATTTTCAATTTTTTAAAAATCCGCTGGTTACAAATTATATCCTACCTCCCTTTGAAGTTTTTACAGCATACGTCCCTGTGTAAGGCCCCTCACCAACGTCATTGTACGCATATAATGTGTAATAGTAAGTGGTCTTTTTCTGTAATCCTCTCACTATCATTTCGTTCTCTCCTGACACCTTGTATAGCCATTTTCCTTTTAAATTAGTAGTCAGGTACAAGCGGTATCCTGTTAAGCGACCATTTGGCTGACTGGGTGGTAGCCATGTCGCTTTGAATGAGGTGTCGGAGATTCCCCACGCTTGAACGTTTGTTGGTGGTGTTCCAGGAGCTAAGAAGTGAAGCAGATGCCAATTTAACATTACAACTCGAACTTCATGCACATGGTTTTAATATCAGAGGTAGGGATAGTGCACAGTAAGAGCACATGCCTCTCCCCTAGTGGCCTGGGTGGGCTTAAAGTCTCTGCCAGTCTTGAGGAACTGGTCTGATATCCTGAAAAAAATTATCTCCGGGATTGCTTCTTCGTTAGAATCATTTGTCTTTTAGAAATGTATCAGTCATGTTGGGGGAAGCCCTCTCTCGATCCAGTTCCTTTCCAAAAACATTTTACGGAAAAAAAAACTATTTGAATAGTGACATACCTTTTTCCAACGTTGTCATTTCAGCCAAAGGGCTAGGTTTGCTTAATCCTATGTTATTCACGGCAAAAACTCGGAACTGATAAGTAGTATAGGGCTCCAGGTTATCAAGTGTCGTAGAAGTTCGCCCACGAATGTCCTTTACCAGAATCCACTTGCTAGCGCTCTTTTCACGGTAATATAGAGTGTAAGAATCTATTGAGTGATTTCCAGTGGGTTGCCAAGTAACGGTGATCGAATGAGCGGTTCTCTGAGCCTGAGTGGGTTTAGTCGGAGTGAATGGCACCTCTGAAAAACAAGTGAAGGAAAACTTTATAATCTATTTAAGAGATTTGGTTTCTCCACAGCGGTGCTCCTCGTGAGATTAATAGAATTGCTTAAAGACCTGAAATGAGAAGTTGGAACAATGGCATACGGACGAAGACTTCCTCAGGGAACATTCCTGACTTCAAAGGGATCTAAGTCCCAAAACGGTACAATCACTTGTTCAAATCATGCTTCGCTAAATATTATTTCTTGGCTTCTTAAATCAAATATACACACAAATCAATCTTGCCGATGTTATTACGGTTCCCTTTCAAAGCAGAATTTTATTTCCAATGGGAATTGATTGTAAAAATCGCGTCAAGGTGGAAGCGACGGTAATCCAGTCACAGTTTCAACGGAGACAATTTTAAATTATTTTTCTAGAACTATTTACCTTTTTTACTCATTTGTAACTGTTATGTCTTTTCTTCTTCTTAAGGAGAGAGTCTTAAAGGGGTGTTGGAACAATAAAGCGTTCAAGGTCAAGACGAGTAGACCTTTTTTTAAGACTTACTTCTAACAGTAACAGAAGTAGAAGCTCGAGAACTTCCTACAGAGTTTTCTGCAATGCATGTGTAGTTACCAGACTTCTGGATATTTTCAATGGTCAACACGGTATAACCCACAGTGCGTCCTTTATGCTCCCAGCGGATATATGGCTGTGGGGTGCCTGTTGCTGTGCAGTTTAGGTGGACATCTGTCTCTGGGTTGACTGTGATAGGCATAGGGGGTTTGGTGATGACTGGCTTCGTGTTAACCACTTTAAAGAAAAACGCAGACGTCAGAATGTAAATCATAGCTAGATTAAGTATGATCATGGAAATGAAGCACCATTATAAAGTTTAATATAATTTTCCTTGTATCCGCAGTGACAGACATCACTGCGAATTTCCTCCCATCAACAGCAGGTTACCAGTCCTACTCTAAGGTAGAGAGAGGCACTTTTAGCAAGAAACGTATTTTCCAAAACCATATGTGATTGGTCCCATCAAACGCTAACCTTGGGTTTGGCAAAGAATCATTAAGCCACTCATCACACTTGCAGGACTTCAGCGCCGCATGCCTTATCACTGTGTATAAATATAAATCTCAAACCAACCTATGTGCAAGAGTCTTGCTTGTCCGCTATAAGTCATTCCCAAACTGTTGTTCGCAACACAAACAAACAGTGAAGTATCTGAGGATTTTACGTTTGACAATTTTAAAGCTCCTGGTCTGGGTATGCTGATCCTTGGGTCAGATAAGTCGACAGGCTTCGAATCTCTTAGCCATGATATTACTGGGGCTGGGTTCCCTGTGGCCTCACAGTCAAATGTAGCACTTCCTCCACTGACGACCCGCTGGGGTGTGGGTTCTTTGCTTATTTTTGGATATCCTGGCGGTGGACTGCGCGCTAGAGATATTTTCGAGAAGAACATTGTATTCTATTAAACACAGACCCATATCTAATGGATTAGAAGATGCTTACTTTATCAGAAATTAGCAAATGTTTCCGGAAGACTGAAGAGGTCAAACGCGGGTAAGGATGGACAAAAGCCTGGCGATTGGTAATGAGCAAGGCAGTTAACTCGGTGAGATGCGAAACAACAGCGCGCGCACATGACGCGTTCTATCCATTTACAAAAGCATGACGAGTTAACTGTCTCTTCAACTGTCCTATTTAACTTTCCTATTACGAGCATGACGCGTACACTGTCCTATTAGTGCTCAAATCGGGCTGGTGATAACCAGTCAAGTTCGAGAATTTTTTATAGTTTCGATTATCGAGATTACGAGGTAACCAAGTTTTAAAATTTCGGGGCAAAAGTCTTTTTACTTCTGATTTCAATCACCTCGATTACATAGAATTTGGAAAAAGAAGCGTTTGGTACTAAGTAAGGTAGATTCATGCATCCGTTTTTATACGGTATGTAATCTGGTGAAGGGCTAATACCAGAAACGTCAGCTTTGAAATTCTTTACAGTGGCCAATTAACATTGCCGACTGAGTTGATACAACCAAATTTATCTTGCTCTATTCCCCCACCGAAACAGCACCACAGTTTCTTTAGAAACTTACCCACTCTATTCATTAACCTGGATTGAGTTTGATACACGACAATGAATTTTACGTCTTGTCGCTAAAACAGAGCACGAAATTGACGATAAAGGTCGTTAGACTTGTTATCAGTTAACGTGATTTACATTAATGAGTAGAAGTTTAAAATATCCCACTATTGTGGGAGAGAAGTGACAAATAAAAAGTAAACTGAAAACTAATTGGGATTTTGATGATATTTTGTCTACCATAGTGGCTACTTCCTGTGGGTAAAATAAACTCTTGAACAGCTATCTAGGGGGGTTTGTCTGCGAAAATTGACAATCTTAAGGACGTCTTTGACTTGGAACACACAAGGATGGATAAGAGAGCACGGGTTTTCTTAAAACTATAGGCTTCGAAAGTATATTCGACTTTGTAAGGCAGATATTAAAATCCCAAATTTTGAACAGCTTGTCATAATCGTACCATCAAAATACGATTTAAGGAACACCGTAGCAATTAAATTTACTTCTGGAGCTGACAGATCTATGGTAAAACTCTAGATAGATACATGTAGATGAATCACTGTATTATCCAATTTTTCGGGTGGGATCGCATCGAGTAAAAACGAAAAAAGGAAAGAAAGACACACGCAAAGAAAAACAAAACTAGCGTAAACTTAAAACAAGCATTTGTTTGGTGAAACCTAAATCAACGCTATGTCTATGCTGATTGTGCGTGACTTCCTGTTTATCTTTCGATAAGGTAAAAAGTAAAGGAGATATTTAATGTGTAATTACCAAAGGTGTCTCATTACTTACTGTAAACAAGTAGAGAAATGCATAAGGCAAACCCGTGAGACTTATTTACCAAGCATTTAAACAACAGTAAACTTTAATAAAGGCTTTCTAAAGAACTCCACAACAGATAACAATAGGACAGATGGCTTCACACGAACGATGTCAAATATTTACAGAACAAGGGAGTCCTCACGAAAATTTACTTGTTACTAAAACAAATTGCACTGCAAAGAACTAAACCTCATAAGGTTCTTTGAAAGTCAACAATTACTAGAAAGTACTTGTAAAAAGGAAATGAAAAAGAGCTCGAATAACAGAAACTAAAGAACAGAAAGTGTATTGATGGTACAGCTAATATGGTGACGTTGGAACAGTATCTTCCAAAGCTAAGGAACATTCACGAATTCTTCTCGACAACCGTGGCATTCAGTAACTGTATACTGATAAATTGTGATAAATTGGTGAAATAGTAAAAAATTTAAAATAATAATAATTATATATATATATAAGTGAAAGAATCAAAGAGGACGCATCGATTCTCTGTTACTCAGAGTTTCGCGCCTAAGGGCTCGTCAGACAGTTGTCTGAGGAGCGCTTAGGCGCGAAACTCTGAGTAACAGAGAATCGATGCGTCCTCTTTGATTTTTTCACTTATATATACTCAGCTCTGCTACCACAGCATTGAGCACTTTATGCCAAGGTAGACTCTACCCCCACATTTATATATATATATACATATATAAAGAAAGGAATAAGTCGCCTGTTACAAATAACGTAAAGACTGTTTTCGCTCAGCATATGACATTCCTACCACAAAAAAGGCTTCTGCAAAATCATTTGTTGGCCATATGAACTACAATGTAATTTCACCAAGAAAATATGCGATAGAACTTATCTAAACATGTAGATTGACTAAATTACACTACGTGTTAAAAACAACTCCTAACTAAAAAGGCGTTGAATCGAATGTCAGACACCGCACACTTTCGACACAGTTGTTATAATAACTCTCTTGATTCTGTGTAAACAACCCCCAGACAAATTTCGCTTCACAATACCCATTTGTAGTAAACGTTTTGACTGAGCCGGAAGTCATAGCTTATCCGAAAATTAAATTTGTAATGTAGTCAAGTTTCACCTTCACCAACACTTTTAAGAGAGTCACACGGTTTCAATGTACTGTATGCTTTGAAAAAGCGGATTAAAAGCTTCGTGATGGTCTGGTTTTGTTTTCTAGTTGTTTTGTTTGGTCTCTTGCATGTTTTTGCTGTTTCGTGTTCCTATCTGTTCCACTGGTACGGTTACAAGTCTTTGGACATGCTACAAATCATGACTGTTACATGTCAATCAAGCATTCCGCCGACCGCTTTGAGTTCATTGCTTCATAACCCAAGGGTTTCCCCGTCAGTTTTGGACGCGGACGCGGGTTCGTTACAATTTCCTCTCCGAGGTAAAAAGTTACTTGGATAAGGCTTTAAAAAATGAGGAAGAGGAGAAATAATATCTTTTTTCCGTATTGTACTGGTCCGAAAACGGTTCACCGAAGGTACTTTTTTTCAACATATAGCCACAATGTGCCTACTCAGGACAACGTTGAAATTAAATTAATTGAGGTGACATTTTTATAGTTTTACTGAAGTGAAGCTGGTGTAAAATCATCGGTAGACTACAAATCTGAAGTAACAAAGCTGGAAGAATGCTCTCTGCAATCAACTCTGACTAAGAATCCAAGTTCAACTTTTTTCATACTGTGCTTGCTATCTAACATTTTTTTAATAAAAGAAAACGATATTTCATATAAAAGTTTAAGGTCAGATCATCAAAACATACATGTATTTACCAAAAGGTTATAACTTGCAACGATACCACCCAATTGTAAAATTAAGTTGTCAAAAATTTTTCCAGTTGCCATTATGACCAAAATGGTCGAGGCATGAAGCAGTCTGCATACATTGTACAAAAACATGTACACGTTACGCTTACATACTATAACTAATGAATGACCACAGACTCACGTTTGTAAACTTTCAACCAAGCGTTTCGTGACTTCGCCGTACCCTCCGCATTGGAAGCAATGCACTCGTAGTAGGCTTCATGATCGACTTGCCTCAGACGTATTTTTATCACTTCACCATCTGGGATGGTCATCTTGCTGATTCTGAAACTTTTAGCCAAAACTGTTCTATTCTTGTGCCATGTGATGATTGGCTTTGGTGTCCCTGTAACTCTGCATACTATGTGAACAAACTTTCTTTCGACACCTCCATTTGGGGCTTCCAAGACGGCTGTTGGAACTGTTTACCAAAAAAATCATAGATCTAAATGTTAGAAAAAGTAAATGAAAATGATTCTATGCATTACACATACTTGACAGGTGTAGGTGATGCACTAACTGATATTTTTTTTTATTCTCATTACTTGTCTGCTTGATATTGTATTGATGAAGTGAGGAGAAATTCTCTCTTGGTCACTCAAGGGAGTTAAAGATAGATATCACTGAGCACAAGTCAAGACAATGCTTTGTAGACCCCACAATCAGATTATTAGAATTGATGTTGCTGAAAATAAAAGTGAATGCAATAGTGATTTGCTATTATGATCACAACTTAATCAGTAAGGAAAATAATGCCTGAAAAAGATTCAGGCCTGTATGGAAGTTGAACCCCCACCCTCTGGGGTACCATTGCAATGCTGTACCAATTGACCCAACAAGCTCAAACAAATGGAAGCATTGTGTTGCATTTTTCCTTAGGCAAGGTCTCAGAAGATGGTACTCTTTACCTGAAAATTACCTATGGGCTTTACTGTAGACATCCAATGGCACTAATTAAGAATCAAGTGATTCCTATAACCACTCAATTGAATTCACCTTTTAGGCTTTAGATTTCATGTGTAATATCCTGTGATTTTGATGTAAAAAAAAACTGGGAAAGTTCAAACATTGAGTTAACCATCCACTACTTCGGTTTCGGCATTTTGTTATTATATGTATAATTTCTAACGTCATGAGGTGTTTCTGCTCAAAATTGTTGTATCTAAATGCTTATAATATTATGTATAGCCTTTTGTTTTCCCTTGGGCAATTCAAAGAGGGAGCAGTTCGCCAACCAAGGGGTAGTTTTCATCCATATCCACCAGACATAAATAGAGTCATACTAGGTGAAAATGATACTCAAAATTACACAATAAATATTATTCTTATCGCTGTTGGTTGGCAAACATTTAAGTGTAGTTTGTGCCTTTTATTACATAATCATTTATTACCTAATCATTTATTACATAATCATTTATTACATAATCTACATGTTAAGCACGAAGATGGTCAAGTAAAACCATGTTTAGTGGGAAATTTGTGCCCACAAACTGCTGAAGTTATCAAAATTGTTGTGTCTAAATGCTTATAACATTATGTAGAGAATTTCTTTTTTCCCTTGGGAAATTCAAAGAGGGAGCAATTCTCCACTTAGAAGCTAGTTTTCATCTGTATCCACCAGACATAGCTAGAGTCATGCTAGGTGAAAATCATACTCAAAATTATACGATAAATATTATTCTTGATGCTGTTGGTTGGCAAACATTTAAGTATAGTTTGTGCCCTTTATCACATAATCATTTATTACATAATCTACTCGTTAAGAACGTAGATGGTAAAATAAAACCATATTTAGTGGGAAATTTGTGCCCACAAATTGCTGAAGTTATAAAAATTGTTGTGTCAAAATGCTTATAACATTATGTAGAGAATTTCTTTTTTCCCTTGGGAAATTCAAAGAGGGAGCAATTCTCCATTCAGAAGCTAGTTTTCATCTGTATCCACCAGACATAGCTAGAGTCATGCTAGGTGAAAATCATACTCAAAATTATACGATAAATATTATTCTTGATGCTGTTGGTTGGCAAACATTTAAGTATAGTTTGTGCCCTTTATCACATAATCATTTATTACATAATCTACTCGTTAAGAACGTAGATGGTAAAATAAAACCATATTTAGTGGGAAATTGGTGCCCACAAATTGCTGAAGTTATAAAAATTGTTGTGTCAAAATGCTTATAATATTATGTATAGAATTTCTTTCTTTCCTTAGGCAATTCAAAGCGGGGGCAATTCTCCACCCAGCAGGTAGTTTTCATCTATATCCACCAGACATAAATAGGGTCATGCTGGATGAAAATGATACTCAAAATTACACAACAAATACTATTCTTGTTGCTGTTGGTGGGCAAATATTTAAGTGTAATTTGTGCCTTTTATTACATAATCATTTATAACATAATCTGTTATTACATAATCTCATTCTATCACAAATGCTGCATTCTTGAGAATGACTCATAAATTAATACTTTAACAAATAGAAAATATGCTCAACTTTAATGCAAATTGCGGTTGACAAGGGCTTTTACATCATCAACTAAATTTAGCAATGGAAACATCTGCATAGAATCTGATAGTATGAGTCAAGTTTGTACTTAGAACAACACATTCAAATGATTATAATTGATTTTTGGTCAATAGATGCAATGAATAGCATTTTTTCCCTTAGGCAGTGTCTCAGTTGGTGAGACACATCTGATGTAAGTTAATATATAGTTTTAATGTATTTTTCATCAATAGATGTGATGAATAGCATTTTTTCCTTTGAGCAATGTCTTAATTGGTGATTCATGTCTAGAAATTGATCTTGTATAGTCACGAGATGTGAGTTAATATTTGGATCATGTTAGATTCAGATGATGCTTATACTGTAAGCATATAATTAATTGTTAATAGTAAATGGAGAATAAACTGAAGTGTGACTGTGAATACTTGAAAATCACGTATGTGAACTGTAGATAAAGAACTGAATATGAAAGCGATCTTGTCAACTGTAACCCACATTACAGTTGAGCAAACAGTCTTTTTGTTTGAGTAAAAATTTATAAGACATTCTTCAGTTAAGCAAACAGATGGCACGCTGATACTAAGGCTACCTACTTAAAATTTATTCCTTGTTTATCATGGAACAGATATCAAGTTCTGTAGCTGTTTAGATTGCAGCATTTGTGATAGAATGAGATTATGTAAAAAGAGATTATGTAATAATTGATTACATCATTCCTGTACTGTGGATAACTCAATGCCTGGCAGAGTTTCATACAAAAAAAAAAGCCGAGTATCAGTATTGCAGAGGTCATGAGTTCAAATCCCATACTGGCGTGAATTTATGAATACATTACATAACTGTTCAGCAGTTACATAATGTATTTACTATTTGTCACTGAACATGGCCCATGTTATATCCAAGTGATGCTCAGAATTACATAAGCAAATATTTGTTTATATTGGAAGTATTTCATTGCATGCAACTTCTCTCAGCATGAAACTCTTCACATCACTTATTGTGAACAGATATCTCAAAATATGAATGGGGATGTTTAGAATCACTCAGTTTAATAATTATGGCTATTAGAAGGATAATTTGAAATGAAATTAAGTCTTGTTTGCCACTGACACTACAAATAAACAGAGCATGTTATTATATGCAGTTGTAGCGTGTGATAATTGCATTCCTGTGAATGGTATGAGATTGTTTCATGGTTTATTGGTTGCCATCCTTGGATTTATTTTAACCAAATGACAGCACACAATGTATAATAGTCTTTATAACAAACCAGATACATACATACATGTCCATAGCTAATGAACTTGGAGTTTACCACAAGGTTGGTCAGTTTTTGGTTAATCTGCCCAAAAGTCTGAGAATCACTTATTACCCTTAGGGTTCGGAAGACAACAATTCAATTTTCTGCACTTAAAAATGTCAACTTTTTAATTTATAGACATCTGCAAATAGCATATGATTGTACTTGTCATCTATCAGCTTCATGTGTGTTGTATAATCAACTCGAGGATGCTTTGCCAAATTTTCTGGAATTTTTCACCTTAATATTTCTGACTTTGACCATAGGAGTATCTTTAATTGATAATTGTTTAACAATCCAATAAAAAAGATTTGAACATGTCCAAAATTCAAGTTATTTTCTTATTGATTAATTTGAAGTTCGGTGTAAATGAATACAAATGGATAACCCAATTCAATCTTAAAGTATGAGTATTTGGCTGTTTTGAAAATGTGCATTTGTTAAATTCCTTTAGCTTAAGCAGACAAAGAGAATTTAATACTTCAATTGCCTAGCGTTCATCTAATGACAGATAACAGGCTTCAAAGATTGCAGTACTGATTCAGGGATATTTCTGTATTCCAAAGCTTGCAAAAGTAATTGACTTAATGTAAAATTGTTTTGATGAAAAATTTCATAAATCTTCCAAAGTTCACAGTAAGTATTATATTTTATTTTGGAGAACAGGTGACTAGAGTTTATAATCAAACTGCAATATCTAGCATATTGTGCATCACAGTGCTCGTCAGAAATATATGCAATTTAACAAAAACAGCTGACTATGAATTTTACGTGTACTTGGCTTTTCAATGTGCTTCTAACCCACATCAAGGGTTTGAAAATTGATCTGAGAACTTCTTTAAAACTGGAAAACGTTAAAGACTTCTTCACACTTACATCCCCTCTAGAGCAGTAGACAAGTTACATAGAAATACACCCATAATTTTGAAACATCCCTCATGCATACAAAACACAGAGGGCACAAATATGATAACTGTTTGATGGATTTCTAATATTCCCTTAACTTTTTCCACTGAATATTGAGAGGAGAAGGGTTATACCATTCTCTTGTGAGTGTAAGAGTTACATTGACAGCTTTATTAACTGTCAATGTACAGTTCCTTTGGCCTGGAAACTCTATTTTAAGGCAAAGATTAGTGATAGACAATTCGCTGATTAATTTTTTGTGAGTTCATTTTTCACCCAAGAATATCCCACATGTTCAATCTGAGTGAAAGATTGTTTAACTTAATTATGAATAGTTTAAACTGAAGACATGCAAATAGCACCGAGAGGTAGCCAGCCAGTCTGCCGAGAAAAACTAATTACTCCTTGAAATGGGTGATAGAGGAAACTAAGCCATAACTCTCAAGGATGCTGAAGATTTTTGCGTTATTCTTAGAACGATTGATTCAGCTGGAATGTGTGAGCTCTCTTGAATCTTCTGCGTTATTTCAATTAGTTACGTTTTGCTGGGTTTTACGTCAA